CTGCTGTGGTCCCAGCTACTCAGGAGGCCCAGCTGGAGAATCACTTGTACCCAGGAGGCATGGTGGTCCCGCTGTGGTCCCAGCTACTCCGGAAGCCCAGCTGGAGAATCACTTGTACCCAGGAGGCATGGTGGTCCCACTGTGGTCCCAGCTACTCGGGAGGCTGAAGCGGGAGGATTGCTTGAGCTCAGGAGATCAAGGCTGCAGTGAGTTATGATCATGCCATTGCACTCCAGCCTGGGTGACAGAGCAAAAAAAAAAAAGTTTAAAATGTACTTTTTTTTTTTTTAACTCGAGGTGGCTCATGCCAGTCATCCTAGCACTTTGGTAGGCTGAGGCAGGAGAATCACTTCAGGTCAGGAGTTTGAGACCAGCCTGGCCAATACTGTGAAACCTCATCTCTGCAAAAAATACAAAAATTTGCTGAGGCAGGAAAATTGCTTTAACCAAGGAGGCAGTGAGCTGAGATCATGCCACTGCACTCCAGCCTGGGCAACAGAGAAAGACTCTGTCTCTAAATAAATAAATGAAAATTAAAAAAAAAAAAAGCATGGAGGAAGGAAGTACAAAGTTTGTACAGCAGCTCCACACGTGATGCCCTCAAGGACTGAAGACCTTTCTGCAGCCTTTTGCTTTACCATCCTTAGCAGGTGAACATTCATTCTCTTGTTTTCTAAATGTCTGGAGGAGGACTGGTGAAGGAAAATTGTGAACCCAGGCAAACTGTCCCCTTTGAAAGAGCATTCCTGGAAACCACAAGTCTCATTGCCTAAAACTGGGTCACAGGTCCACCCTTAGCCACAAAGAATGCTGGGAGACTTTGAGCACTGCATCTGCACAGGAAATGAGCTTTTGCTTATATGAGAAAAAAGGAAAATGGACACTGAGAGGCAGAAAAATAGCAGAGTCCACCACCTAAGGCATCAGGAGATGATAACTGCATCTCTGTAAACCTATGTGGATTTCTACAGGCATGTAAAATTATAAAATATAAGTTCTAAGCCAGAGGCACTAAATTAAAAAAAAAAAATCTTGCCCTTTGACTATGAGTCGTTTAGAAAAATATCTTCCTTCTGTTTCTAGAATCCCATTGTCTCAAATGAAAAATTCTGTTTTAGATTTCTTGCCTAGCTACCAAGACAGAATTCTCTACAGGAAAACATTCCTCCTCCTGAGAAAACTCCTCTGGGACTAGATGCAGGGAGTTATGTTGTGATTTAGGCAGGGCTGGCTTTGGTGCTTATCCCGGCATTTAAAAAAAAATGTGAATGGTGTATCCCTTTGTGATCGACATCACTTTGTCCCTGCGAGTCCCAGTCAATGCCAGTGTGACTGCTGGATGAAGTCTCAGGAAGCCCACCCTAGCGGAGAAGAAGGCTTGCGGGAGGCAGGAGATGCTATCCTATGACCACGTGAATGAAATTGTCATAGAGGTTGAAAATGTTTCCGCTGGGATCCAAAGCCACCCATCCTCAAATCAGGTTTTTCAGGAAAATGTGCTGCTAGACTCAAGCATCAATATGGTTTCTTCAATATCTGACATTGATGTGACAGACTCTCTGACAGTCAGCAAAAGGCATGACCAAAAAGGCAACTGGGTGCTGCGGTTTTCAACACCTTTGAATGAATCGATGTCTCAGACTCTTCATAGCCTAGAATGCATGGGCATAGACACTCCCGGTTCTTCACATGAAACTGTTCAAGGTAGTGAAATGCTGGGGAAGAGGAGTTAGGGGAGTAGGAAAGAGGGCTTCTACGTTGTCCGCAGCATATTTTACTTTTAAGCTATCAAGTGGGGCCAGGTGTGGTGGCTCACACCTGTAATTCTACTTCTTTGGGAGACCAAGGTAGGAGGTCATTTGAGCCCAGGAGTTTGAGACTAGCCTGAGCAACATAGGGAGACTCCATTGCTACAAAAAAAAAAAAAAACTTTAAAAAATAATAACTGGGAATGATGGTGCACACCTGTGGTCCCAGCTACTCAGGAGGCCAAGGTGGGAGGATTGCTTGAGCCCAGGAGTTGGAGGCTGTAGCGAGCTCTGATGGCACCACTGAAACCCAGCCTGGGTGACAGAGTAAGATCCTGTCTCTTAAAAAAAAAAAAGACAAGTAATATGGAGGGGTGAAAGGTTTTGTGGGTGAACTAAGGATGCGAAGGGCAAAGGCAGGGATCACTTTAAGACATCCCTAAAAAGCGCTTATTTTGATCAAGCTTATTTTGTATGCCTTGTGCTCTGACAGCACCTGCTTTTTGTTACCTATCAAATTGAATTTTATGTACCCCCTGCGCTCCACACTTTTGAGGCATGCATTTCCATGTGCTTAATGAGGAAACCGAAGCTCAGATAAATTTAGTGACCTGGAAGATCTGGGGCCCAAATACAGGTCTAGCTAATTCCCAAGACTACATTTTTTTTTTTTTTTTTTTTTTGAGACAAAGTCTTGCTTTCGCCCAGGCTGGAGCGTAAGTGGTGCAATCTCGGCTCACTGCAACCTCTGCTTCCCAGGTTTAAGCGATTCTCATGCACTCAGCCTGCTGAGTAGCTGAGATTATAGACACATGCCACCATGCCCTGCTAATTTTTGTATTTTTAGTAAAGATGGGGTTTTACCATGTTGGCCAAGCTTGTCTCAAACTCCTGGCCTCAGGTGATCTGCCCGCCTTGGCTTCCCAAAGTACTGGGATGGATAACAGGAGGTGTGAGATACCATGCCTGGCCTCTGGCCTCAAGCCTACATTCCTTTTTTTTTTTTTTTTAGATGGAGTTTCAATCTGTCATCCAGGCTGGAGTGTGCAAAGGCACGATCTCAGCTCACTGCAACCTATGCCTCCCAGGTTCAAGCAATTCTCCTGCCTCAGCCTCCTGAGTAGCTGGGATTACAGACATGATCCACCATTACAGCTAATTTTGTATTTTTAGTAGAGACAGGGTTTCTCCATGTTGGTCAGGCTGGTCTCAAACTCCCGACCTCAGGTGATGCGCCCACCTCAGCATCCCAAAGTGCTGGGATTACAGGTGTGAGCCACCATGCCTGGCCCAGAGATGCTGTTTCTGTTTCACCCCCACAGAATTCCAGGCATAAAGCCTAGCAGCTTTCAATGATTTCGGGGAGAAGAAAGACATCCTTTTTCTTACACAAAGCATTTAGTGAAGAAGATAGGGCATTGCCTCTCACACTGCTGGCTCCCTGCAGCTCTGTTTATTCCCCTCTTCCATCTTTCTTCCTCTCAATCTACTCACCCTTCCTTCCCAAGAGAGGCACAAATTGCTCATCTTCAGCAGAGAGATTTGTTGGTCCTCTTTTGGGGATTCCTCTTATACCTTAACTGTGTCATTACAATGACCGTGGTATTTCCTGGTAGGCAATTCTAGCCCCATGCTGTGACCACGGAGCCAGCCAGCCTCCCTCAGGCACCCTCTGCATGGTGTCACTGCCCTGCTGGCTTGTTTGTCACAGGATAGCAACAGCACTTCTCACATCACATGCAGCTACCACGGTAATCAGAGGAAGAGACATCTGTTCTTTTCTTGTTTTTTTGCTTTTTGTTTGTTTAGAAGGAAGAAACCTTTTCTAAGAAATTTCTCAGCAGCAGACCACCTCTCAGAGGACATTGGTTAATGCTGTGTCACATGCCTCTGCTGCAGGGGACAGGGTCATGGGGAGTGGTTTCCTCAGACTAAGACTTGTTAGCCGGGCGCGGTGGCTCACACCTGTAATCCCAGCACTTTGGGAGGCCGAGGCGGGTGGATCATGAGGTCAAGAGATCAAGACCATCCTGGTCAATATAGTGAAACCCCATCTCTACTAAAAATACAAAAAATTAGCTGGGCATGGTGGCACGTGCCTATAATCCAGCTACTCAGGAGGCTGAGGCAGGAGAATTGCCTGAACCCAGGAGGCGGAGGTTGCAGTGAGCCGAGATCATGCCATTGCACTCCAGCCTGGGTAACAAGAGTGAAACTCCGTCTCAAAAAAAAAAAAAAAAAAGAGAGAGACTTGCTCTTTGGGCCTGGTGATGGGCTCCACCTTGAGAAAGCTCAGGACCATGTAAGGGAGGCAGGTAGATTCCTAAACACAATTGGGATTCCATTAACAAGGCGGAAATAAATTTGGGGTGGATGACCAATAGCGTCTGCCACATTGACTGCAAATGTGAATATGAGTTAGCAGGAGAAAAGAAGGATGTACTTCTGGGAGGGGGAAGAGCATTCAACGATAGTCAAGGAATATGAAATGTCTTGGACCTGGGATCAGGGGCAAAAGCAAGAGATCCAGGCATAGTGGCTTACACCTGTAATCCCAGCACTTTGGGAGGCTGAGGTGGGAGAATCTCTTGAGGTCAGAAGTTGGAAACTAGCTTGAGCAACATAGCAAAACTCCATCTCTACAAATAAAAAAAATTAGCTGGTTGTCATGGTGTATGCCTGTAGTCCCAGCTACTCTGGAGGCTGAGGTGAGAGGATTGTTTGAGCCCAGGAGTTCAAGACCAGCCTGGACAATGTAGTGAGACCTCAACTTTACAAAAATAAAAAAAATTAGCCAGACATGGTGGTGCATACCTGTAATCACAACAATTTGGGAGGCTGAGGTGGGTGGATTGCTTAAGCCCAGGGGATCAGTGTTGCAGTGAGCTGTGATTGTGCCATTGCACTCTAGTCTGGGTGACACAGCAAGACTCTGTATCAAAAAAAAAAAAAAAGGTCGGCTGACCAAACATGCCGGATCTTGTTGACTTTGCTAAATGATTTTTGTTACAGGAAAGAGAAAAACACTGAATTAGAATAGAGTGCAGTCATTATTCATTTGCTCTGTCTTTGAGCTTTAACACATCTATGTGTCTTTTTGTTGTTTTCCTTTGTGATCTTTGAGATTCCCAAGTCTGTATATTCTTCTTTCCTTGTGTTCTTATAAAAACATCTCTGACTTCAGTACCCCATTTTAGTGTTATGATTCTGTAAAAGAAAAAAGAAATTAAACTCCATTAATTTCTTTCATAGGTCAGAAGTTAATTGCATCTCTCATACCCATGACATCCAGAGACAGAATTAAAGCCATCAGAAACCAGCCAAGGACCATGGAAGAGAAAAGGAATCTTAGGTATGGACCAAAGGCTTTTCTTCTTTCCCAGATTTGACATGAACCTCAATCTTCTACTTTTGCCCCATCTCTAAAAGATAAGAAATAATTAAGTGCAATAGAAAAGGCAAATCCTCCTGACAGAAAAATTTCAAATACCCTATGTAGGTACTCCTTTCTCCAGGAGCTATAGCTTGATTCCTACTCCTGGGCTGGAGTGTGGGCTCTGCTTAATGAGCTACTTTCAAAGAGTAGGGCATGGAAGAAAGAAAGTAGAGTAACTTTCCAGGGCAGAGTCTGCCTAATACTGCCTTGGCTAAGACTCAAGGTTAACATACCAAAGGTGAGTCATGTGATGGGAAAAACATGTCTCCTTTGTGACACTCTGTCCTAAAACCCACAACCCCAGTCTAAACATCAGAAAACATTAGGGAAATCCCAACTGAAGGACATTCTACAAAATGCTCGACCAGTACCCCTTGAAACTGTCGAAGTTGCCAGGCACAGTGGCTCACACCTGTAATCCCAGCACTTTGGAAAACTGAGGCAGGCACATCATGAGGTCAGGAGATTAAGACCATTCTGGCTAAGTGAAACCCTGTCTCTACTGAAAATATAAAAAAATTAGCTGGTCATGGTGGCATGCACCTGTAGTCCCAGCTATTCAGAAGGCTGAGGGAGAAGAATCGCTTGAACCCAGAAGGCGGAGGTTGCAATGAGCTGAGATTGCACCACTACATTCCAGCCTGGGCGGCAGAGCAAGACTTCATCTCAAAAATAAGACCAAAAGAAAAAATTGTCAAAGTCATCAAAAACAAAGAAAGTCTGAGAAACTGTCAAAGACTAGAAAGTTCTAAAGAGATGTGACAGGCCAGTGTGATGGCTCACGCCTGTAATCCCAGCACTTTGGGAGGCTGATGTGGGTGGATCACAGGTCAGGAGTTCGAGACCAGCCTGACCAACATGGTAAAACCCTGTCTCTACTAAAAATACAAAAATTACCTGGGCATGGTGGCATGCACCTGTAATCCCAGCTACTCAGGAGGCTGAGACAGAAGAATCGCTTGAACCTGGGAGGTGGAGTTTTCAGTGAGCCAAGATTGTGCCACTGTACTTCAACCTGGGTGACAGAGCAAGACTCCATCTCAAAAAAAATAAAAAAAATAAAAAAAGACCTTAGGAGTTTTATAAGCTCAGGAACTCAAAACCCAAAGGTGAGGGCTGTTTTAGCCTTTAAAGTTTACATTAATTGTTGCTTAATTTTTTTTTTTCAATTTGAGTTAGTTGGCAGAAGCTTGTAGAGTGGAAGCAACAGTAATTACCAGTAAATGATTCAAGGATGCAGGATTTTCTGAGGTGTCAAAGATAAATTTCAAAGCCTGGCAGCAGGGAATAGATTTGTCAACAAGTAAATTACAAATGGCAGAAAGCAGATCAGGCCAAGTCAAAATAGAAAGAGATTACAACGTGAGGACCAGAAAGGTCTGCCCTCCCTAACTTTTCTGGGGAAAAATGGACAGAGGGGGCATTTGAGCTGGGCCCTGAAAGGCAATAGACAGTGACACTGGGGTGGGCCTTCGAGGTCGACCAAAGGAAGCTGGGAGAGAACCAGAACAGAGCAGACGTGGTGAGTTCATGGAAGGGTAAGGAGACTAATTGTGACTGTGTCTTTCTGAAAACACTCTTTCATTTCAAACTCTGCATGGCTCCCTCTGTCACTGAATAAGGGTCCCAGAGACCTTATAGCAGGATATCTCAATCTCAGTACAAGTAACATCTTAGGGCTGGATCTGTCTTTGTCGTGGGAGCTGTTTTTTCATCGTAGGGTGTGCAGCAGCATCTCTGATCTCTGTGTAGTTGATGCCGGTAGCACCCCTTCTCCACTCTAGTTCCACAGCCAAAAAGTTTCCAGACATTTTCAACTGTGTGGGGGCAAAATTGCCCTGGGTTGAGAACCTGTATTAGTCTGTTCTCATGCTCCTAATAATGACATACTTGAGACTGAGTAATTTATAAAGGAAAGAGGTTTAATGGACTCAGTTCCACATAGCAGGAGAAGCCTCACAATAATGATGGAGGAAGGAGGAAGAGCAGAGGCACGTCTTACATGGCAGGAGGCAAGACAGCATGTGCAGGGGAACTGCCCTTTATAAAACCATCAGACCATTTATCATCCACTTTATTATTATTTTTATCGCTTACTATCTTTCGCTTTCAACTAGGATGTCAGCTCCATAAACCACAGAAATTGTTGTCTTGACAGCTGGGATGGTGCCCAACACATCATAGGAACTCAATAATTTTTTTTTTTTTTTTTTTTTTAAGAAATGTGGTCTCAGCTGGGCACGGTGGCTCATGCCTGTTATCCCAGTACTTTGGAAGACTGAGGCGGATGGATCACTTGAGGCCAGGAGTTTGAGACCAGACTGGCCAACATGGTGAAACACTGTCTCTACTAAAAAGACAAAAGTTTGCCAGGTGTGGTTGTGTGCACCTGTAATCCCAGCTACTCAGGAGGCTGAGGCAGAGAATCACTTGAAGCTGGGAGGCAGAGGCTACAGTGAGCCGTGATTGTGCCACTGCACTCTACCCTGGGTGATAGAGTGAGACTTCATCTCAAAAAAAAAAAAAAATGAGGTCTCATTTTGTTGCCCAGGCTGCTGGACTACAATGGTGTGATCATAGCTCACTGCAGTCTCAAAACTTTTAGGCACGAGTGATCCTCCCCCCACAGCCTCTAGAGTAGCTGGAGCCATATAGCCAGACACCACCACACCCAGCTTTTTGTTTTTTTTTTTAAACAAAGACAAGTTCCCACGATGTTGTTCAAGCTGGTCTTGAACTCCTGGCCTCAGTGATCCTGTTGCCTCAGCCTTCCAAAGTGTTGGGATTACAGGCATGAGCCACCATGTAACTATTTTTTGAATGAATGAGTTACAACATTTGTATCTTTCACTTTCTCTTGCTATTCCCTACAGGAAAATAGTTGACAAAGAAAAAAGCAAACAGCCTCATCATATCCTTCAGCTTAATTGCTGTGTTCAGTGTCTGCACTCCATTTCACAGGTAAGTCAGTAAAATGGGCACAGCAAGAGGGTGAAAACAGGAGGGAGAGGAATGAGGATGAAAGGGGACTCAAGGTGAAGACAAACCAAAAATCAGAGCTATTTCATTGCCTGAAGCCATCGGGTTGGTTAAAGTGTGGGAAAACGAGGTGGCGTGGGGAAGAACTAAGAGGTTGCTGAGTTCATTGGTCAACTTGGCCATTGGGAGTGACACCTTCAACAGCAAACCTGGGAAGGTCATAATAGCTCCACCTTAGAGTTGAGGTAACATTTGTAAACATGCCTAGCACATTGCCTGCACTTAACAATACTCCAGACATGGTGGCCGTTTCTGTTATTATGGCACCTGCTAAGTCAATATCTGTTGAGTGAACAGCAAGCCACCCGCTTTGAATCCTGGCTCCAGGCTTATCGGAGATCCAAGGGCAGCCTGTCAGAAATTCTCAATTCCATCAGCCTGTGGCAGAAGACGCTGAAAATCATCGGAGGCAAGTTTGGAACCAGCGTTCTCTCCTATTTCAACTTTCTGAGATGGCTTTTGAAATTCAACATTTTCTCATTCATCTTGAACTTCGGCTTCATCATAATCCCTCAGTTTACCATGGCCGAAAAGAACACCCTCCAGTTCACTGGGTTGGAGTTTTTCACTGGGGTGGTAAGTTCTCCATTTTCCCTACCTCAAGTGCACCAACCACCTTGGAAACCCAGGGACGTGCCTTGCCAGTCAACCACTCACACCTCTCATTTTGCCTGGGGGTCAATGATGGGGAAAGGGGATGTTTAAAATGTTTTCTGACTGGGAGACTGGATGGTGACACATGCCTGTAATTCTAGAACATTGGGAGGCCAAAGCAGGTGAATGAGCTCAGGAGTTGGAGACCAGCCTGGGCAACATGGCAAAACTCCATCTCTACAAAAATACAAAAATTAGCAGGGCATAGTGGTGCATACCTGTCATTCTGGCTACCTGGGAGGCTAAAGTGGGAGGATTGCTTGAGCCCAGGAGATGGAGGTTGCAGTGAGGCAAGACTGCCCCACTGCACTCCAGCCTGGGCAACAGAGAGAGGCAATCAATCAATCAATAAAATGTCTTCCTGCAAAGTAACACACATACATCATAGTGGAATTTCTGTCTCCAGAGGCAACCACCTTGCACTGGTTTTTTTTTTTTAATCCACCCTTTCTTTGCAAGCATATGGACACTTCTGTGCATGTACAGAGGCATCCTTTTCTTCTCTTACAAAAGATGAGTATCTGTTGTATGTTATTTACAACTTGCTTTTTTTTTTTTTTTTTTTGCTTAGGATACGCGGTGGGCATCTTGCATTGGTGTTTATAGAACTATGTTTTCTTTCTTTTTTGTTTTTATTGCTATAAAATACAATGTTCCTTTTGAAAAAGTCCTACTATAAAAGAGGACTAAGAGAAAGTTCATTTTATATTTTTCTTTGTCCAACTCCCCATTTGAGATATATCTTTGTAGACTGTTTTTTTCTTCCTGTACTAACTGTACATACTTGATTTAAAAAATAAACAAATGACAGACACATAGATTACTATGCTTTTAAAAATAAAAAGAGGATAGGATTGCACCACAAACCTTGTCTTTCTCTCTCTCTCTCTCTCTCTCCTTCCTTCCTCCCTCTCTCTTCCTTTCTCCCTTTCTCTCTCTCTTTTTTTCCAGTTTCAGTAGGTATTTTATTTTCATCAGAATGTTAATATACTATTATAAATTAGTGCATTATGAACCATCAGCTTAATGCCCTTCACCTTTTTAATTATATTCCTTCATGGAGCAGAAAAGAAAGTAAATGTTACTATGCAGATTTTTTAAGAATTCATGTCCTTGGTGAAAATGAGAGGGGGAGAGAGAACACAGAACAAATTTGCTTTTTAATTATATTGGAAACACGTTGCAACTGCAAAATGTTGAAAATTAAGCTAAGCCCAGATGATTTCAAGTAAGAGCCACAATCTGAAATGTAAAGGATGTTAACTTCGCTGTGTAGGTTAATATGTGTGAAGAACAACTGAAACAAACTTCCAATACGAACTTAATCTCATTCTTTTTTTCATTTACACTTTCAAATGGACTCATCTAGCTTTGCTAATTTTTCTATCTACATGTCAAGAGCCGTAGTAGAAAGTTAATGGTCATGATAGTTTCCTGATCTTATTTACTCCCCTGGTCCTCATTACTTTGAAAAGCTAGTTTTTCTGTATATGAATTTTTTTTTTTTTTTTACTTCTCACTTTAAGGGATTCATTTCATATCAGTTACATCTCTAGTTGTAACTATTTCCTTTTGCCTTTGTGAGTGGAATGTAAATGATCTGCTTGATGCTAAGTGGAGGAATAAATTGGCACCTAGCATAGTGCCTTGCACAGAGTAGGCACTGATGGTTTGCTCAATTACTGAACAAGTCTCTTTAATCTGATCTTGAGAATATTCTAGTCTTTTGCATATTTCTTAAATTATCCTTTTAGTTGCTAAAATCACGATGCAGAGTTTAATTAGCCAACACACAGAGCCCTGATAGATTTTCCATGGTATGCAATCACAATACACTGTGTGCTTGTTAGATATTTATGAGTCAGTCTGATAAGAATTTACTGTTGATTCACAGTAATGACAAATAGCATTTATGTAATCTTTACTATTTGACTTCACTATCTTTATTCCCGAAAGTTTCCTGGTAAAATATTCAAAGATAAATATATTGTAATGTTTATTTAAAAATTGACATTTCCTTTTAAAATATGGGACTAATGTAGGTTTTTTTCCTTCTCCTTTGAGCAATCATCCAAATAAAACAGATAACAAGAAATAGAAATTCAAAGGAACTAAATGACATCTGTAAGTCAAATCACATCTTTGAGTAAAATCTGCAAAATGTAGCAGTAAAAATTAAAACTAAGCATAGGAAGATTCCATGAAAAGGTACCCATGGCTGCATGTCTCAGAGAAAGGCTTCAGTACACTTCTCTAAAGTGAGTGGCATATACTTGTTACCAAAATGAATAACCTTTCATTTGAGTAAATGAAAATAGTATTCTCTCTCTCTCTCTCTCTCTCTCACACACACACACACACACACACACACACGTACACAAACTTGAAGAAAGCAGACTGTTTCTGAGGCAACCTAGAGAGAAGAGATCGATTAATGGAAGGTTCTTTACAGTACCAATCTCAATTTCCTAGGATAAATAAAAGCAAAGAGATTTTTTTAAACAATTATTTTGTTTTGTAAGGAGAATTACTGTTATTATGAAACAGGGATTGGCAAACTTTTTCTGTAGAGAATCAGATAGTGAATATTTTATGTTTTGTGGAACACAGAGTCTTTATAGCAGGCTACTTCTGTTCCTCCTCTTCTTTCTTCTTCCTGGTTTTCATCTTCATCTTCTTTTTCTTCCCTCCTTCTCCCCTCCTGTGTCCCCTTTCCTCTCCCACCTACTTCTTCTTCCTCTTCTTCTTTCCTCCTCCTCCCACCTCTTCCTCCTTTTACCTCTCCATTTCCTCCTCCTTCTTTTTCTTCTATTTCTCCTTGTTTTCCTTCTCTTGCTCCTCTTCCTTCTTCTGCTTCCCCTCTTTCCTTTTCTCTATTCTTAGTTCATAGGTGCAAATGCTTCACCATGGCAGAGTAGGACAAGGTGCTGTTTGTGCCCACTGTGTGATCTTTAGGCAAGAAAATGAACTTCTCTGAGCCTCTGCATCCTCATTTGCTTTCTGCAGCAGCCTCAGTTATTGCCTACTCAGAAGAAAGAATTTGACTGAGGAGCATAAGGCAAAAGGAAAGACCAAGGCAAGCTTTAGAGCAATAATGAGAGGAAGGAAAGAACGTTTGGAAGAGGACCAAGCAGGCAACTTGAGAGAACAAGCATGCCTTTTTCTTTCTCTTTCTTCCTTCTTTCCTTCCTTCCTTCCTTTCTCCCTTTCTTTCTCTCTTTCTTTTTCCTTCCTTCCTTCCTTCCTTCCTTCCTTCCTTCCTTCCTTCCTTCCTTCCTTCCTTCCTCTCTTTCTTCTCTCTTTCTTTTTTCTTTTATTTTTGAGACGGAGTTTCACTCTTGTTACCCAGGCTGGAGTGCAATGCCACAATCTCGGCTCACTGCAACCTCCACCTCCTGGGTTCAGGCAGTTCTCCTGCCTCAGCCTCCTGAATAGCTGGGATTACAGGCACGCACCACCATGCCCAGCTAATTTTTTGTATTTTTAGTAGAGATGGGATTTCATCATGTTGACCAGGATGGTCTCGATCTCTTGACCTCATGATCCACCCACCTCAGCCTCCCAAAGGGCTGGGATTACAGCTATGAGCCACCGTGCCCCACCCTCTCTTTCTTTTTTCTCACTCTCTCACCCAGGCTAGAGTGCAGTTCTGTAGTCACAGCTCACTACAGCCTCAACCTCCCAGGCTCAAGTGATCTTCCCGCCTGTGTCTCCCCATTAGCTGGGACTACAGGCCCACATCACCATGCGTGGCTAATTTTAAATATATATATTTTTTTGTAGAGATGGGTTTTCACTATGTAGCCCAGGCTAGTCTCAAACCCCTGGCCTCAAATGCTCTTCCAGCCTCAGCCTCCCAAAGTGCTGGGATTACAGGCATAAGCCACCATGCCTGGCTCAGCATGTGTATTTTGTATATTTGTATACAGGAAACATTTTATTATAAAAATTTCAAACATACAAAAAATACAGAGTTGTATAATCTACATATACCCACTGTGTAGATTTTAAATTGCCATATTTGCTTTTTTTCATTATTTTTGGAAGCATTTTAAAGTAAACTACAGATGTCAAGATATTTTTACCCAGAAATTTTTCGACAGTCATCTCTGAAAAATAAGGACACCTCTCTGCAGTCACAATATCATGATCACACCTAAGAAAATTAAAAATTAACATCATCTAAAATCCAGACATATTCTAATTGTCCCAATTTTCCCCAAAATGTCCTTTTTTTTTTTTTTAATTAATACTGGATCTCCCTCTATCACATGGGCTGGAGTGCAGTCATGCAATTTCGGTTCATTGCAACCCTCAACTCCCAGGCTCAAGCGATCCTCCCACCTCAGCTTCCAGACCAGCTGGGACTACAGGCACGTGCCACCAGCATTCTAGCGAATTTTTGTATTTTTTGTGGAGACAGGGTTTTACCATGTTTCCCAGGCTGGTCTCTAACTACTGGGCTCAAGCGATCTGCTTGCCTTGGCCTCCCAAAGTGCTTGGATGTGCTGGGATTACAGGTGTGAGCCACTGCTCCCAACCCACAATGTTGTTTGTATGTATGTATGTATTTGAGAGAGAGTTTTCTCTGTCACTCAAGCTATAGTGCAGTGGTGCAATCCTGGCTCACGGAAATCTCCGCCTCCAAGGTTAAAGCAATTCTCATGCCTCAGCCTTCAGAGTAGCTGGGATTACAGGCATGTGCCACCACATCTGGCTAATTTTTTTTGTATTTTTAGGAGGAGCAGGGTTTCAGTATATTGGCCAGGCTGGTTTTGAACTGGCCTCAAGCGATCCATCCACCTTGACCTCCAAAGTGTTGGGATTACAGGGGTGAGCCACCATGCATGGACCCCAAAATGTCTTTCATAACTTGCTTATTCAGACCAGAATTCAGTCAACAACCAGATTTCACATTCCATGGATTTTTTTCTCCCTTAAATCTCTATTAATCTAAATAATATCCCCAGCCCAGCCCCTTTTTTCTTGACAGTGTCTTATTGCAGAAATTAAGCCAACTGCTGTGTAGATTCCGACGTCCTACCTTCTGGAATTGTCTGGTTATTTTCTAGTGATCTCTAGAATTTGTTTCTCTGGCTTCTTATTTCCTGTGCACTGAAATGTAGATCTAAAGGCTTGATTTGTTTCCCATTAAGCATTCGTTTGTTTTGAGATGGAGTCTTGCTCTGTTGCCCAGGCTGGAGTGCAGTGGCATGATCTCGGCTCACTGTAATCCCCACCTCCCAGGTTCAAGTAATTTCCCTGCCTCAGCCTCCCAAGTAGCTACAGGCATGCGCCACCATGCCTGGCTAATTTTTTGTATTTTAGTAGAGACAGGGTTTCACCACGTTGGCCGGGATGTCTCGATTTCCTGACCTCAGGATCTGCCTGCCTCAGCCTCCCAAAGTGCTGAGATTACAGGCATGAGCCACCACCCCTAGCCAAGCATGGTTATCCATAATACTGGTGACAGAGGCACACAATACTGGTGACACGACAGGCCTAGCTGTCTTGTTCTTGCTGATGTTTCGCTTGGTCACTGGGTCCAGGTGGTAACAGCTCAATGTCTCCATTATAAACTTATGTTGGATTTCTTTTCAAGTCTGAGAACCCAGTGACACAATGTCCAAATTTTGTTTCCCTTTCCTGGAAAACAAAATGTCTAAACCGACTGGCCCAAGCTTCTTGTATTCAGAAGAGGTCAACTCTGACAACCATAGTCATTTACCTTTTTTTTCAGGAGATCCACAAAGGTTTATTGTCCCTTTCAGGGTTATTTTAGGGACACAGTCATGTACTATGGCTTTTACACCAATTCCACCATCCAGCACGGGAACAGCGGGGCATCCTACAACATGCAGTTGGCCTACATCTTCACTATCGGAGCGTGCTTGACCACCTGCTTCTTCAGTTTGCTGTTCAGGTATGGAAGCGTCTGCATTTCCTGATTCTGAAGGTCATGTTAGACTTAGGCAAAAATGCAAGAAATTCAAAAATTACCCAGGTAACAGTTTCAACTTTTTTTTGAGACAGTCTCGCTCTGTCACCCAGGCTGGAGTACAATGGCGCAATCTTGGCTCACTGCAACCTCTGCCTCCTGGGTTCAAGCGATTCTCTCTCCTCAGCCTCCCAAATAGTTGGGATTACAGGTGTACACCACCATGCCCAGCTAATTTTTGTAATTTTTTGTAGAGACAGGGTTTTACCATGTTGGCCAGGCTGGTCTCAAACTCCTGATGTCAGGTGATCCACCCGCTTCAGCCTCCCAAAGTGCTGGGATTACAGGCGTGAGCCACTGCACCCGGACTGCAGTTTTGACTTTGTATTGCTGTCCTATCATTCCTTGTCCTGCACTATAAAATAAGAGCTTGGACAGAAGAAAAGAGGATTTTCTGTGCTTTTGAAGAAATTGGTCAGCCTGATAATAAGGATGCAATTATCCTAGCAATGATATGGACAGAAGAACATAATAGGTAACTATCAGAGAGGAGGTACAGATGGAAAACACACATGTGAAAAATGTGTAGGCTGGCCATGGTGGCTCACGCCTGTAGTCTTAGCACTTTGGGAGGCCGGGGTGGGCATATCACTTGAGTCTAGGAGTTCAAGACTGGCCTGGGCAACATGGCGAAATCCCATCTCTACTAAAAATACAAAAATTTAGTCTGGCTTGATGGCATACACCTGTAGTCACAGCTACTTGGGAGACTGAGGTGGGAGAATCACCTGAGACCATTATTAGGTCAAGGTTGCAGTGAGCCGAGATTCTTAAGTTGCTGTTGCTGAGTAGTGGCAAATTTCAGAACAGCAGTGACCGTTTTATGCAGCATGTGTGTGTGTGCGCTGAGGGCTTCCTGGGACTGAGCTATCCCATGGCAATAACAGTGCCTTCCTCAGGTGCTTGATGCTCTGAGCACCGCATGGACTCTTCAGAAAGCTGAATCATCTGCCCCCACCCCAGAGATGTCTACATCCTAATCTCCCGAACTGGTGGATATGTAACTTCACATAACAAAAGGGACTTTGAAGATGTGATTGAGGATTTTTAAATGGGGAGATTTTATCCTGGATTATCCGGGTGGACCCAATGGAATCACAAGGGTCTTTATAAGAGGGAGGCAGGAGGTCAGAGAGAAGCGGGGGGGATGGGAAGATGCTACCCTGCTGGCTTTGAAGATGGAGATGACCACAAGCCAAGGGAAGAGGACAGCATCTAGAAGCTAGAAAAGACAAGGAAACGGATTCTGCCCTAGAGCTTCCAGAAGGAACACAGCCTGCCAACACCTTCATTTTCGCCCCGTGAGACTCATTTTCTGATTAGCTGGGCATGGTGGCATGTGCCTGTAGTTCCAGCTACTTTGGAGGCTGTGGCGGGAGGACCGCTTGAGCCCAGGAGGTCAAGGCTGCAGTGAGCTATGACTGCACCACTGCACTCCAGCCTGGCCCACACAGCCAGGAAGACCTCGTCTCTAAACAAACAATAAGGAAAAACATTTGCTGACTTCTGATCTCTAAAAGGGTAAGAGAACAAATGTGTGTGGTTTTCAGCCGCTAAGTTGGTTGCCAGTTGTTACAGCGGCAACAGGGAACTGGGTGGATCACCTGAGGTCAGGAGTTTGAGACTCACCTGGCCAACGTGGTGAAACCCTGCCTCTATTAAAAATATAAAAATTAGCTGGGTGTGGTGATGGGCACCTATAATCCCAGTTACTTGGGAGACTGAGGCAGGAGAAGCGCTTGAACCCAGGAGGTGGAGGTTGCAGCAAGCCAAGATCACGCCATGGCACTCCAGCCTGGGAGATAAAAGCAAAACTCTGTCTCAAAAAAATAAAACAAAAATCCAACTCTGTGAGGTGAGTACTATTTGTTATTCCTTCTCTACAAATGTGGAAACTGAAGCTCAGAATCAGAACAATTCACAGGACAAAGATCCCTCCGTGGACACATCCAGAGCGCCACGCCAGGCCTGTGCCGTCCCAAAGCCAGTGCTGGTTTAACAGCTGTGCTGTGACCACACTGCTCCAGGCCAACAGCCTGGGGCTAAGTCTTCACGCTGCCTTTCCCATCAGTAAGAGGGCTGTCTGTTGAAGCCCTGCATTCCCAGTGACTGCTGTAATAACCTTGGGATATTTTCTGCCTTCTTTAGCATGGCCAGGTATTTCCGGAACAACTTCATTAACCCCCACATTTACTCCGGAGGGATCACTAAGCTGATCTTTTGCTGGGACTTCACTGTCACTCATGAAAAGGCCGTGAAGCTAAAACAGAAGAACCTTAGCACCGAGATAAGGGTAAGGCAAGCTCACTTTACTCATTTGCTGTCGGCAGGTCTCCCCTTCTCCAGTATGCCAGTAACTTTTCCTAGAGTAATAATGAACTACTGTTTTATTGCCCATGAGACTGGCAAAAAAAAAAAAAAAAAGATTAAAATATTCATAATGCCAAGAGCTGGGTAGAGTGTAGAGAAATGAGCAATTTTCCCATGACAAAAAAACAAACAAAAAACATTTTCTGACTTCTGATCTCTAGAAGAGTAAGAGAACAGATTTGTGTTGTTTTCAGCTGCTAAGTTGGTGGTCATTTGCTACAGCAGCAACAGGGAACTGGGTGGATCACCTGAAGTCAGGGGTTCGAGACCAGCCTAGCCAATAGAGTGAAACCCTGCCTCTACTAAAAATACAAAAATTAGCTGGGAGTAGCAATGGGTGCCTGTAATCCCAGTTACTTAGGAGACAGAAACAGGAGGATTACTTGAACCCAGGAGGTGGAGGTTGCAGTGAGCCGAGATCACACCACTGCACTCCACTATAATCTTATTGGAGGTCAGTTTAGCGATTTATATCACTGTTAAATGTACTTTGCCCAGACTAGAGTGCAATGGCTCAATTATAGTTTACTGCAAGCCTCGAACTCCTGGGTTCAAGTGATCCTCCTTTCTTAGCCCCTCAAGTAGCTGGGATTACAGGCATGAGCCATCACACCTGGCTAATTTTTTTATTTTTATTTCTTGTGAAGACAAAGTCTCCTTATGTTGCCCAGACTGGTCCCAAACTCCTGGGCTCAAGTGATCCTCCTATCCTGGCTTCCCAAAGTGCTGAGATTACAGGTGTGAGCCACTGCACCTGGCCAATGTACCTGTTTCTTGACCTCACAGTTCCAAGTTTAAATTTGTCTCTAGGCCAGGCACTTTTCTCTGGGTGGCTCATGCCTGTGTAATCCCAGCACTTTGAGAGGCTGAAGCCAGTGGATTGCTTCAGCTCAAAAGTTCAACACTAACTTGGAAAACACAGTGAGAACTTGTCTCGAAAGAAAGAAAGAGAGAAAGAAGGAAGGAAGGAAAAGAAAGAAAAGGAAGGAAGGAAAATAAAAGAATGGAAAGAAGGAAGGAAGGAAAGGAAGGAAGGGAAGGGAGGAAGGAAGAGGAGGAGGGAGGGGAGGGGAGAAATTTGCTCGCAGGCAATGGTTTTCTTTTTTTTTTTTTTTTTTAATGGAATCTCACTCTGTCACCCAGGCTGGAGTGCAGTGGCCTGATCTGGGCTCATTGCAACCTCTGCCTCCCAGGTTCAGGCAATTCTCCTGCCTCAGCCTCCCAAGTAGCTGAGGTTACAGGCACCTGCCACCACACCTGGCTAATTTTTTGATTTTTTAAAGTAGAGATGATGTTTCACTATGTTGGCCAGGCTGCTCTCAAACTCCTAACCTCAAGTGATCTATCTGCCCACCTCAGCCTCCCAAGTACTGGGATTACATTTGTGAGCCAGCCAAGGCAATGATTTTCAGCCCAGAGAAATCTCGCCCCTCTGGGGTACATCTGACAACTTCCGGAGACTTTTTGGCTTGGGAAATGGGTACTCTTGGTATCTAGTGGGTAGAGGCCAGCGATGCTGCTAAACCATGCATAGGACAGAGAATTCTGCAGCCCGCAGTGTCAGTAGTGCAGAGGTTGGGAAACCACGGTCTATAGACACAAACTTGTTAGGAAGAAAGAGCAAGTGATTTTGTAAATAAAGGGGCTTAAAAAATTTTTTTTTAATTATTTTTGAGACAAGGTCTTGCTTCGTCACCCAGGCTGGAGTGCAGTGGTGCAGTCATAACTCTGTACCCTTGACCTCCTGGGATCAACGTATCCTCCCATCTTAGCCTCCTGAGTAGCTGGGACCATGGGTACACACCACCATGCCCAACTAATTTTTACATCTTTTGTAGAGAGTCTCACTGTGTTGCTCAGGCTGGTCTTGAATCCCTGGGCTCAAGCGATCCTCTCACCTTGGCCTCCCTGATGTGCTGGGATTTCAGGTGCCAGCCACCAAACCCAGCCAAATGAAGGGGCCCTTGACAAGAGGGGTTGCAGATGTGTGTCTCCCTCAGTGTGGATGCCCAACCTTATGCTTCAAGAAAGAGTTTTGTGACCTCAGTGTGCTTTTCTGAAGAACATGGTCCCAATCTATTAACTCCATCTGTTTCTCTAAGAAGGAAGCAGTGTTTGGGGATTCTTGGCCCATTTCAGAGTCCACCATGGGTCTCCCATAATCCATGTTCATTATGAATGTTCCCCCTCTCTCTCACCTGTGGATTTGGGCTGGATTTATGTCTCTGGGTATGACAAGAGTTCCCTGGGGATCTTGGCTAGCAGTGGAGAGGGATCTCTGAATAAACTTGACTTTTATTTATTTGTTTGTTTGTTTATTGCTTGAGACAGAGTCTCACTGTCGCCCAGGTTGGTGTGCAGTGGTGCGATTTCTGCTCACTGCAATCTCCACCTCCCAGGTTCAAGCAAGTCTCCTGCCTCAGCTGGCTGAGAGCTGGGATGGCAGGCATGCACCACCACACCCGGCTGATTTTTGTATTTTTAGTAGAGATGGGGTTTCACCATGTTGGCCAGGCTGGTCTCAAACTCCTAACCTCAAGCGATCCACCCGTTTTAGCCTCCCAAAGTGCTGGGATTAAAGGTGTGAGCCACCGCGTCCAGCCGTAAACTTGCTTTGTTATGTTTCTAGGAGAACCTGTCAGAGCTCCGTCAGGAGAAGGCCAAGTTGACATTCAATCAGCAGCTGACCCGCTTCTCTGCCTACGTGGTGTCCTGGGTTGTCTCTACAGGAGTGGCCATCGCCTGCTGTGTAGCCGTTTATTACCTGGCTGAGTACAACTTAGAGGTAACCAACACCAGAGCTCAGGGCAGAGAGAACCAGGTGAAGGGATGAAATGCTGGAAGGGAAGGGTGGCGTGAAGCCCATGGTTCAACCTAGGATCTATGGCCAGCAGCATCAGCCCCAGCAGGGAACTTGTCAGAAATACTGGGGTGAGGCACAGTGGCTCACACCTGTAATCCCAACACTCTGGGAGGCTGAGATGGGAGGATCACCTGAACCCAGGAGTTCGAGACCAGCCTGGGCAACATGGAGACTCCATCTCTACAAAAATTTTAAAACCTAGCCTGGCATTGTGGCGTGCACCTGCAGTCCTGGCTACAGTGGTAGTCATTCACTGGTGACTACAGTTTCATGTGAATGGTAGCTCAGCCCAACTGTGTCGTTTCATAGCCCTGGGGCCAGACCTTGCCTTGTCTGATCTCAGTTAATTCTTGCAACATCTCTGTGGATTATGTGATCATCTCTCCATTGTACAGATAGAAAAAAGGGGCTCCGAGAAGCTAAGGCTCTGGCCCCAGACCTTGCAGCTTATGTGTGGGGAGGGAACCGCATTGGAACCCAGGTTACCCTGGCTCCCTGGCTCCAAAGATACAATTGGTGCTTTTGAACCATCCATAGGTAGACGGAAATAGGGTGAGGCCATTCAGGGAAGAGGTGGGAAGGTGAGACATCAGATAAATCCATTGGAATCCCTGACTCCAGGACCCATGGAAGGACGCCTGGCAGAGGTGCAGCCCCGGCTCCACTCCCAGTGGAATGCCAGAGTGCTGCCGCCTCCTGGAGGCCCAGTGCCTCTCCCAGCATCACACAGAAGTGCAGCATGGGGCCAGGTGCAGTGGCTCAAGCCTGTAATGCCAGCACTTTGGGAGGCCGAGGTAGGCAGATCACTTGAGATCAGGAGTTCGAGACAAGCCTGACCAACATGGCGAAATCCCATCTCTACTAAAAATATAAAATTAGTTGGCTGTGGTGGTGCACACCTGTAATCCCAGCTACTCAGGAGGCTGAGTCAGGAGAATCACTTGAACCTGGGAGGCAGAGGTTGCAGTGAACAGAGATTGCACCACTGCACTGCAGCCTGGGCAACAGAGTGAGACTGTGGCTCAAAAAAAAAAAAAAAGGTGCAGTACAGGTGAGCAGAGGCACCCCAACCCCTTAATTCAGAACTCAGAGGCAGGTGAAACCTGGTGAAAGTGAAAGGCGGCACAGGAGAGGGAAAGAGAAATTTCATGGTGATTGATACCCTTGTAGCTTCAGAAGATTCAGCTTATGCTTAACAGGAGGAGCACATCCTCGTTGCCCCGGCATCTTGTAAAAGAGGGAAAGCCACAGAATGACTGTTCGAGCTCAGGCTCCTGAGTCAGACGCACCTAGGCTCCAATCTGCCACTCCCTTGCTGGGTGACCCTGGGCAAGTGTCTTCCCTCCCTGAGCCTTGGTTTGTTTGGCACCGGGTACACAAATTGATGGTAGCTTAATAAATAGTTAACCTGGCCTGGTGCGGTGGAATTCCAGCACCTTGGGAGGCCAAGGTGGATGGATCACCTGAAGTCAGGAGTTCGAAACCAGCCAGCCAACATGGGGAAACCCTGTCTCTACTAAAAATAAAAAAAATTAGCCAGGTGTGGTGGTGGGCGCCTGTAGTCCCAGCTACTCAGGAGGCTGAGGGAGGAGAATCGTTTGAACCTAGGAGGCGGAGTTGCAGTGAACTGAGATCATGCCACTGCACTCCAGCCTGGGCAACAGAGCAAGACTCCATCTCAAAAATATATTTTTTTAAATAATAAATAAATATTTAACACCAGAGGAGCTACTTCTGGGGTTTTCTGTCACGGGAGACTTCTGAGTTAGGCAGAAAGGGGTACAGTGTACAAGCCAGCTCTCCATTCTCTTTTCCATACCTTGCAGTTCCTGAAGACACACAAGAACCCCGGGGCGGTGTTGTTACTGCCTTTCGTTGTGTCCTGCATTAATCTGGCCGTGCCACGTATCTACTCCATGTTCAGGCTCGTGGAGAGGTACGAGATGCCGCGGCACAAAGTCTACGTTCTCCTGATCCGGTAGGTCATCTGTCGCACCCAGCACCAGCCTCCATTTCCATGAAGAGAAATGGGATGGGTGCTAGAAAGGATTATGCTTTAGTGTTAATGTTTTGTTCTCCAGAAAGACAGAATTTCAAAAATAAAGTGTGGCTGGGCATGGTGGCTCATGCCAGTAATCCCAGCACTTTGGGAGGCTGAGGTGTGAGGATCACTTGAGACCAGGAGTTTGAAAACAGCCTGGGCAACATAGCCAGATGCTGCCTCTACAGAAAATCAGCAGGATACAGTGGCATGCACCTGTTAGTGCCAGCTATGAGGCTGAGGTGAGAGGATCACTTGATCCTAGGAGTTTGAGGTTACCTATGATGGCACCAGGGCACTCCAGCCTGTGTGACAGAGCAAGACCCTGTCTTAAACAACAAAAAAAGAATGAAGTGTGTTTGTGTGGCGTGGGCTTTTGCTCAAAGTCATGGCTTGATTGCTTTCTTGATTGCTACCACTGGGGGATTGATTTAGTTCTCAAGTATGGGATGTACATATGAGCAGGCAGTGCACTGCACAAAGGCTCCTGAGTGAGAGGGGGACTGAAATCATCCAGTGTTTTCCTTAGTCAAGCTGTGAGTCCTGGTACCCATGGCCTCAGGAGGGAGAAAGAGGTGCGTATTTGTAATTCCACCACCCAAACAAAGGTGGGAGGAGTGCTTTGGGCAACTCAGTAGCACCCACAGGATGCCTTTTTGTGATTCCCACAAAGGCATCATATGTGCTAGAAGTGATCCCGGAGTTTTGATAAACAAAGCCTGAAATTTTGTCCTCCTTTCCCGACTCTTTCCTGGTTATGGTGGGGTTATAAGTACAGGGCTATAGGCCAGGCACTGTGGCTCACACCTGTAATCCCAGCATTTTGGGAGGCCACGGTGGGTGGATCACCTGAGGTCAGGAGTTCGAGACCAGTCTGGCCGACATGGTGAAACCCTGTCTCTACTAAAAATATAAAAATTAGCTGGGTGTGGTCATGTACATATGTAATCCCAACTATTTGGGAGGCTGAAGCAGGAGAATCACTTGAACCCAGGAGGTGGTGTTTGCAGTGAGCCAAGACCCAGCCACTGCACTCCAGCCTGGGCAACAGAGCGAGACTCCATCCCAAAAAAAAGAAAAAGAAAAAAAAAAAGTATAGGTCTGTACAACGCAGACTGAGTTTCTTTGCTGATCAGTTCCAGAGCCCTTGCCTTACTGTGGTCTGTGAGATCTGGCTCCTGGCCAGCACTCCAGCCTCATTTTTTCCCCCTGTCCTTCCTGCTCACCGCCTGTCACTGTCACTGACCTCCTAACTGTTCACAAACATGCCAAACTATTTTCCCACCTCTGGATCTTTGCATGGGCCTGAAATATTCTTCCCACACACACCACAAGGCTTGCTTACTGACTGCATTTTGCGTTCTTCAAACATCACCCACATGTTCCACTCTTCCTTGCACACTTCATTAAAAATAACAGCTCCCTCCCACCCTTTCTCTTCTACCATATAATTTTTTTTTACCACTTCCTAACATATTTGTGTTTATTTATATTCCTCCGCCACAGTTTATGGGGAAATCTTTGCCTTGTTCACAGTGCCCGAGATATCATAGGTGCTCAAGAATGATTGATGAATGAATGAGCAAATCGGTCAGTCAATTATATCCAATTGATATTATGAAAATTCCAGCCAGGTGCAGTGGCTCATGCCTGTAATCCTAGCACTTTGGGAGGCCAAAGTGGGAGGATTGCTTGAGCCCAGGAGTTCAAGACCAGCCGGGGCAACATGGTGAGACTCCATCTCTACAAAAAATTTAAAAATTAGTCGGGCATAGTGTATTGCGCCTGTAGTCCCAGCTACTCAAGTGGCTGAGGTAGGAGAAGTGCTTGAGCCCAGGAGGTCGAGGCTGCAGTGAGCCATGGCCACACCAGTGTACTCCAGTCTGGATAACAAAATGAGATCCTGTCTCAAAAAAGAGGAAGGAGGGGAGGACAGGAGGACAGGAGGATGGGAGGAAGGGAGGGAGGGAGGGAAAGAAAGAGAAAGAAAGTAGTTCTGACTATATTCCTATACCCTCATTATTCCCCATATCCCACCCACTGATCCATGATGCCACTTTTTAAAATATGTATAGAAGGGAAAATTCAGGTCACACTCTCACCCCATAACCTTGCATATTGAGTATGATGGACATAAAATACTATCTACCAGATGATGGAGTTGTAAAGACTGAGGGGGATGATTCAGTAAAGAGCTTGGCAGTGTATGTTGGGTCAGCACCCAATAAACATTTTGTACATTTACTATTACTATAATAGGAAGTGAAATTAAATCATTTGAGAGTTCAACAAAAGAGAATGTATCATTCAGAATAAATTAGGTTATACTGCAGTAACAAACAACCCCCCAAATCTCAGGGGCTTGGAACACAAAGGTTTATTTTTTGCTCATGTTACATACACAGTGTGGATTGTCAAAAGGGGCCTTCCCATGTTAGTCACTGAGGGATCCAGGCTGAGAGAGCAGCAGCCATCTTGAATGTCACTGGTCACCATTCCAAAGAGAAGATGGGGAGTTCTGGAGGGTCTCACAGATGCATTAAGTGCTCCAGCTTAGAAGTGACACACATAGCTTCTGCTCACAATTCATTCACTGGAACTAGCCATGTGCCCCCCTCCAACCATAGGGGCCAGGCATTTCTACCTTACCATGTGCCCAAAAGGAACTATTGGCAGACAGCATGAAAGACTATCATTGAAGGTGATCATAAATGTTGTTTCTTCTGTTTAGAAACATCTTTTTGAAAATATCAATCATTGGCATTCTTTGTTACTATTGGCTCAACACTGTGGCCCTGTCTGGTGAAGAGGTAAGATTATGTGCTTCTCTGCCTTAAGTTTGGTTTCTTAGCATTTGACCAACAGGGAGGACATGGGTTTCTCAAGAGCCATCACACTTGGCATTTGGTATTAATTCCTTGTGGGAAGAGAATGGAAACTAATCTGGGAAGCAACATAAGGCAAAGTGGGTCTCAACAAAAAAGCTCAGGTTCTGAAGGCAGGAGGATCTGATTTGAAGGCCAGCTGTGCTGTGTCATCTGCTGAATCGCTTAATCTCTTTCAGCCTTAGTTTTCTCATCTGTAAAATTGGGATTAAGCAATATCATATGTGGTATGAGTACAGTGCCCAGCATATGCAATGGATGGTAGTAATTTTAGTGCTAGTCTGTTTTTTTTTTGAGACGGAATTTCGCTCTTGTTACCCAGGCTGGAGTGCAATGACGCGATCTCGGCTCACCACAACCTCCACCTCTTGGGTTCAGGCAATTCTCCTGCCTCAGCCTCCCGAGCAGCTGGAATTACAGGCACACGCCACCATGCCCAGCTAATTTTTTGTATTTTTAGTATATCTGGGGTTTCATCATGTTGACCAGGATGGTCTCGATCTCTTGACCTCGTGATCCATCGCCTCAGCTTCCCAAAGTGCTGGGATTACAGGCTTGAGCCACCGCACCTGGCTGCTAGTCTGTTTTAATAGCCTTGGGGTTGAACAAAATCCTTTTTGATCCTTGATGTTCTGTTTTTCCTGTAACCTAGATACCCTGGGCTTTACCGATCTATAAGCTCATAAATACTGGAAGTAACAATTCTTTCCTAATGCTGACTGTTCCTGGCCCTCCTTCAATGGTTTTTAGTCTTCCCTAACTTCAGAGAATGGGTGCCTGATGCCCTCATTCTGAGGATGGTGTCCTATGTGGATTCAGGAACAAACCAACCTCTCTGGCCTTCTCATTGGATGCCTCTGCCCCAGCTATTGCATCCCCCATGAGAATGTGCCTTCACATCACGCAATAATCCTTAAAGGATGGTCGTCATGAGCCCTCAGATACCCAGGATGCCCTGGTGTCAGCAGCAGAGTCAAGGAATCAGGAGCCTGTCTCTATTTCACTGTTACCCATTATTCCTGGCCCCCAAAATAGCTCTGATGTGTTTGGACTCAAACCATCTTACATGAACATGGCACCCTCAACTTCCTTCCCTAATTGTCAAAGAGATTCAAAACCAGCCCTCCAAGTTAGGATGGTTAGAGCAGATGCCATATTATTCTTCCATGCATTTATCCATTCATGCATCCATCTAGCCATCCCTCCATCATCTATTTGTTCATCTATGCATATATTCATCCATCCATGTATTCATCTGTCCATTCATGTATCCATCTATCCATCAATTCATACATCCCTCTACTTATCCTTTTATCCATCTATGTATGCATCCATTCATCTATCCATTTATCCATCTATCCATACATATATTTATCCATTCATGTATTCATCTATCCATTCATTTATCCAACCATCCATCCCTTTATTCATTCATGTATCCATTCATGCATGCATCCATCCATTTATCTATCAATTCATGTATTCATCCAGCCATCTATTCATCCATCCATCTATGTATCCATCTATCCATTCATCCATCATCCATCCATTTACCCATCCATACATCCATTCATCCTTGGCCTGTGCACCCAAAAGTTTTCTCTCCTTCTGCAGCCAAATCTAAAAGCTCCCAGTCTATCAGCTGATAGCACTGACTTCCTGCAGAGGTTCCTAGCCACTAGTTTTATAGACTAACTAATTTGAACTTCCAGTTTACACTAGCCTGCTAAACCTCTGGGCCACTTTCTTAATCAAGCAGATATTAGTTGATTTTGTTGTAAGGTCAATAAGCAAAAAGAGTGAAGTCATTCTTAGCCATTGACACTTCTTGGTCTCTTGAAGAAACTGATTGCCCCTGGCTGAGAAATAGGATCCAGAGGGGATAGGGCAGAGATGAAAAGTTTTAAGGGGAGAGATCATGAGCAGGGAGTTTGGGTATATGTGGAAGGCAAGCTTTAAGGGGGAGAAGAAGGAAACCAAAAAGGGAATAACACCCCTGAAAACAAACTCGGCTGCATTTTTACAGAATGGGTCTAGTTTTTTGGGTACACAAAGACTTGGGCAAACCAAATCATTAGCCATGTCCTAATGGGTACCTAGAGCTAGGAACAGAGGAGAATTGAACTGAGGCCACAGCCCCTTTCCACATTCTGACTGTTGTTTGCCTTTCAGTGTTGGGAAACTCTAATTGGCCAGGAAATCTACCGGCTTCTTCTGATGGATTTTGTGTTCTCTTTAGCGGATTCCTTCCTGGGGGAGTTTTTGAGGAGGTAATTATTTGTCATTCTTAAGTAATTAGTACCTGATACTGTAACCAGAACCTGGTTTCTGGCTGAGGGGGATGTACAGATCCCTTACATACTCAAAGAATGCATTGTTCCAACTCTGCCAGTTGTCCTTAGGGATACTGTTCTCTCCTACATTAGCTAAAATTTCCCCTTAACCTGACAGTTCTGTTGTCATAGTTCACTTGGTTCAGTTGACCCTTTACAACCTTCTTTTGAAAACAAGTTCTAGAAATAAAAGACAGAAACCGAGCCATTTGAAATCTTATCCAGCTGGGTGCAGTGGCTCACGCCAGTAATTCCAGCACTTCGGGAAACTGAGGTGGGAGGATCACTGGGGCCAGGAGTTCAAGACTAGCCTGGGCAATGTAGCAAGACTCCCTCTAAAAAAAAATTAAAAAAAAAGAAAAAGGCAAAAAAAAAAGAAATCTTATCCACTGTGGATAATTTTAATACTATAGTATATATTCCTCCAGATTTTTCTGCGCACACATTGCTCTGTGTGTGTATTTTTACTATATAATACTATATAATTTTCAAAAGCAAAAATGGAGTCACACTGCATCATAGTGGAGAGTTTGCTTTAATTAATCTACCACTATGTCTTGACATCTTTCCATGTCAGTACATGTAGATTTATCTCATTGTTTTAATTGAGTTAATGTGCTCATTTTATATTAGATACAATATATACAGAATTGTGGCATTGTCATTGTGTCATGTCTGGTTTTTTAAATTTAGTAATTTACTTTTTAAATAATATGATGAACCTCTCATTCCTTATAGACATTTATGTATTTCTGTAAGCTGCTCTAGTAATAAGATGGTCTGACTATCAGATAAGATGGTGTGATGATGATTACTTTCTAGTGGGTAGATTCAATGCCAAATTTCCTCATTCATTTATGCCAAAATGTGCTTTTATTCTACCCTCTGTTGAGGGTCTGGATATAAAAGTGAAAAGGTTTGGCTGGGTGCAATGGCTCATGCCTATAATCCCAGCACTTTGGGAGGCTGAGGTGGGTGAATCACCTGCAGTCAGGAGTCCAAGAGCAGCCTGGCAATGTAGTGAAAGCCTGTCTCTACTGAAAATACAAAAATTAGCCAAGAGTGGTGGCGCGTGCCTGTAATCCCAGCTACTTGGGAGGCTGAGGCAGGAAAATTGCTCGAACCCAGGAGGCACAGGTTGCAGTGAGCCAAGATTGTGCCATTGCACTCCAGCCTGGGTGACACAGCAAAACTCCATCTCAAAAAAAAAAAAAAGGGGGGCCGGGCGCGGTGGCTTAAGCCTGTAATCCCAGCACTTTCGGAGGCCGAGGCGGGTGGATCACGAGGTCAAGAGATCGAGACCATCCTGGTCAACATGGTGAAACCCCGTCTCTACTAAAAATACAAAAAATTAGCTGGGCATGGTGGTGTGTGCCTGTAATCTCAGCTACTCAGGAGGCTGAAGCAGGAGAATTGCCTGAACCCAGGAGGCGGAGGTTGTGGTGAGCCGAGATCCCGCTATTACACTCCAGCCTGGGTAACAAGAGCGAAACTCCGTCTCAAAAACAAACAAACAAACAAAAAGATGAAAAGGTTTTTTATTTTTTGACAGAACTTTTTTTAACTGACAACTCCTTTTTATTAATAAATTAATATGGAATAAAATTTCCCCAGAGTAAATCCTTCTTGTGGATTTAGGATACAGGAAAAAATAATTAATGTGATAGCAGCAACCAAACATTTGAAAATATTTGAGTTGAGTTCTCAAATCTCTCTCAAATGTATTTTAAAGGTGCCGAGTTCATCTGGTTCATGAAAAAAAAATGTTTAATTACCAAAGAGGGGTATGACATAATAGTGGGATCATTTAAATGTTCAGGGTAACAAATGTTCTCTAGAATTTTTTAAACCCCCACTTCATTGCATTTTATTAAACTAGTTTTCCCTCAATCCCTTCAATTACTTCTTCAAAAACATGTTTATAGATTTAGAACTTTTGAAAAATTTGCAAGGGAACTTGTGACTTTATTTCAAGCTGGTGAGGATCTCTTCTGCTGTTTGTCCTGGTCTGTGGGGGAATCTTTTGAAAGTGGGAGTTATGGTTTGGGTACTAAATTCCATATGTCTTCACAGAATCATTGGGATGCAACTGATCAAAAGTCTTGGAGTCCAGGAGTTTGACATTGCCAGGAATGTTCTAGAACTGATCTATGCACAAACTCTGGTGTGGTAAGTTTTGTGACTCAGCAAAATGCCTAGTGGTTCCTATGGGACTGTGGGGTTGGTGTTTTGGTGGCGAAGCCCCAGAATCTGTTGTTTTCAAAGCTGCATGGGTGATACCCCATCCAGACAGTCTGAGAAACATGAATTTAGCATTGAGACTATTATTTTCCTTTATGAGAGCTTAAGGACTTTAGACAGGAATCAGCATAGAGCAGGGATCTCCACCTGGATGCCCACAGGTCATGTCCAGCCCTGCAGGTGTGTTTTGTTTGCCCCTAAAAATTTGAATTAACCACTGCTATAGTCTCAATGTTTGGGTCTTCCCACAAATTCATATGTTCAAACTTAATTTCCTATTTAATGGAGGTAGGGTTTTTGGGAGGTGATCTTAGGAATGGGATTAGTGCCCTTATAAACAAAGCCCAAGAGACCCCTTGCCCCTTCCACCATGTGAGGACATGGAGAGAAGGCAATATCTAGGAATCACTAAGCAGGGCCCCACCAGACACCAAATCTGCCGCACCTTGAACTTGCACTTCCCAACCCCCGGAACCGTAAGAAATAAATTTCTGCTGTTTTATTTATTTGTTTTTAATTTTTAGATGGAGTCTTGCTCTGTCACCCAGGCTGGAGTGCAATGGCGCAATCTCAGCTCACTGCAACCTCTGCCTCCCAGGTTCAAGCGATTCTCTTGCCTCAGTCTCCCAAGTAGCTAGGACTACAGGCATGTGCCACCACACCAGCCAATTTTTTGTATTTTCGGTAGAGACAGGTTTTACCATGTTAGCCAGGGTGGTCTCAAACTGCTGACTTCAGGTGATCCACTCACCTCGGTATCCCAAAGTGCTGGGATTACAGTCATGAGCCACCACGCCAGGCCGGTGTTTATAATCCACCCAGTTCATGACGTTTTGTTATAGCAGCCTGAATGGACTAAGACAACCACCCATATTTAAACTTCAGGAGATTTCACATAACACTTATATTTCTGGCTTCTCTCCAGAAAGATCTGTGGCAAACTGAGCTTCTCCAGTTCTAACTGTTGTCTCCACCTTTAACGGTTGTCTCCTACCATTGATTTGCCATTTTTCATTGCCTTTAGGCTGTTAGTTTACATGCAAACTTTACTGTGCATCCATGTCTCTACAGCAATAGGACAATAAACAGAGGCAGAGAGGGCTGTTGTGTTTCTTAGATCTGATGTACCATTTGATGGGTTCTCTATAGTTTTTGGCCATTGAGAATAGCTAACTGGTTGCAGTAAATATTTTTACACACTCACCTGGAAACTGCAAACCAATAGTCAGTGGCTGTCTTTCCTTATTTATTTGGTTTCCTTTCTTTTTTTTTTTTTTTTTTTTTTGAGGCAGAGTCTTGCTCTGCTGCTGAGGCTGAAGTGTAGTGGTGTAACCTCCACCTCCCAGGTTAAATCGATTCTCCTGCCTCAGCCTCCCAAGCAGCTGGGACTACAAGCATGCACCACCACACCTGGCTAATTTTTGTATTAGCAGGGACAGGGTTTCACCATTTTGACCATACCGGTTTTGAGCCCCTGGCCTCAAGTGATCCACCCACCTCAACCTCCCAAGATTCTGGCATTATAGGTGTGAGCCACCATGCTCAGCCTATTTAGTTTTGAGACAGGGTCTCACTCTGTTGCTCAGGCTGGAGTGCAGTGGCGTGATCATGGCTCACGGCAGCTGCAACCTCCTGAGCTCACGCAATCTTCCTGCCTTACTTTTCCTTATTTATTTTAACGTGATTCAATTAACACCAGAATTCTGTATGGTGAATCACATTCCCAGGTTCCGTCTGACGGGGTGTTGCTAATTTGAAAGCATTGGATTTGGAATTGCATAAACTGAATTCTGAGGCTGGCTCCGCCACTCACAGAGATCACTGTGCTTGTCTGAGCCTCAGTCTCATCTGTAAATGAATATAATAGCTGCCTTTGAATCATGTTGAGGATTAAATGCCATGGTAGATGAAAACTGCTTTGCAGGCCAGGCACGGTGGCTCATGCCTGTAATCCCAGCACTTTGGGAGGCTGAGGTGGGCAGATCACGTGAGGTCAGGAGTTTGAGACCAGCCTGGCCAACACGGAGAAACCCATCTGTACTAAAAATACAAAAAATTAGCCAGGTGTGGTGGTGCATGCCTGTAATCCCAACTACTCGGGAGGCTGAGGCAGGAGAATTGCTTGAATCTGGGAGGCGGAGGTTACGATGAGCCGAGATGATTGTACCATGGCTCTCCAGCCTGGGCAACAAGAGCAAAACTCCATCTCAAAAAAAAAAGAAAATTGCTTTGCAAATGCCAGTATGTCATACAATGGAAGAGTGTTTTATTTTCTGATTCTTTAAAGCTGCCCTGGGTGATTTGGCTGTCTGCAAATAACTCAATGTTAATGAGTTTATGTTTTTAGAGACAGTGAGGACCTTTCTTTGGTAGTTTATGTGATATATTTGCATGCTGCTATGTCACCTGGTAATTTGGCAGTTTACAGAGGCCTTTCTTCCACATTATTTCAACTAGGATGTCATTGGACAAGTTACATAAACACTTTTTAAACCTTAGTTTTCTAATCTTTAAATAGTAGAGATACCTACTCACAGGGTTTTCGAGAGGATTAAATAGGCATGGTGGCTCACACCTAAAACCCCAGCTCTTTGAAAGGCCGAGGCGGTCAGATCACTGGAGGTCAGGAGTTCAACACCAGCCTGGTCAACTTGGTGAAACCCTGACTCTACTAAAAATACAAATTAGCTGGGTATGGTGGCATGTGCCTATAATCTCAGCTACTTTGGAAGCTGAGGCAGAAGAATAGCTTGATCTAGGGAGGCGGAGGTTGCAGTGAACCAAGACCATGCCATTGTACTCTAGCCTGGGAGACAGAGCAACACTCTGTCTCAAAAAAAAAAAAAAAAAAAAAAGAAATCACCATTATGACTTCCGGGCCTTTGAGATTTTTGTCAATAAATCATGAATAAGCACAATCAAAAACACATATCTTTTTTTTCCCATGGTTATTACAGTTCTAACCTTTGTGGTTTTAGGACAATATTTTGGTGATGAGTTTTACAAGAAGATAATATAATGACAGAAAAGGCTATATGTTAGGGACAGTGGTAGAGGTGAGGTGAGGAATGTGTTTCCCAAGTTTTAGTCTATTGTACACCAGTCTATTTTTTGGTATAGTGACCTTTCACATGCATTATTACCTACTCAATTTTTTTTAATTATTTGCCTTTTTTGAAATCAAATACATTTTTTTTAATGCCATGGTAGATGACAATTGCTTTTCATCGGCCTCCCAAAGTGCTAGGATTATAGGAGTGAGCCACTGTGCCCATTTAATCCTCTTGAAACTCTGTGAGTAGGTACTAGTATGTCTGCCATTTAAAGATTAGAAGGCTGGGCGCGGTGGCTCAAACCTGTAATCCCAGCACTTTGGGAGGCCGAGGCGGGTGGATCACAAGGTCAAGAGATCGAGACCATCCTGGTCAACATGGTGAAACCCCGTCTCTACTAAAAATACAAAAAATTAGCTGGGCATGGTGGTGCGTGCCTGTAATCCCAGCTACTCACGAGGCTGAGGCAGGAGAATTGCCTGAACCCAGGAGGCGGAGGTTGTGGTGAGCTGAGATCGCTCCATTGCACTCCAGCCTGGGTAACAAGCACGAAACTCCATCTCAAAAAATAAATAAATAAATAAAGATTAGAAAACTAAGGTTTAGAGAGATTTTGTAACTTGCCCAATGGCATCCCGCTTGAAATAATATTCAAGAAAGGACTTTGTAAACTGCCAAACTGCTTTTCCCAACATCAGCAGTCTCCCTGAGGTCAGTAAGACTTCAGATGGCAAAATATCAGGCATGCGCCACCACGCCTGGCTAATTTTTGTATTTTTAGTAGAGATGGGGTTTTGCCATGTTGGCCAGGCTGGTTGCAAACTCCTTATGTCAGGTGATCTGCCCACCTCGGCTTCCAAAAGTGATGTGATTACAGGCATGAGCCACGTGCCTGGCCTCTCAAATATATTTTTAAAGGAAACTTTATTTACAATCATAAATGGAAAAACCAGTGCCATTTGACAGAAATCACAAATAACTGGAAAAATAAAAGCAATCTCATGCCAAACAGTCATTACATTCTAGCAAGATGATACTGTCTGCCAAGGCTCTCAGCCCAAGGCCTACTCCTTTTTGTTAAAAAAAAAAAAAAAAAGGAGATTGCCACATGTTAGCAGTTAAGGCATTCTAGCACCACACTGAGATTTTCTCCTTTTGTTGCTGAAGAACGAGAGTTGGAAGCAATGCCTTTCTTATTTGGAACTCAATGCTTTTGAATGCCTTGTCCCTGCAGGACCTCAGACCTTCTTGAATACCATGGGGGAGCAAGAAGGAGGAGGGCAAGGCATAGGGTATGCCTTAAATTTGGGACTTGCTAAGTTAGGACATGCTGAATACCATCTGTTGGGTTGGTAGGTGGGTGGGTGGTTTCTCTATAAAATCTCCTTTCCAAGCCAGGCGCAGTGGCTCATGCCTGTAATCCCAGCACTTTGGAAGGCCGAGGCGGGTGGATCGCGAGGTCAGGAGTTCAAGATCAGCCTGGCCAAGATGATGAAACCCTGTGTCTACTAAAAACACACAAAAAATTAGCCAGGTGTGGTGGCAGGCACCTGAAGTCCCAGCTACTTGGGAGGCTGAGGCAGGAGAATTGCTTGAACCTGGGGAGCAAATGTTACAGTGAGATGGCACCACCGCACTCCCGCCTAAGCAACAGAATGAGACTTTATCTCAAATTTCAAAAACTCCTTTTCAGAGCTGGGAAGAAGGTAGCTGTGGATACTTGGTATGGCGGGAATCTGCCTAATTTGCCGGGATGGAAGCAGGCCCCCTCTGTATTAGTTTGCTGGGGCTGCCGTAACGAAGTCCCACACACTGAGTGGCTTAAACAACAGCAATTTCTTTCTTTCTTTCTTTCTTTTTTTTTTTTTGAGATGGAGTTTCGCTCTTGTTACCCAGGCTGGAGTGCAATGACGCGATCTCGGCTCACCGCAACCTCCGCCTTCTGGGTTCAGGCAATTCTCCTGCCTCAGCCTCCTGAGTAGCTGGGATTACAGGCATGCACCACCATGCCCAGCTGATTTTTTGTATTTTTAGTAGAGATGGGGTTTCACCATGTTGACCAGGATGGTCTCGATCTCTTGACCTTGTGATTCACCCGCCTTGGCCTCCCAAAGTGCTGGGATTACAGGCGTGAGCCACCGCGCCTGGCCAGCAATTTCTTATCTCACAGTTCTGGAGGCCAGAGGTCCAAGATCAAGGTGTGGGTAGAGTTGGTTTCTTCTGAGGGCCATAAGGGAGGGATCTGTCTCAGGCCTCTCTCACTGGCTTATAGATGGCCATCTTCTCCCCATCTCTTTACATGGTCTTCCATATCTGTGTGTGTCTATGTCCTAATCTCTTCTTCTTTTTTTTTTTTTGTTTTTTTTGAGATGGAGTCTTGCTCTGTCATCCAGGCAGGAGGGCAATGGCACAATCTCAGTTTACCTCAACCTCCGCCTCCTGGGTTCAAGGGATTCTCCTGCCTCAGCCTCTCAAGTAGCTGAGATTACAAACGCGTGCCATCATGCCTGGCTAATTTTTGTGTTAGTAGAGATGGGGTTTCGCCATGTTGGTCAGGCTGGTCTCAAACTCCTGACCTCAGGTGATTCACCCACCTTGGCCTCCCAAAGTGCTGGGATTACAGGCGTGCGCCACCTCGCCCAGCCTCCTAATCTCTTCTTTTAGGGACACTAGTTGTACTGGATTAAAGCCTGCCATAGTGATCTCATTCTATCTTAATCACCTCTCAAAGGCCCTGTCTCCAAATACAGTCACGTTCTGAGATATTGGGGGTTAAGGCCTCAACATATGGACTTTTGGGGAGACACAGTCCAGGCCACAACATTCTTTTTCTCTTCCCTCCAACCACCCAGATTCACCCCAACTCCTTGTGTCTCCCCCCAGCCTCTGACACTCACCCTCTCTCCCTCTCAGGATTGGAATCTTCTTCTGCCCTCTGCTGCCCTTTATCCAAATGATTATGCTTTTCATCATGTTCTACGCCAAAAATGTGAGTCAGTCCAACATTGCCATCAATCAGTTTTACTCAAACACCTGTGACCTGGTGCACTTAAAGCTGGGGAAGGGGGCTCTGCGAAGGTCTCAGGAAGCTGGGCCTGGCTGGGGTCCCTCTGCTGCTGCTCTGGCTGCAGATGGGAGGGAGCTGCCTCTTTCTCTTCAGGTCAGCCTGATGATGAATTTCCAGCCTCCAAGCAAAGCCTGGCGGGCCTCACAGATGATGACTTTCTTCATCTTCTTGCTCTTTTTCCCATCCTTCACCGGGGTCTTGTGCACCCTGGCCATCACCATTTGGAGGTAGGAAAAGGTGGCCTTGGGTGAAGTTTTAGAGACTGGGTGGAAGGGCATGTGTTTTAAAATGTAGGTTTTATTATAATTCAGATGTGGTGAGGCCAGGTACAGTGGCTCATGCCTACAATCCCAGCACTATGGAAGGCCAAGGTGTGTGGATCACTTGAGCCCAGGAGTTCGAGACCAGCCTGGCCAACATGGTGAAACCCTGTTTCTACTGAAAATACAAAAATTAGCCGGGCATGGTGGTGTGTGCCTGTAATCTCAGCTACTCGGGAGGCTGAGGCAGGAGAATCACTTGAACCTGGGAAGTGGAGGTTGCAGTGAGCTGAGATTGCACCACGGCACTCCAGCCTGGGTGACAGAGTGAGATGCTGTCTAGATAGATAGATAGATAGATAGATAGATAGATAGATAGATGATTGATAGATAGATAGATAGATAGATAATCTAGGTGTGGTGAAACCCAACAGATCAGGAATGACCACCAGTAAAAAAGTAGTTTATTACTCACAGTTCCTGAGAAGAGAGGGCACAAGGGACCACACGGGGAAGCATCAGGATTGGTCAGGAGGTAGAGGGAGTGAAGGGAAACATGAGCTAGAGCCGTTGTTGTGGTTTTCTATGGTAAGGAATGGGACAGGCAGAGGAAGCAGGTTTAGGATTGGCTGGTTTGAGTAGGCTGTGAGATGTGGGGCTGTCCTGAGTCATCTGGCACCTGGCCTGGTGTGATTAGGGCAGGGGAGTGGTGGCCCAGAGTGTAGGAGCCTGATAAAGGGAGCGTTTGGTGTGTGGGATCTGGGTTGGTTGGTTTGCATTTGAAACGTGTGCTTTGCAAGCTAGCCCAGGGAGCTGGGGTCATTAAGACCCCAGATGTTAAAACATCAGAGTAAACAGACTTAACACAGTGTCTAACCTAAGTTCCCTTTGCTAACCAACAGTCACTAAAAGCCAGGGAGGGAATACATCCTAGTTTGATCACTACCCATCGAAACCGAAGCTTCCCAGAATGGGGAGACACCCCCGCCAGTTCTTCACTTCTGGAACAGAACTTAATCCAAATTAACGGAAAAGCAGGACTGATCCAGCTCCTCCCACCCCTCCAACCCCACCTCCCTTTGGCTTACCCCAGCCCCACGGCTCTCACCTCATTCCTGGAAGCAAGAAAACCCCTCCCAACATGGGCAGAGTCCTCTGAGTGAAGAAGTCCTCTCCCCACTCCCTTTGCTTGGCTGCCTCCTCTCCACCCTCTGATTCTCAGCTCCAAGGCCCTCTTCAAGATCTGACCTTCAGAGCCCGCCTTGTCTGCCGTCAGTTCCCCACTGCTTCTCTCTCTCAGGCCTGAGTTTCTTTCCTTCATTCCATCATTTATAATTAGGAATGCCTCTGTTTGAATCTTTTTTTAATTGTTACTCAACAATTGTCCATTTTTCCCACCAGAACATAAGCCATATACATAAACCAGAACATAAACAATAGGGCAGGAACTGTCTGCCTTGCTTAATATGGAGTCCCCAGAGCCTGACTAGAATAGCACTTAATGGAATAAACCATGGTTGAATGAATAATGGAATGAATGAACAAGGGAAATGATATTTAGGACATGTGGAACTGGGACCCTCAGTTCCTTGCTCCACAACATCCTTGCTTCTCTTGGTATATCCACTTTCTTCTTTCTCTTCCTCACCAGTTCCTTGTTGCCCTATAGTTTCTGCTCATTCCTCCATCGCTAACAGGGTTCCCTCTTTATGCATCTTAATTCAAATTCTTTCTTTGAGACGGGGCCTCACCCTGTCACTCAGGCTGGAGTGCAGTGGCGCAATCACAGCTCGCTGCACCCTCAAACTCCTGGACTCAAGTGATCCTCCCACCTCAGCCTCCTGAGTAGCTGGGACTATAGGTGCACATCACCAAGCCTGGCTAATGTTTTGTGTTTTGGTAGAAATGGGGGTCTTGCTGTGTTACCTAGGCTGGTCTCAAACTCTTAGCCTCAAGTGATCCTCCCGCCTTGATCTCCCAAAGTGCTGGGATTGTAGGTGAGCCACCACACTCAGCCTTAATTCAAGTTGTTTTTTTTTTTAGACAGAGTCTTGCTCTGTTGCCCAGGCTGCAGTACAGTGGTATGATCACAACTTTTATATATATATACACATATATTTTGTAGAGACAGAGTCTCTCTATGTTGCCCAGGCTGGTCTTGAACTTCTGCTCAGGCAGTTCTTCCACCTTGGCATCCCAAAGTGTTGGGATTAGCAGCATAAGCCATAGTGCCTGGCCTTAATTAAAGTTCTAAAGAAAGAGAGTCTGACTGCCCCCATTCAATCATTGAGCCAAGTTACTGCAGAAGTCACTGCCTGGCCTTTGGATTGGCTGCTGTTGGGTCAGGTGATCCCTGTGATCCAAGAGCCAGTGCTTGGAGTGCAGGTCACCCCAGCAAGGCTGTGAGTGAGAGTTTCCTTGGGAAGGGGTGTAAGTGGATCAGGCAAGACTTAATGCTTTCAGGCCCAGAGTCCAGAAAGGACACCCTCATTCTAGAATAACCATCCCTGAGTCTTGTGCTAGAGATGTTCTTTCATCCTTTGTTTTACCAGATTGAAGCCTTCAGCTGACTGTGGCCCTTTTCGAGGTCTGCCTTTCTTCATTCACTCCATCTACAGCTGGATCGACACCCTGAGTACACGGCCTGGCTACCTGTGGGTTGTTTGGATCTATCAGAACCTCATTGGAAGTGTGCACTTCTTTTTCATCCTCACCCTCATTGTGTTGTGAGTGAGACACCTGGGAAATCTAGGGGGGAAAGCCAAGAGCTCTCCGGGGAAACAGCAGAAGGGATGTTTGGTTAGAAAGCAAATGGCTATAGCACAGCTCAGTGTTCTGGGTGACTCTACCCTTGCTTAGGTAGTTTTCTTCCTTCCTTTCTTTTCCTCCCTCCCTCCCTCCCTCCCTCTCTCTCTTTCTTTTCTTTTTTCATTTTTTTCTTTTCATTCTTCTTTCTTTTCTCCCTTTCCCTTCTTTTTCCCTTCCCCTTTCCTTCCCTTCCCTTCTTTCTTTGGTTCAGACAGGGTCACAATCGATTGCCCAGGCTGGACTGCAGTGGGATGGTCATGGCTCACTGCAACCTCAACCTTTTGGGCTCAAGCAATCCTCCCACCTCAGCCTCCAAGTAGCTGGGATTGCAGGTGTGCACCATTATACCTGGCTAATTTTTTAAATTTTTGGAGAGTTGGGGTCTCCCTTTGTTGCCCAGGCTGTTCTCCAACTCTTGGCCTCATGTTATCCACCTGCCTTGGCCTCTCAAAGTGTTGGGATTACAGGACTGACTACACCTTGCCCAACCTTGCATTGATAATTTTTTTTAAAAGTTATTTAGCCTGGTGCAGTGGGTTGTGCCTGTAGTCCAAGCTTCTTGGGAAGCTGAGATGAGAGTATTGCTTGAGCCTGGGAGTTTGAGGCTGCAATGTGCTCTGATCGTGCCACTGTACTCCAGCCTGGGCGACAGAGCAAGATCCTGTCTCGGAGGGGTGGAGTTGGGAGGTTATATATATTATCTTTTTGTCTTAGGGATTTTTTTAAACTTGTTCTATTAAGAAAGCAATACCTGCTGGTCCCCTGTTAAAAAGATGACATGCCCAGAGATGCTCAATTAATTGGTCTGAAGAGGGGCTGTGGCATGGGCTTGTTTCCCCTTTCCAGATGATTCCATGAGCAGCCAAGCTGAGAACCATTGCTCCAATGTATTTAACCTATAACTCACCCCAACATGACTTTTCAAAACCACATTTGGGCCCAAATCCATCTGCAACCACAGATTCCAGTTCCTTTGCATCCAGTGGAAATTCGGAGCCTGCAAAACATTGGCAAGGGTGCCTGTCATTCTTTCTTCTCCTCTTCCAGAATCATCACCTACCTTTACTGGCAGATCACAGAGGGAAGGAAGATTATGATCAGGCTGCTCCATGAGCAGATCATTAATGTAAGTCCCCTTGGATCCCTCTGATGTCCACCCCCACCCTTTTAAAACTGTATAAGAGACATTTTGAGACATCCTCCAAAATAAAGACAATACTGCAATGAACTCTCATTTCCGTGCTCTCAGCCCTAACAACCATCAGTGTTTGTATATTCTTATTTCATCTACGCTTTCTCTTCCCAGCAAATCTTATTTTTATTTTCTTCTTTATTTAAATTATTATTATTATTATTTTGAGACAGAGTTTCAGTCTTGTTGCCCAGGCTGGAGTGCAGTGGCACAATCTCAGCTCACTGTAACCTCCACCTCTCGGGTTTAAGCAATTTTTGTGCCTCGGCCTCCCAAGTAGCTGGGATCACAGGTGTGTGCCACCACGCCCAGCTAATTTTAGTGTTTTTAGTAAAGACAGGGTTTCCCCATGTTGGCCAGGCTGGTCTCAAACTCCTGGCCTCAAGTGATCCACCTGTCACAGCTTCCCAAAGTGCTGGGATTACCGGTGTGAGCCACTGCACCCAGCCATGTTCTACATACATCTGATTTGCAACTCTGCAGTGCGGTTTAGTATGTTTCTGGTTTTTTCTTTGTGTTTCCTGTAAACTCATGACGAGATCTAGAGACTTGACTAGATCCAGATTCAGCTTAGGCAAAATACTTTATAGGTGATGCTATTCTTTCCTATGGCATTGTCTTGAGATAGATAATGTCTGATTGTCCCTTTCTGTGATGTTAAAAATGATCAGTGAGTTCGAGCTTTCTTAGCCTGATCCGTCACAGTGTTTCACTGAATGGATTTAGCTGAATGGACTTTGATGAGTAATGCCTAGAAAATCTGTTTATTAGGGAATACAACATAAAGATACTCCAATTGTATAATTCCTCCTGTATTTATTAGCTGAAATTCTTCTATTAAAAAAGGAATTTTTACCAGGCATGGTGGCTCACATTTGTAATCCCAGCACTTTGGGAGTTCAAGGCAGGTGGATTCTCTAAGGTCAGGAGTTCAAGACCAGCCTGGCCAACATGGTGAAATCCCATCTCTACTAAAAATACAAAAATTAGCAGGGCATGGTGACACACACATGTAGTCTCAGCTACTCAGGAGGCTGAGACAGGAGAATCACTTGAACCCAGGAAGTTGAGGTTGCAGTGAGCCGAGATTGTGCCACTGCACTCCAGCCTGGGTGACAGAGCAAAACTCCATCTCAAAAACAAAAAAACAACAAACAAAAAACTAAGGAAACTGAGGCTTTCAGAGTACAATGATTCACTGCTCTAAGTTATAGGGCTAGTAAATGGTTGGGATTTGAATAAGGAGACTCCAGAGTGTGTGCTCTTAACCAAGCATGGTGACTCATACTTGTAGACCCAGCTACTCTGGAGACTGAGATGGAAGGATTGCATGAACCCAGGCATTTGAGGCTGCAGTGAGCTGTGATTGCACCACTGCACTCCAACCTGGATGACAGAACAAGTTCCCTGTCTTAAGAAAAAGTTTGCACTCTTAACGACAATGCAGTTCAGGCTCTGAATAAAAATTTGTTGGTTAAAACTTACAAGTTTGCAGTCTTGCACACACTCTAGATAATTTTTATTTGTATTTTTCTGAGAGGGAGTTTCATTTTCTGTTGCCCAGGCTGGAGTGCAATGGCACAATCTCCGCTCACTGCAACCTCCACCTCCCAAGTTCAAGTGACTCTCCTGCCTCAGCCTCCTGAGTAGTTGGAATTACAGGCGCCCACCACTACTCCCAGCTAATTTTTGTGTTTTTAGTACTGACGGGGTTTCACCATGCTGGCCAGGCTGGTCTCAAACTCCTGACCTCAGGTGATCTGCCCACCTTGACCTCTCAAAGTACTAGGATTACAGGCATGAACCACCACACCCAGCCAGATGCTTTCTCTTAAAAGAAAAAAGTTCAAGGAGAAACAGAGGCATGGGAACAGGACTACTATGATTGGCTGAGAATGAGCAGACAACCAAATGTGTTGGCTTATCTACCTCAACGGGTGGAATGTTCTACTCTCATCTGCAATGGGGGTTCACAGGAAAGTGATTACACCCTCCTGGGAGAAAGCATGCCCCCTTCCTTTGTTCATTTTCCGAGTTTGGAATTAACAAGCTCCATCAACACAGATAACTTTGACAAATGAAACACCCTTGACGTCCTTAGGGGCTGCCCTCTAAGCTTTGGAATTCTCTGTGGGAGGACAGGGCAGACCCAGGCAGCACTGCTGGGATCACACGATAGGCCTCTGGGGTGGGGCACATGCCTATCGGGGACACTGGAAACCATTTTTCCTGGCCATTCAGATCTGGCATGTAAGCTGCTTCTAGCAGCCGGCTTCAGAGCTACTTGCTCAAGCCTGTTGGGGGAATTGCTTTAGAGGAGAATATTACAGGGCAGGAAGGCTTGGGGGGACAGTTTGGTTCTACTGTGAAATGTTTCTTTTCTTTCGCCAAAACATGGCAGCAACCTCCATTCTACTTCTAGGACTCTACCAGCCTGAAAATCGAGGTTCTTGCCATCAATTGCTTTCTCAATTCCATATCATCATTCATTCATGTTTTTGTTTCTTTCTGGTTTTGTTTACCTTCTTGGCAGGAGGGCAAAGATAAAATGTTCCTGATAGAAAAGTTGATCAAGCTGCACGATATGGAGAAGAAAGCAAACTCCAGCTCCCTTGTTCTGGAAAGGGGAGAGGTGGAGGTGAGGCTGGAGATTGCCTTGGGGACTCCTAGGACACAAACTTGCCTCCATGTAAAAAGCACATCAGAGGCCAGGTGCTGTGGCTCACGCCTATAATCCCAGCACTGTGGGAGGCTGAGACAGGCAGATTACCTGAGGTCAGGAGTTTAAGACCAGCCTGGACAACATGGTAAAACCCCATCTCTACTAAAAATGAAAAAAAAAATTGGCTGGGGGTTGTGGCAGGTGCCTGTAATCCCAGCTACTCGGGAGGCTGAGGCAGGAGAATTGCTGGAACCCAGGAGGTGGAGGTTGCAGTAAGCTGAGATCATACCACTCCACTCCAGCCTGGGAGACAGAGCAGAATATCTGTGGAGAATATCCAGAAGAATATCTGTGGAATAAATGAATAGAATCACTCTCCCTAAAAAACACAACATGTTCGATATTTTTATGGCAGAAGCTTGGTCTTAATCTGTCATCCCTTAATTTTAAAATAGTGGAGAGGCTCACAAATTGTGCCAACTATGCCACAAGACCCTGAATCTGCGTTCTTCCTCCATGACATGGCTGCCTGTTTTTTTCTTTTTCAGCAACAAGGCTCTTTGCATTTGGGGGAACATGATGGCAGTCCTGGTGAGTAATTGAACTGGCACAGAATAAGACACTAATTTATTTCAGGTGAAATATCTAAGATAAGTGTAAGAATTGCTCGTGTGTTTATTACTTTTTCAGTTGCAAACTGGATCCAAATTGGCTTAAGCAAAATTTCAAGAATAATTCTTGCTTTAGACCTAGCCTAACACAGGAGCTCACAATGTCACTAGAACCTGGGTTCTTTCAGTTTCATTCTTATCTGTGTTAGTTCCTTTTGCAAGTAGATTCTTCCTAATAAGGGCGAGACAGCTTTAGCAACTTCTTATATCTTCTCAGAGTCAGTCTGGTGGGAAAGAGTGAGGCACTCAGGATTCTCGTGGTGTTTCATAGAATCCAACTGGGTGACGTCCCTGTCTATGAACCAATTGTTGTGGCTACAAGAAGGTGGCAGTTCCTTTGGTCACATGATTAATGTATAGATCCTGGTGGTGCAACCGTGAAGACCATAGGGACCAAGAGGAGGGAAGGGTGACTTCCCAAAGAAAATCTGGGGCTGATGCCAGAAGGAAAGTGAATTCCAGACAGGAAAAAATAGGCAAACCCATTAATTTTTGGGGGTGGTGAATAGCATTAACTGATGACTTTCAGTGATGGGAGTTCAAGGGGACAATTATAGAAACTAAAAGGGGGAGGCAAGAAAGGCGTGAGAAACTATGGGATCTTGAAGGGCAAGTTGGTCTTTCCCTTGTAGGGATGGGGCAGGGTGTGCCAGAGTTAACTTCTCCTTCCTGTGTCAAACCTAGACTTGCGATTTAGAAGATCCGTTCAAGAAGGTAATCCAAGGGTCTGAGGATTGTTTTGGTAACTAGACACCAATCAAATAAGGAGAGCAGATGAAAATGGAATGATTTCTTCTATGCCACCTGTGCCTTTAGGAATTGCCCAGAAGGAAATCCAAGCCTTTAGCCAGGAGCGGAAACTGACTACAGTGTAAAGATCAACGTAAAATTGGGCGTTCTGTGCCATTTTTTACGCCTGGATTGCTGATTTTTCAAGACAAAATACTTGGGGTTTTCCAATAAAGACTGTTGTAATGTTGAAACGAGCCTACAAAAACCTAGGAAGAAATAACTAGGGAATAATATATTTTATCTTCAAAAAATGTGTGCATGATTGGTTCTTAGGAATCTCACCTGCCAGACTTCCCAGACCTGGCAAAGGTTTAGGAACTGTTAAGAATAGTGGTCCAGCCTGAATAAACATGCAATCCCTAAGCAGGGATGTGAAGCCTGCATTTATCTGTGACTTTGAACTAAAAACATCTCTATATGTCAAAAGTTGCAATACAACCAGAGGTCTCATCTCTGAACTTTCTTGCATGTTGATTACGAGTCTTTGGAATTGGGGATGGAGAAGTTTCTGCCCCTCTGAGGAGTTATACATGACCATTAAAGTCTTATGTCAAACTAGCTTTGCACAGCGGAAGTATTGTAGCCGATGAGGTTTATCCTACACTTGATCATTGCTAATCGAAAATTTTCCCAATACCCTGCTGTGATGACTTAAAATATAATCAGCATTGGCAATTTTTGACATTCTCTACGGAGACTGAATAAGAAAAAAAAATTAGCTGGTTGCAATGGCTCATGCCTGTAATCTTAGCACTTTGAGAGGCTGAGGCAAGTGGCTCACTTGATGTCAGGAGTTCAAGACCAGCCTGGCCAACATAGTGAAACCCCGTCTCTACTCAAAATACAAAAACTAGCTGGCTGTGGTGGTGCATACCTGTAATCCCAGCTACTCGGGAGGCTGAGGCAGGATAATTGCTTGAACTGGGGAGGCAAAAGTTTCAGTAAGCCAAGATTGCCCCACTGCACTCCAGCCTGGGCAACAGAGTGAGACTCTGTCTCAAAAAAAAAAAAAGAAAGGAAATTAAAAGTCTAATATGAAACCAGTGGTGATGTGTGGAATGTGTGTGCGTGCATATGTAAGGAATGTGTGTGTGCATAATTTTTTTTCGCAGATTTGCCGAATGATTCACAAGCCATGTGGCTGTTCTTAGTACTGAAAGGTCCGGCAAAAAGGTGCAATTACTCAGGGGAGAGGAGTAATCACTGTCAAATAACCTAATTGGAACTGAATTTGGAAAGCATTTAAGACACATTTGAGGCTGTGCTCAGTGGCTCACACCTGTAATCCTAGTACTTTGGGAGGCTGAGGCAGGCAGATCATGAGGTCAGGAGTCCAAGACCAGCCTGCCCAACATGGTGAAACCCTGTCTCTACTAAGAATACAAAAAAATTAGCCAGGCCTGGTGGTGCACGCCTGTAATTCCAGCCACTTGGGAGGCTGAGGCAGGAGAATTGCTTGAACCCAGGAGGCAGAGGTTGTGCTGAGTGGAGATTGCACTGTTGCACTCTGGCCTGGGCAACAGAGCAAGACTCCGTTTCAAAAAAAAAAAAAAAAAGATACATTTGAAACACAAGCACCCAACCAGTGCTCAGTCATTTATTCCCCCCACTTTTTTTATTTTTTAAGAGATGAGTCAAAGCTATGTTGCTAGGTTTGACTCAAACTCCTAAGTCAAGCAGTCCTCCCACTTCAGCCTCCCATGTAGCTGGGACTACAGGCACATGCCACTACACTTGACAACTCACTTTTCCATTCACTTATTTTTTCCATTAATTCACTTCATCAGAGGAATTAATTTCTTTTGGTGTCATCTTTGGTAACAGTTGAATCCATCCATCCATTCATTCAACAAATATGAACCAAATAGTGGAGAACAAGATGGTGAACAAGTCATGGTGCTACCTGTCTAGCAGATTTGGACATGGCTTTAATACTTAAGCAATAACTAATTTTTGTTGCAGTAGGTGCTCTGAAGAAGCACGGGGACTATGGAGGACTCGGTGGGGTCAGTGCTGGCAGCCCATGGAAGTGATACTGATTTTTTTTCCCTTGGAGACATCTTAGTGCTGTTTGTGCTTTTTTTTTTTTTTTAATGGAGTTTTCCTGTGTCTCTCAGGCTAGAGAGGCTGGAGTGCAGTGGCACAATCTTGGCTCACTGTAACCTCCGCCTCCTGGGTTCAAGCAAGTCTCCTGCCTCAGCCTCCGAAGTAGCTGGGATTACAGGTGCATGCCACCATGCCTGGCTAATTTTTGTATTTTTAGTAGAGATGAGTTTTCGCCATGTTGGCCAGGCTGGTCTCTAACTCCTGACCTCAGGTGATCTGCCCACCTCAGCTTCCCAAAGGGCTGGGATTACAGGCGTGAGCCACCGCACCCAACCGCTGCTTGGGCTTCTACAATGAAATGTGAACTTCCTCTGAAAGCATCACTTTTGCTCATTTGCCAGATGCTAAGTGTTCCCATCTGGAATGCTTCTCTCCCTTCACCTTCATCCCTTGTCTCCACTTCAGTGCAAGCCTGCTTCTCCTGGAGGTATACGTGCAGTAGACAGTGGTTCATGCCTGTAATCCCAGCATTTTTGGAGGCCAGGATGGCAGATCACCTGAGGTCAGCAGTTCGAGACCAGCCTGGCCAACATGGTGAGATTCCCCCCACCACCATCTCTACTAAAAATACAAAAATTAGCCAGGCATGGTGGCAGGTGCCCATAATCCCAGCTACTCAAGTGGCTGAGGCATGAGAATTGCTTGAACCTGGGAGACAGAGGTTGCAGTGAGCCAAGATTGTGCCACTGTGCTTCAGCCTGAGTGACAGAGTGAGACTGTCTCAAAAAATAAAGGAAAAAAAGTTCTGCACACAGCATTTTAAATAATCTAGGACATGGTAGGGAGTTAATAAATGTTAATTTGCAAGGATTTTATATGCACTCTTTCATATAATCACCACCACTGCAAGAATATTACCCTATTTTATAGATGAATTAATTTAGCCAAGGTCATACAGCTGCTAAGTTGCTAATTAGGAAGGGAGACTTGGCTTTTTCTGTTTCCAAATCCTGTTTTTAACCCTATACTAAGCCTTCCAAGGAAGTACTTAGTAGTAGTTATTCATACTTTATTTCATCATTCAAATTCTCCGTTTTTTGAGGCCCTCACCATCTTAGCACAGGACCTAAATACTTAATTTGGCCTTGCTGAATCAAAGGCAAAATGGATTTGGGATGAAGATCAAGAGACAGAGATCTCCTGGCTCTGTAGAGATCGTTTCACAACATAAAGGGATATTATGATGATGATGAATATTTTTAGAGATTGAAGTCAAACTCTGTCACCCAGGTCAGAGTGCATGGTGTGATTCTAGGTCACTGCAGCCTCAACTTGCTGGGCTCCAGTAATCCTCCCGCCTTAGCCTCAATTTTTAAATTTTTTGTAGAGATGGGAGTCTCACTATTTACCCAGGCTAGTGTTGAACTCCTGGCTTCAAGCAGTCCTCCCGCCTTGGCCTCCCAAAGTGAAAGGATTACAGGCATGAGCCGCCATGCTAGGCCAAGGGATATTAACTCCATACTGCCCCCAAGAGAAATCCTTCCCTGTCAGTTGCTGTGTATCCTCAGAGGTACCCCAGGGCTGAATTCAGTTCACAGAGGTATCTTTTTTTTCTTTTTTTTGAGACAGAGTCTCGCTCTGGCCTAGGCTAGAGTGCAGTGGTACAATCTTGGCTCACTGCAACCTCTGATTCCTGGGCTCAAGCAATTCCCCTTGCTTCAGCCTCCTGAGTAGCTGGGATTACAGGCATGTGCCACCATGCCCAGCTAATGTTTATATTTCTAGTAGAGACAGGGTTTCCCCATGATGGCCAGGCTGGTCTTGAACTCTTGGCCTCAAGTGATCCACTCGCCTCAGCCTCCCAAAGTGCTGGGATTACAGGTGTGAGCCATCATGCCCAGCCTGATGTATCTTCTTTGGTCACATTTTCCTCCCTTTCACCCATCATAACTTCCATGGCACGGAAGTACATGCAGTTTAGACATTTGTCCCACTCAATGAACAAATCTTTGTTCATTTTAAAATTCAAGACAAGGCCGGGCACGGTGGCTCAAGCCTGTAATCTCAGCACTTTGGGAGGCCGAGGCAGGTGGATCATGAGGTCAAGAGATCCAGACCATCCTGGTCAACATGGTGAAACCCTGTCTCTACTAAAAATACAAAAAATTAGCTGGACATGGTGGCACGTGCCTGTTATCCCAGCTGCTCAGGAGGCTGAGGCAGGAGAATTGCCTGAACCCAGGAGGCGGAGGTTGCAGTGAGCTGAGATCGCGCCATTGCACTCCAGCCTGGGTAACAAGAGCGAAACTCTGCCTCAAAAAAAAATAATAAAATAAAATTTAAGACAATTGTTTTGCAAATGCTGAATCAAAACGTACCAAGCCCCACCCATCCTACCTGTGCCAACACAATCTGGCACAAAGTTTGCTTCTCCTTGTCATATAGCTGTGTGGACTGTTGGCCTTCCAACATCACTTCCTGGCTGCTGCAGCGTGAGGCTGGCAACCCGCAGCAGGGAGGCAGGAGGGAAGCCACGGCTAAGCTCTGGGCCAGACAGAGGCCACAGATGGAGGTGAAAGGTGGAAGCGGGTAAGCTAGAGGAGACAGATAACATTGTTATTTTTAAAAATTCAACTTCATTTTAATATTGCTACTTAGTTCACAGTGAAATCCCTGGAAGTTCAAATTGGAAAGAGCACAGAGTTGGGATCATGGGCTCAACAATTTAAAGGCAGATTCAGTGAGGGGTACGGGTAGTGGCTCTGGAAGCAGACTGACCTGGATTTGAATGCCAATTGTACCAGACTCAAGACACTCAAAGAAGTGGCTCATTTCTTCATCAATAGAAAGAGTGTTAACACCTGCATAAGACTTTTGTATGGATTAAGAGAATGCATGTTAAACCACTTGTATAGTTTCTGGCTAACTGTAAACAAGAAGTTCTGGTTCTCTCTCTCTCTTTTTTTAAGAGTCAGGGTCTCACTGTGTCACCAAGGTTATAGTGCCGTGGTATAATCATGGATCATTGCAGCCTTTAACTTCTGGGCTCAAGTGAACCTCCTTCCTCAGCCTCCCAAATAGCTGGGACTACAGGCATGTACCACCATGCCTGGCTAATTTTTTTTAGAGATGGGGTCTTGCTGTGTTGCCCAGTCTGGCCTCAAGTAATCCTCCTGCCTCAGCCTTCTGAGTTACTGGGCTTATAGGTGTAAGCCACTGTGCCCAGCTTCACTGTGACTTTTGAGGCAACCCCTCCCTTCCAGAGTTTAGCTTCCTCATTTGTAACATGAGGACAAACCTAGATGTCCTTGGAAGTTGCTTCCAGTTCTAATTGCCTATGATCACATCTGTTGCAGAGGTTCCTATTAAGCCTAGAAAAGTGCAACTCTGTCCCCTGGTGGTTTGCTGCTCTCCATTCAAGATGCTGTAAATCCCTCATTGGCTTCAAGACCTCCCTACCACTTTGGTTGCTGCACAGTGAAGCCTCCCTGGATTGCACAGTGGCTTCCCGATTTCGTATGCCTTAGGATATGATGTTTAGCACACGGTTTTCCTTTAGTGTTCCTTTTAATGATTTTATTAGTATGGCCACAAGTTTGATGTCTACAGTACATGTTAACATAGCTGAATACAAATACTTGAAGTCAGTGTGGCAAGTTTAAAAATGTCAACTCTGAGTTATCAAGCATGTCTCATGCATTTACATCTGCATTCCCAATTGTACAACTCAATCTGTGCTTATCTTCACTAAGTCTCCCTGTGTGCCTCAGCTAGGGCAGGGCGGGGCAGGGCAGAAGCTGTTGTGCCTTATTTCAAACCCAGATTTTCAAGAGCAACAGTATTGAACTCTGGCATTCCATGGAGCATGGTGGCAACACTGGGTTTTGCTTTGGTTCAGGTAAAAATGCAATGACCAACTATTGCATCTGTGTGAGTCACCTGATCCCCCAGGCTCCGTGCTAGCACAAAGGGTATTTTGATATCCCTGTAAGAGGCCCCTGGCAGTTTCTGAACCCATTTCATCCCAGGGTAAAAGTCTAGAAGTGAGGTTCACAGTCTTCCACCATGCTGTCAGTGATGTAGCTGCAACCAAGATGGGATTCGTAGTAACTCTTTTCATCAAAAGTATTAACAGTCCAACCAACAACCTGGATTCCTTTAGCTGTCCACTTCTTCAAGTAGGCCCTGGGGAAAGAGGAAAGCCAATCTTGTTAGAATAATAACCAGCTGTCTCAGGAATCTCCAGTCGCCACTCAATATGGTGTTCACTGCATACCAATAGTGCCCAGAGCTTGCCTCCTACCTGGCCTCTGCACTGTAATCAGAGAAACTGTTCCAAAACCCAGGATGCTGTGAACCTCCTTAAAACATTTCAGTGGCTCACTAATGATTGCCACCCACAACTGTCCTGGTACAGCCACTGAAGGTGTGCCTGACCTGGCCCTGACCTGTCTCCTTGGCTTCATCTCATACCTCACCCCCCCTTTCTTTTCTGTGCTGATTATATTTGAATTAATTGAAAGAATATTAATTTTCTTTCAATTCCTAGAAAGAACCATGCTCCTTCCTGCCACAGCACATTACATGTGTTTTTCTCTCGGATCTGGATTCCTCCCAATTCCTGCTCACCCTTCAGATCTTAGCTTACCTGTCACTTCCTTGGGGATGCTGTTTCTGACAACCTAGACTAGATCAGATTACAGTCTGTGCACAGTCTTCTCTGGCATAGCCTGTATCTTAGTTTTAACTTATATTGATTGGATTTTTATTTGATTAGCCTCTCTCTCCCACCCCACTTGGCTGTAAACACGAGGGCAGAGACCATGGCTTTGATTCTTCACCACTGCATCTTCAGCTTCTCAGTATGGAATCTTACAATAGTATAGGCACTTACCAAATATTTATTGAACTGAATCATGCATGTCTGAAATAATACTAGACTTACAACTCTAATCAGCTGAAATATACAGATATAGAATTGCCAAAGAAATGATTTGGAGATTGCTAGCAGGTTAGGAAATGGAAGTTTTACTGGAGGAGATGGGGCAATGCCCATACTGTAAGATGGTAGGTATGAGGTTAGTACCCACAGGATGTCTTCACCAGAGTTCTACCCAGGATCCTGTGTCGGCTTTCAAAAAAAAAAAAGCAATCACAAGAAATAAAATCCCTTTCTCAGCATAGTTTTGTAGGTTCATTTTTTTCTTCAAAATATACTAAAAAAACAAGAATATGTGACCAACTTGGTTTGAAAGCAGTGAAATATGCCTGAACTCTTCCCACCTAAAAAGCTACACTGACGATCCAATTTAGAGCCATGGTAAGCTTTGTAGGTCAGAACCAATTCAGGATGTCTACTCTCTTAATCCTTCCTTTCAAAGAAAAGCATTCAGGATATGTGTCTGGGGAAAATTAAAAACCTTCCAACTTACGGGGATATAAAATCCTTTTGCATGAGGAAAGCTGAAATTCCACACAGGTACCACAAGATATTATGCATGCTCCAGTCAAGCAAAACGTCCATGATCACAAATATGAAATGCTTCCAGAGGGCATCATAGCGTGGCTTCCCATCTCCTGTATGGCTGAGGCTCCAAGGTCTATGGGTCAATGCTGTTACTACATCCCGATCTGTTTGTCTCATCTGAAAAGGAATTTGGGGAAGTAAAAGAATGATCACATATAAAGTTGAATACTTACTAGTTTAGATTTAGCCAATCTGCTCAATCAGATGAGGTGGTCATAGTTGGTACCCTGCCACAGTACCTACTAAATAAGTTCTCTATCATAAACCCTTTGAGAAAAATAATGTGAATGTAAAGCATTAATATGCAATAAACATGAGAACATGTTTTTTCCACAATCCTTAAAAACTGAATCCTATCTTTAAAATGGGAAAATTACAACCTAAGGATCAAATTTTAACAGTGTCACGAGAATAAACTTTTAATTGGATACTGACTTAAATCCTGGCCAGAGATAATTAAAACTCAGTGAGGATGGAACCAAGGTCAATTCAAGATGGGCTGGTTAGTTTTGATCCTTTCCAGAGCAAATGGCTGGAAAGAGTTGTAGGGTTGGGGAGAGGGATGGGGAAAGGAGAGAAGGGATTGTGAAGAGAAAATGGGAGAAAGCAAAGGAGAAATGGAGAGATGTGGATGGAGTGCCTTCAGTGTCTGCTCTTGTGCTCCTCTGGGGGAATGTCTTACATATTTTAAAGGACTCAGTGGTCAAGGAATTTTGGGAAACACTGTTCCAAATGTCTGCAAGCCCCACGACCCTATTCATCTCCATGATAGCTTCTATTGATAGGTTTTATCCTCACTGTAAAATTTTTCAATGTATGCTCTGTTGGTCACTGGTGAAGAATGCTATGGAACTAAATAGTAGAGGAGGAAAAGTTTCTTTTTATAGATCTATTTCGGCTAATGCAAGAAGTAAAAGAATTATCAACATTTTGTAACTCCCTAGAAAATGGACAGATCTGGGCAATGAGCATTAACAGCAGCTAACAACAGGAGTCAAACAGTTGTCAAGTGCCTCCTGACAGAAAAACACCCTCATCTCCAGAGTTATCTTGCCAAAAATAACCAACCCTAATCTCATCAAGGCAAGCTTCCAGCTCTACCAGTTTATAAAACATAAGGAGAAAAATATATTAAACCATATCATGTCATAATCAGCAAAATCTGGACTTGGGTAAGCTCTACAAAACAATAATCTGCTTTCTTCAGTAGATACAAAACAAGGACCAAAAAAAAAAGAGAGAGAGAGAGAGAGATGGAACCTACAGGTTTTAAGATTTACAGTTGTCAGCTGGGTACGTGGCTCACGCCTGTAATCCCAGCACTTTGGGAGGCCGAGGCAGGCAGATCACCTGAGGTCAGGAGTTTGAGACCAGCCTGGCCAACACAGCGAAACCCCATCTCTACTAAAAATACAAAAATTATCCAGGCATGGTGGTGTGTGCCTGTAATCCTAGCTACTTGGGAGGCTGAGGCAAGAGAATCACTTGAACCCAGGAGCCAGAGGTCACAGTGAGCTGAGATCACACCACTGTACTCCAACCTGGGCAACAGAGCCATACTCCATCTCAAATTAAAAAAAAGATTTACGATTGTAACACAAAGATCTTATTTGGGTCCTATTCTAATGAACAATTTATGAAAAAAATCATGGCATTTCTGAGACAAGTCAAAATTTATACACTGACTGGATATTTGATAATATGAAGAATTTATTGTTAATTTTTAGATGGGACAATGGCATTGTGGTTATGTTATTTTTTATTTTTTATTTTTTTTGAGATGCAGTTTCACTCTTGTTACCCAGGCTGGAGTGCAATGGCGCAATCTTGGCTCACCACAACCTCCTCCTCCTGGGTTCAAGCAATTCTCCTGCCTCAGCCTCCCAAGTAGCTGGGACTACAGGCGTGCACCACCAGGCCCAGCTAATTTTTGTATGTTTAGTAGACACGGGGTTTCACCATGTTGACCAGGATGGTCTCAATCTCTTGACCTCGTGATCCACCCGCTTCGGCCTCCCAAAGTGCTGGGATTATAGGCGTGAGGTTATGTTTTTCAAAAGGCATCTCTGGGCCGGTCACGGTGGCTCAAAGTACTGTAATCCCAGTACTTTGGGAGGCCAAGGCAGGATGATCGTTTGAGCTTAGGAGTTGGAGAACTGCTTGGGTAACACAGAGAGACCCTGTCTCTACAAAAAAAAATTAGCTGGGCATGGGGGCATGTGCCTGTGGTCCCAGCTACTCGGGAGGCTAAGGCAAGAGGATCACTTGAACCTAGGAGGTCAAGAGTGCAGTTAGCTGTGGTCACACCACTGCATTACAGCCTGGGAAACTGAAGGAGACCTTGTCTTTTAAAAAAATTAAAAGGCATTCACTTTATAAAATATTCTTAATGTAGTTTTATAGATTGAACGATAAATTTTGCTTCAAAATAACACTGGGGAGGAACAATGGGGTTATGGGTGAAATGCCCTGGATCACAGTTAAAGGAGGATACAATGTACTGTTCTATTTTTTGCATGTTTTAGATTCTCCATAATTAAGAGTTTATTTTATTAAAGGTATGTCCTGCTGTTAGTTGGTGAGAAACAGGGGCTACATAATTCTTTTCTGTTCTGAGAATTTTACCACGTAATCTGAGTGAGCCTATGAACAACATAAAAGAAGGGGCAAAAGAGGAATCATGGCATTCTGTAAGGGGTATGAGTATACGCCCCTTCTGGAATTTCTCTTGTTAGTTTAAAAGAGGAATTTATCAACTGTGACCTTGATTCCACTCAAATTAACAGGCATTTATCTATGCTTACACAGCCCATTGCTATTATCTCCACCAGCCCACCTAATATGTACAAGAAAAACACTAAATGTTACCTTATAGATAACTTCTGGCAAGAAAGAAGAGACAACACTACTATTGTATAGTTGGGGAAATTCCATATACATGTTCTTTAGAGCCTCAGTAGCCTGTAAAATAAAGAGATTTCTATATTTAAAATTGATTAAAATGTGATAGATAGCCCAGCCAATAACTATCATATATTAAGTACAACCCTATGGAATAAAACAGAAGTTTACTAGAAATAGAGATGCTGAAAGTATTGGCAGAGTCTACTATCCACGGGGATGCATTTTAAACTCACACCAGCAGCAAAAAAGGAAGAAGCTGGGGTACTGCTGCTTTACTCCCTCTAAGAGCCTCACCCCTTTTGTCATGGTTTTGAAAAGTGTGGTAAGCCGTAGGCCAGAGGCAAAATTTTCCTTGCCTCATACCCTAGTCTAACCACTATGAAAACTCCTTTTGTGCCCACAACTCTATCACTCTCTGCCCTTTCCAAGTGAAACTTGGGCCGGCTAGTCTGGGAACTACAGAAGGTAGATTTCTTAGTCCAGGGGATGCATCACCCATCGCCAATATGGAGGGAGAAGCAACGGGGCAGAGGTAGGAGGGACTGGGAAGAGTTAAGGGGCTCCCAGTTCTTCACAAGGTGAACAAAAGTTTCTTTTTATAGTAGTCTAGCTAAGAAATGAAGACATCATAGAATTTATACATTATTTTGTAACCCCTAGTGAAGTGACATCAATAGCAGCTAACAAGAAGAAAGTCACCAGCCATGTGGGACGCAATGGTGCTGCTGCATAATTTGTGAAACACTGCTAATTTTTGGAATGTCGCACATACCCCTAACCAAATATGAGCAAAATGCATTCCCCCACCAAAATAAAAAAGAACCCAGATTATTCATGTCATGCCTCCTCTTTATTAATGCAACGGAAGGCAAGCTATAGAACTAATGCTGTTTGTTTTCTTCGCTGTTCGAACAAAGACATGCACTCTCAGAACAACCCTATGTGGTATTGATTTTAGTATCCTCATTTTACCCATGAAGAAACTGAAGCTCATCAAGGTTAAGGTTACCCTGTAATAAGAGCTCAGTCAAGGTCTGTTGGACTCCAAAGCCCATGATCTTGGCTGCCATGCTCTCTACTAGTTCCCCTTTGTTGCCTACACTTGCCCCTCACTACTACCATCTTGGTGAACTAGGTCACTATAGTCTGCCCAGTATTGGCTGAACACCCGTGAGTACCCATCCAGAAAACACAAATAGCTAGATGTTCTAAAAAATTTCTACTTCTTTTTAAAAATTATTCAGGAGAAGCCAGGTGTGGTGGCTCATGCCTGTAATCCCAGCACTTTAGGAGGCCAAGGCAGGAGGATCACTCGAGGCCAGGAGTTTGAGACCAGCCTGGCCAACATGGCAAAACCCCATCTCTACTAAAAATATAAAAATTAGCCAGGTGTGATGGTGCATACCTGTAATCCCAGCTGCTTAGGAGGCTGAGGCAGAACTGCCTGAACCCCAGAGGCAGAGGTTGCACCAATGCTGAGATTGCAGAGCCAAGATTGCACCAATGCACTCCAGCCTTGGTGACAGAGTGAGACACTGTCTCAAAAAAAAAAAAAAGACTCTAAGAGGATAAGCATGAAACTCAGTATACTGTGGGTGAAATGTAGGACCTATCAGGGTTCCCAAAAGTGGGCTGCAACATCACAAGGAGCACCTGAGGTGCTCATTAAAAATACATGTTCCAGGCCGGGGGCGGTGGCTCACACCTATAATCCCAGCACTTTGGGAGGCCGAGGTGGGTGGATCATGAGGTCAAGAGATGGAGACCATCCTGGTCAACAAGGTGAAACCCCGCCTCTACTAGAAATACAAAAATTAGCTGGGCATGGTGGTGCGTGCCTGTAGTCCCAGCTACTCGGGAGGCTGAGGCAGGAGAATTGCTTGAACCTAGAAGGCGGAGGTTGCAGTGAGCCGAGATCGTGCCATTGCACTCCAATCTGGGTAACAATAGCGAAACTCTGTCTAAAAAAAAAAAAAACATGTTCCTTGAGCCCACCCTAGACATTTTCAGAATCTCTTCCCTAGGGAGAATAGTCCAGGAATTTGTATTTTTACAGATATTCCAGGTGATTCTAACACAGACTGATTGGAAAACCTAGACATATACAACTATCAGTTTGCCAGAATAATAAATTAGTTACCATGCTCTTTTATTTCTTCAAAAATGGGAGTTAACTATAACAAAATTAGAGTATATACTTAGGCCACATTTCAGGTGTTTTTTGTTTGTTTGTTTGCTGACAGTGTCACCCGTTGCCCAGGCTGGAGTGCAATGGCATGATCTCACCTCACTGCAACCTCTGTCTTCCAGGTTCAAGCAATTCTCCTGCCTCAGCTTCCTGAGTGGCTGGGATTACAGGCGCCCGCCACCAAGTCCAGCTAATTTTTGTATTTTTAGTAAAGACGAGGTTTCGCCATGTTGGCCAGGCTAGTCTCAAATTCCTGACCTCAGGTGATCCACCCGCCTTGGGCTCCTAAAGTGCTGGGATTACAGGCAGGAGCCACCGTGTCCGGCCCATTTCAGGTTTTAACAAATGGTTTCAGTGATATCATGGGATTAATTTTTAAAAATTGGCTTTATCAGAATTCTTAACCAGTATATGGCTGTTACTGATTATTAATATTGCTAAAGGAAAAATCCTCAAGTTGCCCAAATGGGGAAAAGAGCACTTGCACTTGAAAAGCTGGTTATAAGAGAACAAATGTAATTGGAATCATAATTTTCCCATTGATTTTCACTGTAATAATATGTTCTTATGAGTAAAAGTGCACGCCCTAAAATTTAAAGAAAATAAACGATTTTCTGATAAAAGTATATCTGTTGAAATCAATGAATAACAAATCTATACATAACAGATAGAAATTATACAAAGGGATACTCTATGTAAAGGGTATATATTCTGTTAACTATGAGAAGCTTTTAATGTAGCTTTTAATATGTTCTGTTAACTATTAGAGACTTTTAATAAAATTCTCTTTAAATGCAGTCCATAGTTGTCCATATAAGGCCCTTAACTTCTAGGCTAGATAAAACTGGTCTTGTGTACAACTCCTGAATTCCTTTTTATGAGCTAACTTAACAGGTTTTTTCTAGAAGTACCTTTTTACTGTTTACTTAATATCTTTTGTATGTGCTTTCTGCAAATAATAGAAACTTGACTCTTCCATTTTGCGCTAGAAGTTTTGTAAAGGTTCCATAAAAGGTTAAAAAGTTCCATAATTTACTGTTTCCTTAAATATAGATTGCTGCATTGTGCACTTCCATTAAACAAATCTAATTTATAAAAATAATTTTTAAAAAGAATAAATAACAAAATAGATATAATTTCAGAAATGACTATCAATGAAATAAGATGGCTTTTTAACAAAGTGAAGTCCATGGTTTCAACTATACCTTGTTTGCATGGCCTTTGACATCAAAGAAGATTGTGAGGTTATGGTTTAGGCACTCTGCAACGGCTTCCCTCAAGGTAGGGATCTTTTCATTGGGGAAATCATTCCTGTAAGAGAGGAGAAAATACATCGTAGGAAAAAAGAGAAAGAGATAAACTGTATTGTAACAGACACTTTGCAGATGTCGCCCAATCAAAAGGAAAGAATGTTTTCTCCAACTTCTTTTCTTCCACCAAAGCAAAGTCCAAAGATCATTTACTGTACGATTTTATTGTTTTATTTTTTGAGACGCAGTCTTGCTGTGTCATCCAGACTGGAATGCAGTGGTATGATATCAGCTCACTGCAACCTTTGTCTCCCAGGTTCAAGAGATTCTCCTGCCTCAGCCTCCTGAATAGCTGGGACTACAGGTGTGTGCCACCATACCCGGCTAATTTTTTGTATTTTTAGTAGAGACAGAGTTTCACCATATTGGCCAGACTGGTCTTGAACTCCTGACCTCAGGTGGTTCATCCACCTCAGTTTCCCAAAGTGCTGGGAATACAGGCGTGAGCCACTGCGCCTGACCAAAGAAACCTTTTTTTTTTTTTGAGATGGAGTTTTGTTGTCGTCACCCAGGATGGAATGAGTTGTTTGTCTGTTTTCTGAAACAGAGTCTTGCTCTGTTGCCCAGGCTGGAGTGCAGTGGTACAATCTTAGCTCACTGTAAACACCAACTCCCGGGTTCAGGCGATTTACCCACCCTAGCCTCCTGAGTAGCTGGGACTACAGGTGGGCACCACCACGTCCAGCTAATTTTTGTGTTTTTAGTAGAGACGGGGTTTCACCGTGTTGGCCAGGCTGGTCTCAAACTCCTTACCTCAAGTGATCTACCTGCCTTGGCCTCCCAAAGTGCTAGGATTATAGATATGACTCACCGTGCATGTCCCATTGTAAGAATTTAACCAAATTACATTTTTTTTCCACTTTTTTATTGCTATAGACTTATACATATTTATGTGATATTTTGATACATGCATACAATGTATAATGATCAAATCAGGGTATTTTAGGATGTCCATCACCCCAAATATTTATCATTTGTGTTAGGAACATCCAAATCTCCTAGCTATTTTGAAATGTACAACAGATTGTTAACTATAATCACCCTACTGTGTTATTGAACACTAGAATGTATGCCTTCTAACTGTATGTTTGTACTCTTAACTAAACTCTCTTCATTCTCCCCTTCTCCCTACCCCATACCCTTCCCAGCCTCTGGTAACTATCATTCTCCTCTCCACCTCCATGGGATCAACTTTTTTAGCTCCCATATATGAGTGACAACATGTAATATTTCCTGTTCTGTGCTTGGCTTATTTCATTTAACATAATACCTTCAGTTCCATTCATGTTGCTGCAAATGACGGGATATCATTCTTTGTTATGGCTACATAGCATTCCACTGAGTACATGTATCACAGTTTCTTTTTCCATTTATCCACTGATGAACACTTAAGTTGATTCCATATCTTGGCTATTGTGAATAGTGCTGCAATAAACATGGGGGTGCAAGTATGCCTTTGATACACTAGTTTCCTTTCCTTTGGATAGATACCAACCAGTGGGATTATGGGATTGTATGATAGTTCTTTATTTTTGTTTTTTTGAGAAACCTGCATACTGTTTTCCATAATGGCTGCACTAATTTACATTCAGAATATAAGCGTTCCCTTTGCTCTGTATCCTTGCCAACATCTGTTATTTTAAAACTCTTTTTAATAATGGCCATTCTAACTGAATATTTCATTGTGATTTTGATTTTTGTTTCCCTAATAATTTGTGATGTTGAGAATTTTTTCATATGCCTGTTGGCCATTTGTGTGTCCACTTTTGAAAAATGTCTGTTCAAATTAGGATTTGGGTAGATGTTTTTAATGGGATTACTTTTGTCTTTGCTGTTGAGTTCCTTGTATATTCTGGATATTAATTACTTGTCAGTGGAATAGTTTGCAAATATTTTCTTCCTATTCAATAGGTTGTCTTTTTACTCTGTTGATTGTTTCCTTTGCTGTGCAGAAGGTTTTTAGTTTAATACAGTCCCATTTGCCTGTTGTTACCTGTGCTTTTAAGATCTTAGCCATAAAATCCTTGCCTAGACCAATGTCCTAGAGCCTTTCCCCTGTGTTTTCTTCTAGTAGGTTTATAGTTTCTGGTCTTAAATTTAAACTTTCAATCCATTTTGTGCCGACTTTTTTAATATGGTGAGAGATAGTGGTCTAGTTTCATTCTACTGCATAAAGATATCCAGTTTTCCTAGTACCGCTTATTAAAGAGAGTGTCCTTTCCCCTACTGTATGTTCTTGGTGCCTTCGTGGAAAATCAGTTGGCTGTAAATATGTGGATTTATTTCTTGGTTCTCTATTGTATTCCATTAGTCTATGTGTCTATTTTGTGTCTGTTTTTATACCAATGCCACGCTGTTTTGATTACTGTGGATTTGTAGTATATCTCGAAGTGAGGTAGTATGATACATCCAGCTTTGTCCTTTTTTCTCAGTATTGCTTTAGTGATTTGGGCTTCTTTATGGTTCCATATGAAGTTTAGGATTGTTGTTTTTCTAGTTCTCGGAAGAATGTTTTTGATATTTTGATAGGGATTGCACTGAATTGTAGATTATTTTGAGTAGAATGGTCATTTTAAGAATATTAATTCATCTGACCCCTAACCATGGAATGTCTTTCCATTTGTTTGTGTCCTTTTTAATTTTTCTCATCAGTGTTTTGTAGTTTTCCTTGTACAGGTCTTCTACCTCTTTGGTTATATTTATTCCTAGGTATTTTATTGGTTTTTATTTATTTTTTATTTTTTGGTAGCTATGTAAATGGGATTGCTTTCTTAATTTTACAGCTAGTTTATTATTTGTGTATAGATATGCACTGATTTTATATCCTGCAACTTTACTAAATTGGTTTATCAGTTCTAACAGTTTTCTGGTGAAGTCTTTAGGTTTTTCTACATACAAAATCATGTTGTCTGCCAAGAGGAACAATCTGACTTCCTCTTTTTCCACTTCGGATGCCTTTTATTTGTTTCTCTTTCCTGATTGCTCTAGCTAGTCAACCATTCCATATTTAGCAAAGCTGATATGAAGGTCAAAAGAATCACGGAGGTGGTATTTAATCATATTATCCAGAGTTTGCTGTACTTGGGACTGACAAAACCAAAAGCATCCGGTAAGTACAGACTAAATGCAGTCATAAACTTCCCTTTTATTGCATAAGACCTTCAAACATGCTATGGTTGCTTTTAACCACAAGTAGGTTAGGCTGTAATTGTATAAGAAGCAACAAGTAAATGGCTTACACAAGCACTTTTATAAAGGTTAAGACAACTGGATCACATGGTGGTGCCCAAGACATTTGAAATTCATATCCTGGTGATAAGTGAGCACTGAAAACACAAGACTCATAGATGAGTAGAACTGAAGCACACAGATGCCTGAGCACAGAAATTAGAGATTGATGGTCTTTAGTTTCTTACATTGTATAATGGATATTATTTTTCTGTTTGTTTTGTTTTCCTTTTCTGGTGATTTTGTGCTTCTGACACTAGCTATACTTTGGGGTTCCCACCTCCTCCTCCTTGGGTTCAATTAATTTGTTAGAGTGGCTTGTGGAACTCCATAAACATATTTACAGGTTTATTATAAAGGATGTTACACAGGATACAGATGAAGCGATGCATAGGGTGAGATGGGGGAAAGGGGCACAGAGCTTCTATGCCCTTTCTGGGTGCTCCATCATTCAGAAACCTCCATGTGTTCAAATACAGATATTCTTGACCAAAGACCAGCAACAACAACAAAAATCATTTAACTTTTTAATACATGACTGAATTTCCATTGAATTAATAACATTATTAATAACCCTACTCCCCAAAGGGCAGAATTAATGCCACCTTTGGAAAACTCAGAGACTTAATTTTCAGATTATAATTTATCTAATAGAACCCTATGCAGGGGAAATTCCTAGGAATACATAAATATGTTAACTATATTGTGCATTTATTTATATGCAACTCTTTAAAATAATTTTTGAATACATAATTTTCTGATAAAGAAAATGAAGGCTAAGTGCTTGATACAAAAGAAATCAGCTTTTCTCTCATAATCAAATTATTATTTAACTTATGCTAATTCAACTGCATTATTTCAACTGTAAAATCATACTTTAAAAAAAGGGTAAGGATAGGCTAGGCACAGTGGGCTCAAGCCTGTAATCTCAGCACATTAGGAGGCCAAGGTGGGTAGATCACCTGAGATCAGGAGGTCAAGACAGCCTGAACACTGCGAAACCCCATCTCTACAAAAAATGCAAAAATTAGCCAGGTGTGGTGGCGTATGCCTGTAGTCCCAGCTGCTTGGGAGGCTGAAGTGAAAGAATCGCTTGAAACCAGGAGGTAGAGGTTTCAGTGAGCCGAGATTGCGCCATTGCACTCCAGCCTGCGCAACAAGAGCGAAACGCCATCTCAAAAAAAAAAGGGTAATTTAAACATTACAGGCGATTATCCCAGCCATTCTAATCAATTTCTATTCTCCAAGAGTTTAAGATGGGACACCTGAATTTGTTGTTCCTTTGGCTGATCTTAGTTCCTCCTTACCCTCTTCTCAGGACAAGCATCTCATCATACTGAGCATAATTCTAGAGAAAATATCTATCTTTTTCCCAAAATATGATCTGTAAACATAAGCCAATTACTTCATTTAGTGTTCAATCATAGAAAATACACACTGTTCCAATCGTGGAGCAAAGACTGGTTGTCTTAAAGATATTGGGATGGTGTGTTGCCTTTGCTATGGCATCTTAAGGGATTTTTTTGAAAATTACAATTTTTTTCCCCTAGGATACACAAATTCCTGAGAAATGGACTCAGTGCTCCCTTAAAGGATTTTTAAGGGTAATGATGACCCTAAGCATTTTTGCTTTAAGTATTAACTTTGAACCTGACATGTTATTAGCTGCAATGTCATTATAATATTTAAACCAGCCTTTCCCTTGGATAAGCAGAACAATAAAATATCCGACGACGGTCAAGAGCAATTCCAGCAACCTGGACTCGTAATTCTCAAGTGTACCTATATTCTTTTCTGTCTACAGTTCTACTGCAAAGTGCTATTCTAGGTGATTTCGAGGATACTTTCTATTCCTACAGTTCTCTGATTCCTCTAAGTTTGTTATGAGGATCAGAAGAATTAAATGGGTTAAGTTAAAATGTGATATACTATTACTTAAAGTGTTATATATATATATATATATACATATAATATCCATATATATACATAATATGTAATTTGCTTCTTGGTACACCTGAAGGCAAGAAGATTGCCAAGCAATGGCTTTCAGCCTCATGATTCCATAGTGACAAGACGAAGTATTATCTTGAGAATAATTCCAAAGCCAAATTTATCCTCAGTGGGAAAGACTGAAAATATAATTCTGTATTTCTGTTGTTCCTGGCACCTGGTCATTACTTAGGAGACCTATGTACAGTTCAAAACAAAACAAGACAACTCTCCTGGGGCAGCTGTAATTAGAAGGCACCAGTGTCCATCTGGCATTTCCAATAAAAGCTAAAAGATCTATTTAAGTGACAACAAACTACTTACCTGAGTCTGTGGTTTGCTGCAGGATTCAGCTTCCTAATTTGTTCAAATGTCAAATCACACAATCGACCAGTCCCATCTGTCGTCCTATCTACTGTGTTATCGTGCATTAAGACAGGAATCCCGTCAGAAGTAAACTCAATGTCCAGCTCCACGCCTGTTGCTCCATTCTTAGCTGCCTTAAAAAAACATCAACAATATTACTGTCAAATGGCCACAAACATCATTTTACATCTAACCACCCCAAAAGACCAGCAGGGATGGCCAAGATAGCTGTCCTTATTGATTCCTTTTACTTCTGCTTCCCCCACCAAATAGCAATCCTGACCTGTTTCTGTTTCCTATGTATACAACCTTACTTCAACTCCTAGCTGATGGATTCCTTAAAAACTTTAATTTCCCCACTCTTCTCACTTTCACAGTGGAAGACTGGGAGACTTCAGAAACTTACGTTTTCTCTGGATGCTTTAACTATATGGGTCATCAATGGCTTACGAATACTTAAGACAATTCCATTGTTTACCTACACTCTTCGCTGGTATGGCAGTTCTGATGATTACCCTATGTTTGTTGAGTAGTCAGGTATTTCACTACTTTGGCGTGAATAAGTCAGGTTTTTGGTGGTTCAATTCTACCCTCTACCACAAAGACATTACACCTGCTTCTAGGACAAACCACATTTTATGTAAGTAGCATTGGCTGTTGGCCAGTAAGTTGGTAAGCTTGACCAGGCAGATTAGAATTTATCTAAAAAGGGAATTTGAACCTTAAATTACACAAGCCATGCTCCTCTGGGGAAACACTAATGTTTGCTTCCTTATCACAATACAGATGTGAAATGCTCATTATGATCAAGATTTCTTTCTTTCTTTCTTTTTTTTTTTCAATACAGGACCTGCCTCTGTTGCCCAGGCTAGAGTTCAGTAGTATGATCTCAGCTCACTGCAACCTCTGCTTCCTGGGCTGAAGCCATCCTCCCCCCTCAGCCTCCCAAGTAGCTGGGACTACAGGCAAGTGCCCCCAAGGCCAGCTAATTTTTATATTTTTTGCAGAGATGGGGTTTCACTATGTTTCCCAGGCTGGTCTTGAACTCTTGAGATCAAGCAATCCTCCTGCCTCAACTATGGGATTACAGGTGTGAGCTACTGCACCCAGTCATGATCAAGATTTTTAATTTTAATTTTTTTTTTTTTTTTTGAGACGGAGTCTGTCTCTGTCATCCAGGTTGGAATGCAGTGGTGTGATCTTGGCTCACTGCAACCTCTGCCTCTGGGTTCAAGCAATTCTCCTCTATCAACCTCCTGACTAGCTGGGACTACAGGTGCCCACCACCACACCCAGCTAATTTTGGTATTTTTAGTAGAGACAGGGCTTCACCATATTGGTCAGGCTGGTCTCAAACTCCTGACCTTGTGATCTACACACCTCAGCCTCCCAAAGTGATGGGATTACAGGCTGAGCCACAGTGCCTGGCCTAATTTTTAAAATTTTAAGTCATGGTCTATTGCAAACATATAGAGTAAAAAACATTTAATATGTGAATGTTTCAACCTATTTTCCTCAATCTCTTTCTGGCCTAAAAAACAAACAAACAATTATTTATTGAGCCTTTTCTATTTGCCAGGCACTCTTTGAAGTGCTTTAAGTGTATTAACTCATTTGGTCCTCAGAACCCTGAAGCAAGTACTATTAATATTCTCATTTAACAGATGAGAAAACTGAGACAAAGAAAGAGTAGGAAACTCGACCTGGGCTGCATAAACTAGGATACACTCTTATCTACTGATACAACTGTATCAGTAGTGTAGATAATAAAATCAACACTACTGATACAGTTGTAAACTCTCCCTTTCATTCTCCTCCTTTCCTCTCCAGATGTAATTATCATCTTAAAGTTGGCTATATCATTCCCATGTCATTCCCTTATAGGTTTTTACTTAAGTACCCATAAACAACACAGCACTAGTGCTAGTGAATAGTTAAGATTTCAATAAATGTTATTTATTATGTCCCGTCCCAAAGTGCTGGGACTACAGGCGTGAGCCACTGCATCCGGCCCTTTTAAACACATCTTTAAAGGTAATATAGTCAAATTTATCAATAATGTCCTTTATGGGTAGAGATTTTTCTGCCTTATTTAAATATTTCCCTTTTCCCATGTAATACAGATGTACAACTATTTTGGAAAAACACATCACGTTTTTCCTCTGCTCTCACATCATAACAATCAACCCCGACTTTGTAACCAACAATGTGGGAGGTTTTCCTCACCAACAAGTAGTGGACACCACCTGGGTATCCTCCAACTCAATTCTGACACTGTCTACCTGGAGATAGCATCAGATCACAGGTTGAGGCCTTGGTCCCCAAGACTGCACCCCACCCTCCTCCAGACACAAATAGCAAGCTGGGGCCTCTGGAACTTCTGAACAATTGGCTTCAGGTTCTCCTAGGTTTTCTTTGTTGTTTATTTTTATTTAATTCCTCTTAGGTTTTTATGAAAGCTTCAGGCTGTCAGCATTCCTTCCCCCAGGGTATAGGGTGGAGGTCCCTCTCTGAGGAGAATCTTAAGATTTACAATTTGAAAGACAGGGAAAGATTCCAGTTCTGCCTTGGGGCAGGTGAAAAGAGAGCAGGAGAAGGTTGGAGAGATTCTGTTTCCTGAGGCCTGCTCCTTCGGCCTAGGACACCTAACAAAAGACTAGCAAGGGCTACGGGAGTTATGACCTAGGAACCATTGATGATCACCTATATATATATATGTGTGTATATGTGCGTACATATATACACACATACTTAATAGATACAATATAGTGTAAACATAACTGTTATATGCACTGGGAAACCAAAACATTTGTTGCTCCCTTTATTATAATATTTGCTTTATTGACTATTTACTCAGGTGTGGAACTGAACTTGCAATATTTCCTATATATGCTAACATGTGAATTGGAACCAGGGGTTCATCTTTTTATCTCAATTACTGGAATAACATAGAAGTACTGCTAAAGTTGGCAAGGTGGTGGCTCAAGCCTGTAATCCCAGCACTTTGGGAGGCTGAGGCAGGCAGATGACTTGAGGCTACGAGTTCAAGACCAGCCTTGCCAACATAGCAAAACGCCATCACTACTAAACGCCGCCCCTCCCCCACAAAAAATTAGCTGGGCATGGAGGAGCACACCTGTAATCTTAGCTACTCAGGAGCCTGAGGCACAAGAATTGCTTCAACCTAGGAGTCAGAAGTTACAGTGAGCTGAGATTGTGCCACTGCATTCAAACCCGGGTGACAAAGAAACTCTGTCTCAAAAATAAAAGTATTGGTAAAGTTGAATGTATACATACATACGTACATACATTTCTGATACTGGTGGAATTTCTGGTAGATTATAAATGAGATATAGAGGAAAAAACTTGAGAAATGTGAATTAAGTGTGTTCCAAAAACAGATACACTATTATCAACAGTGGCAAAGGAATGAAATTACACCCACAGTACATTCTCCACATGGCCCAGAGTGCAGCTTTAAAAGTATAAATCTTGGCTGTGCATGGTGGTGGCTCACACCTGTAATCTCAGTTACTTAGGAGGCTGAGGCAGGAGAATTGCTTGAACCAGAGAGGCTGAGGTTGCGGTGAGCCAAGATTGTGCCACTGCATTCCAGCCTGGCCAACAAGAGTGAAACTCTGTCTCAAAATAAATAAATAAAATAATAATGACTCATGCCTGTAATCCCAGCACTTTGGGAGGCCAAAGTGGATCACTGGAGGTCAGGAGTTCAAGACCAGCCTGGCTAACACAGTGAAACCCTACTAAAAATATAAAAATTAGCTGGGCGTAGTGGCAGGCACCCATAATCCCAGCTACTCAGAAGAATGAGGCAGGAGAATCACTCGAACCCGGGATACAAAGGTTGCAGTGAGCCAAGGTTGTACCACTGCACTCCAGTCTGGGTGACAGTGAGACTCCCTCTAAAAAAAAAATTAAAATTAAAAATTGAAAAATAGGCTGGGCACAGTGGCTCACGCCTGTAATCCCAGCACTTTGGGAGGCCGAGGTAGGCAGATCACCTGAGGTTGGGAGTTCAAGACCAGCCTGATCGATCAAGAAGGAGAAACCCCGTCTCTACTAAAAATATAAAATTAGCTGGGTGTGGTGGCACAGGCCTGTAATCCCAGCTACCTGGGAGGCTGAGGCAGGAGAATTGCTTGAACTCAGGAGGCAGAGGTTGTGATGAGCCAAGATCACACCATTGCATTCCAGCCTGGGCAACGAGTGAAACTCCGTCTCAAATAAATAAATAAATAAATAGGACATGAGGGAGGCCAGGTGTGGTGGCTCACGCCTGTAATCCTAGCACCTTGGGAGGCCAAGGCGGGCGAATCACTTTGAGGCCAAGAGTTCAGGACAAGCCTGGCCAACACAGTGAAACCCCATCTCTACTACAAATAAAAAATTAGCTGGATGTAGTGGTGGGCATCTGTAATCCCAGCTACTCAGGAGGCTGAGGCACGAGAACACTCCAGCCTGGGTAAAAGAGTGAGACTCTGTCAAAAAAAAAAAAAAAGTTGGAAGGGGGGAAAGGGAAGGAAGAATAATATATTTACACAGACGCAAAATTGCCTAATCCACTGAAAAAGCCCTCTCACTCTGTAAGCTGTCATTAGGAAGCCAGGGGAATGCTAAGAGCTGAGAGTTAACAAAAGTTACGGGAGTGCCTTGTGTAAAGGAGGGGGCAAAAACTGATGTTAGTCCAGCTGCAGGGGTTGTGCAAGTGTGAATGTGTGTGTTTGGGGAAAGGTGATAAGGGGATGACTGGAGTAATTTAGACAACACGCCAAGATATGTCCTGTGAAGGGTGATCTATTTAACCTTAATTACTGACCAAGACCCGATTTGACCGGACCCACATCCTGCTTCATTCACACACCAGTCTTTGAAGTCAGGCCACACACTGCCTTTTCTGTTACCTGAATGCTGCAGTATTATTCCCATCTCACGACCTTCTGTACCTGCCTGGCTCCTTATAATTCCAGTTTCTGTTCAAATGTCGCTTCTTCAGGGATGATTTCTCTTGACTACTCCATCTAAATAAAATAGCAAAACTCTTCCCCTCGAGTTCCTCCAGTCATTCTTGATCTCGTTATCCGATGTCTTCATTGCACTTTTCACTCTCTTAAACTTATCTCATTTATGTGTCTACTTGTTTCAGGTTTGCCTCCCCGACTCCAATGTACACTATGTAAACCAGGGACCCATTTGACCTTTTCCTGGCTGTAACCTCAGCGCCAGGCGCACAGAAACTTTATACATATCGGCTGTCGTCTGTAAATATAAAACCTGAAGTCGGGAGATCTCTAGACACTGGGAGGGATCAGAGGCCAGGAGTGTGACCTGTAGACGAATGAGGAAGTGGGAAGGCCGCCCGGAGATGATCGGGGAACCCTGGGAAGTTAGATCAGAAGTCTGAGCTCTCGGGAGGACCGAGGGGCGCGAGGCGTGGGGGGCTCACCTGCCGAATGGCCGCCAGCGTGTTCTCGGGCGCGTCGTGGCTGCCGCCGCGGTGGGCAATGGCAGAAATGCGGTCCTGGGGCTTGAGCACCTGCAGGGCCCTGCCGGAGGGCACCGGCTCAAAGCTGAAGACGCGCAGCAGGACGAAGAGGGTGACAGTGAGGAGGCAGGCACTGACCGGTCTCCGCGTCACCGGCAGCAGCACCACCAGCAGGAAGGAGAAGGCGGCCAAGAGGCCCCCCTGGTCCTCCCACAGCCACATGCCGGCGCCCGCACCGGCACGGACGGGAGTCCCGGACCTGCCGGGCTCCCCGGGCAGGAGAGCGAGAAGCGAGGGGGAGGGCCCAAAGCACTGACCGCAGCGGGTACCCTCTGAAGGGACCAGCACGGCACAATGGCGGCAGAGGACACCTCCTGAGAGAGAGTCGGCTGGCCAGCCAATCAGGGCCCAGGATTTGCAGCGCTAGGGGGCGGAGCCGCAGCAGGGGCCCGAGCCGCAGCAGGGGCCGAGGTCCCAGGCCCCAGGTCCCAGGCTCACATTCCAAACCCAAAGTGGTTTCCGGTTTTCTGGGGTGTGAACTTCAACCTGAATGTTTAGACTCCTAGGCAAGAAAAGGAGGGATAAGAACCGTCCTAAAGCTGTAGTATTGGAAGGGATTCTAGTGACTCCTTCATCTGCCCTTGAGGAAACTGAAGTCCAGAGAACTTGGAGAGGCAGGATGCTTAGATTATCAATTCAGTTCAGTTCTCTTCAAGATGCGCTCCGGACATGAGTTGAACAGGACCTACAGGGTTCTTGCTCTTATGGGACTCACATTCTCGTGGGGGAAAATAAAAGTGTTAGCAAGTACGCCTAAGTGTACAGAGCACTTACCGTGTCCCAGGTACTTTGCGAGCAAACACTTTATGCTTATCTCATTCTCACGGCAGCCTCACTAGGTGGTTATTATCTCAGGAGGCTGATTTCAATCGACTTGATTTTCCTGATTCTGGGGGACTGGAAGAGCCTAGCAAAGAAGGCACAGTCAGATTATAAAACTGGAAGGGGTTTTAAGGATTCTCTCATTTTATAGATGAGAAAACTGAAGATAGGTGAATTAAGTAGTTAATGGCAGGGTGGGGACTGACATAAAGGCCTCCCCAGTGACTCGTGGCATTTTCACTCCTCCTCCTCCTAATCTTATTTCTGCTAAGGACTTTTGTACGAGGCCCTGTGCAATAGTTACCTCAACTGTCTCACAACCACCCTTGTGATAGGCACTTTTAAAACCCCCATTTTACATATGCAAAATGGAAGGAGGCACTGGAAGGAGGGTAAGAGAGACAGATGGTAAAGCCGAGTTAGGGAATGACAGAGGGCTCCTAGTCAGGTTTTGGAAAGCTGGTAACATTTTTATGTAGAGAACTTTGCATAGAGTCAGGGATTTTTCTGTTACTTTTTGCTTTTAGTGTTTTTTCCCACTGATTTGCAAAAGGGCATAGATGTCCAGTTGGCATCTTGGTTTCCGCTGTTTTTTTTTTTTTTTTGGTTTGGTTTGTTTTTTTTTTTCTTTTTTTTTTTTTTGAGATGGAGTTTCGCTGTTGTTACCCAGACTGGAGTGCAATAGCACGATCTCGGCTCACCGCAACCTCCGCCTTCTGGGTTCAAGCAATTCTCCTGCCTCAGCCTCCTGAGTAGCTGGGACTACAGGCGCGCACCACCATGCCCAGCTAATTTTTTTGTATTTTTAGTAGAGACGGGGTTTTACCTTGTTGACCAGGATGGTCTCCATCTCTTGACCTCGTGATCCACCTGCCTCGGCCTCCCAAAGTGCTGGGATTATAGGCGTGAGCCACCACGCCCAGCTTTTTTTTTTTTTTTCTTCTTTTTGAGACACTCTCACTCTATCGCCCAGGTTGGAGTGCAGTGGTGCAATTACGGCTCACTGCAACGTCAACCTCCTGGGCTTAAACGATTTTCTCACCTTAGCCTCCAGAGTAGCTGGGACCACAGGCTTGTGCCACCCCACTTGGCTAATTTTTAAAATTTTTGTAGAGATGGCGTTTCCCTTTGTTGCCTAGGCTGATCTCGAACTTCTGGGCTCAAGCGATCCTCCCGCCTCGGCTTCCAAAATGTTGGGATTATAGGTTTAAGCCACCATGCCCGGTGGGTTCAGCAAGTTTTTAGCTACAATATTTTGGTGAATGATATATGTTTTCTAACAGCTGCATAGAAAGGGGTTTTCTTTATACAGATAAGAAAAAAAGTCAACTTCAAGGAACACTTCAGGGGGCTTCAGACTCTGAGGAGTGGTCCCATTATAATAAGTAAGTAAATTTATTAATAGATTCTAGAGGCTCTAGCTTGCAATGAAGACTACGTTTCCCAGCGTGCAGCATGCTGGCCGTAAGCATTACGTCTGCTATCGCGGGCGCGCAATGCACCTCGGGGATTGTAGTTTTCTGGTGGCCCAACCGTTTCAACTGCCTGGTAATCAACCACCGGAAGTGCCGGCCCCTGAGAGGCGGAGTCCTGGTGGCAGCGGCGGCGGTTGCCAGGAGCCCGCGTTGCAGCCTGAGGTCCGTAATATGGCGGGGAGGAGGAGGAGAAGGCGGCGGTGGACCGTGCTGCGCTCTGTCAGTACCATTTGAGCCATTCGCTTCCTGACAAGGCCCGTGACGAGGGGAGAGGAGCTGAAGGGGCTTTGGAGGATCAGGTGTGTGCATAAGGAGGGGGCTCGAGCCTCGGCGGGTCCAGGCTGAGAGGTGGCCTGGCGAGGCGAAATTGGCGCCCTGAGGAGCTGAGGGCGGGCTCTGTGCTGGGCTCCCGGGCCTTGAGCCCCCTGAAAAGGCGCTGGCTATAGACAGGTCGGCAGCACCGGGTACGGAGGTGATGCTCTGATGCCGGCCCCGCCTGGAGAGCCCTCGGTTTGGAGCCTTACGGAGGAGCATGGGGCGCTAGGGAGAAGGCAGGGGATCGTCCCTGGTGAATAAAACTCGGGCCACAGCCGGAGAACCCCATCGTGGTGATCAAATTGTTTGGGGCGTTTTTCTTCTCTTTCTCAGAGAAGTGGTGCTGGAGAGGGAGAACGATGGGTGCTGGAGAGGGAGGCGTCCCCGAGGTAGGCATTGGTCATTTATGAGCCCGGGTTACCACAACCAAGGCCCTAGGAGCGCTGCTTACTATGCCTTAGCCACTCTGGGGAGAAGATATTAAAGTAATTGATTGCCCCTGAAGCTGCTAGATGGTTCTTACCCTTTGATTCTATTCTGGTTATGATCCAAGCTCCCTACCCCCAGCTTGGGCAAATGGCAGCCATCTCGAGATTGATTTGACGGGGAGAGATCTAGAGACAGGGAAATGAGGAAGCCGTTGTCCCCTTTCCAATATTTTTAAGTTTCATTTGAATCCTACCGGGAACCAAGCACTGTCGCTGCCCTCCAGGAATTCATAGTCTATTGCTAAAAATTGTCATAATTATCCTCTTAATAAGAAAACCCCATTATTTGATGTTTTCTGCGTGTTCTGTACTATGCTAATTGCCCAGCATGCATTAGCTCATTTAATTCTGACAAGATCCCTTTGAGATGGATACCGTGATCATCCCTGTTTTACAGTGGAGGAAACAGGTGTGGGGTTGGTAACTAGCTTGCCAAGAACTTGCAGCTAGTATTCATCTGACTAAGATATCTTTCCCTTTACCACTTTTACAAGAAGTTTGCGTCTTTGGGGCAACTAATGGGTTAAAAAAACACTAGGTTCTGCAAAAAGGCAGGATCTGTTCAGTGTTACTTTTACCACTCCTTTCAGTGACATGTGTGGCAGAGCACAAGTAAGGAGCAGATAGAACCATGAGTCTATGGGGTTTGCAAAGAGGCTCATTTGGACAGTGGTTCTCTGTGGTATAAATGGAGAAGACAGGGCATGTCTGAACCTGCTGCAGCTAACAAATTATTACTGGAAGTGGACCAGTAATGCATGATGGTAAGGTATGGGGCAGTAGATTTGTGGCTGGGGTAGCCTTGTAGTTTAAGGCTCCCTTAAAATAAAACCTTGCTGACAGTGGTAATTGTAGTGTGAAAGGTATAGTGTCCTCTTGCTTAATCATGGGATATGGACAGCTCACTTCTTAAATGGTTACCTTTGCAGTTTCAGAGGTATCAGTTTTTCAGAATAGGGCCATAGTGAAATTTCCATTCTCTAAATTCAATTCTTCCTTTCTAGCTTTGTTGTATAGTCCACCTTCTTTTTTTCTTTTTTTCTTCTGGTTTACATTATTGTTTGAGCTTATTACCCAAATTCTTTATTCAATAATTTTATTAAATGCCTGCTGTTTGCTGATACTATTCTGTGTAATGGGGATTCAGTGATCAAGTCTAAACAGGTACATGTACTTACAGCACTTATATTTTGGTGGAGGAAGACAGACAAAAATCAAGGAAATAAACAGGATAATTTCAGATAGTGGGAAGTGCTATGAAAATTGGGAAACAACAGGGTAATGTGATAGTGATCAAGGCAGAGCTAATTTAGCTGGGGTCATCAGGGAGACCTTCTCTGAGTAGGGGACATCCAGGCTGAGGCTAAAGGATAAGAAGGATCCAGACATGCTCTGAGGATCATCTGGTAATTTGAATAATCTCCATATTAGCCTCATATTCGAGTGAGTAATGCATTGTCATATGCTGTGTCGTGCTGTAATAATATAGTACTGTACATCTTCAAGATGTAGGACGTATGTGTACTATTTAAGGGATGTGAAGAACTCTGAAACAATGGGACATATCTCTATGATGTTGAAAGAAAAAACTATGGCCATAAAAGTATTGTATTTTCTTAAATTTCCCTCACTTTTAAAATTGAATTTCATGCTTTGCTTGAGTAGCCATAGACCATATATTACTTTATTTGTATGAGTAATCAATTTACATTCTCTGTACTGCTGAATGCATGGCATGTATTAAAAAAAATAAAGTATTTGAGCACAAATGGGGTTGTTAAGATATAATGTGAGTAGAAACATAGACTAAAAAAGTGGCTATGCCTTAAGGTTTTATTGGTTTTACTTTTGCTTTTTGTAAATAAATAAAAGCTTGTAAAATAATCTCACCCTGTAGAAAACCATTTCTTTGACATTAAATTTCTAGTTTGCATAAATTGAACACAGAAATAATTACAATTAATGGAATGATAGGAAGAAGTTTTGTTATTGATTAAACTATTTGGCCAAAAAAGTTCAATATAATTTTTTTATAATCTGATTGTAATTTTGAATATGGGTTTTTTTCTCCATTTCTCATTGCACTGTAATTTGTCACTGACACTTTGGTGTACTGAATTTTTAAGTACTTTGAGGCCTACAGAGGACATATCCTATTTCATCTTTGCATATCCCACATCATGAATTGAATTTCCTTGCCCTCCCTTTTTTTGTTAAGAAGTTAATTGTTAAAAAAAAAAAAAAAAAAAGGTAATTGTTTTACAATGAACACGTAAAGGAACATTGTATTAGATTTTCTGTTTCCATAGTTCATACCCTTGCTGGTTATGATTCTGATGTCTCTTGATTTTCCCTTACTTATTTAAAGGAAACAGTGCCACACATAATGCTGTGCAAATAAGCAATTAATACATCTTTTTTCTTATTAAAAAAAAAGTTTTCTTTTTTTAAGAGATGGGGTTTCACTGTGTTTGGCCAGGATGGTCTTGATCTCTTGACCTCGTGATCTGCCTGCCTCAGCCTCCCAAAGTTCTGGGATTACAGACGTGAGCCACTGCGCTTGGCCCTAGCAATCAATATTTAATGTTTGCTAAATAAATGAATATGATGCCTAATCCTTCCTGGTTACCTTCTATTTTCATAATCACAATTATAATTTCCCAGAAATATTGAAATTACTGGGATTGTCTTAAGTAGTTTGATGATGGTTCCAGTTTTCAACAATAAAGTATTATTAACATCAGAGCCAATCAATTTTTACCTCTGACTGAGTTGGCTGGTGTGCCCATGGAGTCTAAGTACAGTGTTAAGATATGCAAATTGAGGCAGGAGGATTGCTTGAGTCTGGGAGTTTGAGACTGTAGTGGGCTGTGATCCCACCTGTGAATAGTCACTGGAATCCAGTTTGGGCAACATAGTGAGACCCATTTTTTTTTTTTTTAAGCTATGAAAATAATAGCCTTTGAACTTCAAAACAGAAAATTTTTTTAAGTACATTTTTCTTTATTTAAGTAGGCTTTTTTTAACTACAGTGATCTACCTTTGTCTGATATAGTTTTTCTTGTGAAGATAAGTTATGTTAAAAAATATAATATCATATTTTACAATCTGAAATTAGTAAAGGTATATAGAAGTTTGTTTCCTTTAAGAAGGCTTTACTGAATTCTTAGCTAAATTAATCCCATTTAAAGATTGATTTACATGCAGTAATATTCAGAAATATTTAATATATAAAGTAAATCTAAATTGGACAGGTTCTTGAGGTGAATTACCACACCCAAGAATTAGCTCCTGATTAGTGAGATAATTCTGGGAAGAGCAGTTATAGGAATTCTGAATTATAGGGACTCTCTCATGCTCTACAAAATTTGTCGAATAATTAAGATCTGCTTTCCCGGTACATTAAAAATAACATTTTTCTCTCTTGTAGTGTGATTGTAGGAAGATGGAGGAGTATGAGAAGTTCTGTGAAAAAAGTCTTGCCGGAATACAAGAAGCATCAATATCCACAGAGAGCTTTCTTCCTGCTCAGTCTGAAAGTATCTCACTTATTCGCTTTCATGGAGCAGCTATCCTTTCTCCACTGGTAAACTTTGTTTGTTTTTAAATAGTTTTTTTTCTGTAGTGAACAAGTAAAGCATTTTGTGAAAAAAACAAAAGAAAGGCTTGTAAACATTTGAAGAGATGCCCTTATTCATAATTAGAGAAATAAAAATAAATTAGCATTTTTTACTTACTATTGTAGATTGGCAAAGAGCTAATAGAACCTTGTGTTCCTTAGATTGTGGAAAATGCACTTTTAATGCACTTTTGCTGAGAGAAACTGTTTATTTTTAGGTGAGCAGTTTGGTAGAATCTAAAAGCATACATAGCCTTTGACTCAGTAGTTCCATGGTATATCCTATGTGTGAGCCCAAAGAAATAAGTACAAGATTACATTAGCATTGTTTAAAATAACAAAGGTTGACAAACAACTTAAATGTCCATCAGTAGTGAAGTAGTTTAACTGTGGTCCATTTTATAAAATCTCATACATACCATTAGAGTGAGTAAGGAGATCTAAATGTTGAGACATGGAAGGATCTCCATGATCTAGTGTAAAACACTGTGCAGCATGCTGTTGGGGCAGCATAGAGTAATAGAGCTCCAGGCTTTGGGCCAGGCACAGTTGCTCATACCTGTAGTCCCAATGCTTTGAGAGGCTGGAGGGAGGAGGATTGCTTGAGACCAGGAATTTAAGACTAGCCTGGTCAACATAGCAAGACCTCAGCACTACAAAAACAATTATTTAAAAAAAATTAGCCAAGCGCAGTGACATGTGCCTGTAGTCCCAGCTACTTGAAAGCTAAGGTGGAAGGATTGCTTGAACCTAGGACTTCCAGGTTGCCATGAGCCAGGACTGCATCACTGCACTCTAGCCTGGGCTACAGGGCAAGACCTGGTCCTGAAAGAAGGAAAAAAAGCCTAGGCTCTGGAACCTTCTGGCCTGGGTCTAAATCATTGTTTTGCTACTTACTTGCTATGTAAACTTGTGGTCCATTTTCTTATTTGTTAAATGGAGATAAAATCGTGCCTACCTAATAAGTCTGTTTTGGAGATGAAATGAATTTGTAGATACAAAATGGTTAGAATACTACCTGGATCATAAGAGGTACCCAATATAAGTTAATCATTTGGGTGTTTTAAAAGATGGCTATTCCTTTTCCAGGGAGTGGTGAGAGAATATAGTAGGGAAGACACTTCATCATATACCCTTTAATACTAATTTAATATTTTAAAATGGTACATGATTTTATTTTAAATTACAAACTAATATTAGAAAAAAATAAGCTTTAAATTTATTTTTTGGTATAATAGGAGTTAAGAGATAATTTTATTTTAATTAATTTAATTGAATTTTTGAAGAGGCCAGAGCTAACTGCCAGCATAGCAAAGTTGAAAGGATATGCAATGACCACCCATAGATTTACCATTTGATTAAATAATTTTTAACATTTTTGTCATCTTTGCTTTATTGTTTGTGATTTTTATATACACGTATGTGTGTGTGTACATACATACATACAGACATTTTTCAAAATTGCCTAGCCATTTGAAAACCACTGAGACCTGACGCAGCTTCCCTAAATATTTTGATATACACTTAAAAATAAGGACATTTTTCTATTAAAACCTAATACCATTATCACATCTTAGGAAAATTAATAATTTTTAATAACATCTAATAATTCTGTTCATATTTAAAATTTTCCATTTGTGCTTAAAATGCCTTTTATAACTTTATTCCCCCAATCTGGATCTAAAGTTCACGATTAGTATTTGCTTGTTATGTTTTTTTATTTTAATCTAGAACAGCTCCTCTACATCTTAAACATAATATTTTTTATTGGCTAGGCATGGTGCTTCATGCCTGTAATCCCAGCACTTTGGGAGGCCAAGGCAGGCAGATCCCAAGGTCAAGAGCTCGAGACCATCCTAGCCAACATGGTGAAACCCTGTCTCTACTAAAAATATGAAACTTAACTGGGCGTGGTGGCATGCACCTGTAATCCCAGCTACTTGGGAGGCTGAGGCAGGAGAATCGCTTGAACCCAGATGGCGGAGGTTGCAGTGAGCCAAGATTGCATCACTGCACTCCAGCTTGGCAACAGAGTGAGACTGTCTCAAAAAAAAAAAGGAATTCTTTGGAGATGATGCCCTGTATCCTTTGTATTAAATTAAATCAGAAGTTACGTAATGTTTGGTTGTCCTCTATTAGTGATGTTTAGTTTGAACACTTGCTTACAGTAGTGACTACCAGATGGCTCTTTAAAGTACACATTTTCTCCTTTTGATTAGCAAGTAAACTGTGTAATTAGGAAAAAATTTTAAAACCACATATTTATCAGCTATTTGATAACATTGCTTAATGTTATCAAATGGACCAAATGTCTGAGGCTTGTTGTATAGGGTCTATGACTCCATCTGTTATTTATTTATAAGCAAAATATGATGTTTATGGACCTAATCCATACTTTTATGTTGTATATGATAGATGAATATTGCAACTTTTGAAATAATCTTTTAATGATATATTTTCTATTTGTGTAAGTCTACGATAAATCTTGACTCTTAACGCAGTGACCCAATTTCCCAGGACTTAATAATTAAGATTGAAATCCATTATAAAAAGATACAATGCTTAGAAGCCTTCATTTTTTTAGGTACATTAAATTTTTATTGGAAGGTAGAGATAAAAGAAAAGATGTATTCTGATTTTGTAGGCAAATAATATATTATCTGTTTCTTTTATCATTAAACCTTTGGACATTTTTTTTTTTTTGAGGCAGCAAAGAGGTAAAATGTGTACTGGTTAGAAAATTAGAACTTGTAGAATTCATTTGACCTAGTGAAGTACTTAATGTGAAGAAATATTCAAGTCAATATTCAAATGAAGTAATGAAAAACTCAGCAGTGGCCGAAAGGGCTTTAATTGTATTTCTGTCATTTTAGAACATTTGATCAGTGAACAAACTTTTTTGCTTTTTAATTTTTTTTCAATTCAAAATAATTTACATATAGCAAAATGCACAGATCTTAAGTGTTAAAGTTCCCTGAGTTTTTATATATGGCATACACCTGTATAACTCAAACTCACACAGGATATTTTCTTCACCATGGAAAGATCTCTAATGCCCCATCCCACTCAGAAGCCCAACCACTGTTCTTATTTCTTTCACTATAGATTAGTTTTGCCTGTTGCACATGTTTTTAATCTTTCTGATTCAGAACTTCCCGATTTTATGATATTTTTATTATGGGAAATAATTACATTTTTATGATGTTTTGCAGCTTAACATTGAAAAAAGAAAGGAAATGCAACAAGAAAAGCAGAAAGCACTTGATATAGAAGCAAGAAAGCAGGTTAACAGGAAGAAAGCTTTACTGACTCGTGTCCAGGAGATTCTTGACAATGTTCAGGTGTGTGATTTAAAGAAATCATAAGATAAGTATTGATGATAATTTTTCAGAAATATCAGTTGTACTTAACTAATTATTAATGTACTTGACTGTTATGTTTGAGAAGCTTCATAATTTGTGATTTTCCATTTCAGTTACTCCAAAGAGTAAGTACTTGCTTGTTAGTGATGCCCAGTACTTGAATCAGAGGATACTTACACAATGGAGCCATATACTGAATATAATTGCTTATTGTTTGCATCTTGTGATGCTAAAAACATTTAATTTTTAGTGACAAGATGATAGAATTGGCTTTTGTTGTTTACTCAAATGAATCAGACTGTTGACTAAATGACCTCATTCTCATTCTTTGGTCAAGTAAATAACTGCTCCCCAATTTTTTTTTGGTGAAAATTTTGCTCTTAGATACACAAAATGCATTTTAGATACATTGAATGGTTTAGATGCACCCCATGTCTGAAAACCATTTAAACAACACATCTACACCTTGTGCAGTTTTTTTTAGATTAAATTTGTATAAACAATTTGTTCTGACGTGTGGATCATTTTGTACTGAAAAGAAAAACAAATGGATTAGATTGAATGAATAATTTCTACCACACACAGCAGTGTTCTGCTGGTAACATCTTTTTGTTTTTTCATAATCTTAGGAGTTTGTGGTTTGTCTGTCATATCAGATGGCACATGTGTAATGAACCTTAAGGGTTAATTTCTCTGTTGGTAGTGTAAACCAAAGAAAATGACCGAGGCGAGTTTCAATCAATTTAGAGTTCTGTTTTGCTGAGGTTGAGGATGTGCCAAGGAAAAAGAAACGAAGGTTACAGTAGGATCTGTGGCTTGTGCTTTTTCCAGAAAAGGTTTTGAGGACTTCAGTATTTAAAGGGGAAAGAATAGCAGGAGGGGAAAGAGAAAGAAAAAAAAGGAGGGTAGGTCATGAGTGGTCACATTTTTGTGAGACTTTGATTAGAACTCACTGAATCTACATGTCATGTGAAAGGTGGGGGTAGAGGAACAGTCATTTATGCATTAATCTCAAGCTCAGTAAATCTGCACTTTACATAGGATATAGCGGTAGAGGAAGAAGTCAAATACACATTTGTCTCCAAAGGGAGATGATTTCTAGTCATCTTTGGTCTTTGTCGATATCTTGTCAGAGTGAGATTCAACAGAACTCTGGGTTAGTGTAAAGATTTGGGGGCCTACAAGGAATTTCCTTGTGAGCAATTTGCAAGAGACGCTACCTGGGTAGATAGGTGGCCTTGTATTTTGCAGCTATCTGTTTAGGAACAAAAGGAAGGCAGTTTTTGTGTGACTCAGTTCCTAAGCTTTACTTTTTCCTTTGCCATAGTGAGTTTGGGGTCCTGAGATTTTATGTTCCTTTTACAGTAGTATGTAGTTTGTGGGTAGTAGATTTCAATTTGCAGATTATAACTACTGTCCATATTCAGTTTAAAAAATATATTGTGTGGTACTAATTTAATAATAAGAGGGTTTTTTTACTTACTAGATATTTCCTGTGATTGAAACGAAAATGGCATATCATTCTTGGTCTATTGAGGAAAGATAAAATATACTACTAATAAGATTGTTAAAAGAGCTTGTATAATGTTGAACTGTAATGAATTAATTATTCAGAAAGGGAAATTTTATATAACACAATTAGATTTCTGCTTCACCTGTAAAACCTAAGATTCTATGATACATTTTTTTCTTGTTATTTAACTTGTCTAACTAAAGGCTCATTTTTGTGACATATAAACAACATAGCTTCCGAGTATCACAAATGTGAAATACTTTACATAAGGAAATAATCTGTTTGGCTTAAACCTGTGAACATGTTCATGTATTTTGTGAATACGTATCCTTTTTGTTTTGTTTTGGTCCTGAGGTTGTGACCAAGTATATCTTGTTGTACTGTTTGTTGAATAGTACCTGGAAACCATTACATGTCTTGGGATTTGTAGGGTAAAATAGGAGCTCCATGTGGTCTAGAAAAAAGCACCTACAAAACAACCTAAAAATATTGTAATATTCAGGATTTTAAAGTCTGTATTCACGATAATAGAATAATGATTTTTGCCAGTTTAATACATGTATATATAACCTTTAGAAATCATCCTAGTTCTCTTTTTATTATTTTGCTAAGTTGGCTTATTTAGATACAAAGTATCTATTTTTACATTTATTTATTTATTTATTTATTTTTGAGGCAGAGTCTCACTCTGTCACCCAGGCTGGAGTACAATGGTGTGATCTCAGCTCACTGCAACCTCTGCTCCCAGGTTCAACCAATTCTCCTGCCTCAGCCTCCTGAGTAGTTGGGATTACAGGTGCCTGCCACCATGCATGTCCAATTTTTCTATTTTTTGTGGAGATGGGGCTTTGCCATGTTGGCCAGGCTGGTCTTGAGCTCCTGGCCTCAAGCCATTTGCCTGCCTTGGCCTCTCAAAGTGCTGGGATTACAGGCATGAGCCACGTCACCCGGCTTTACATATATTTTAAAAAATTTTTTTTCTTCGTGTATACAGTTGTTCTCTTCTTTATCTACTAAATTTTTACCTATTTTGGCTGTTCCGAAACTCATTAACAAGTTGCTATTTTAATTAATTAATCTAATTGAATTTTGTTTTAATGCATCAATTAATCTAATTGAATTTTGTTTTAATGAATTGAGTTTTAAGTTGAAATATTTCTTATTTCTAAATGATTTAAGCTGCCTGGCAGAGCTATTGTTTACTACAAATTTGCCTCATTTTATGGAGGATTTTAGTTAAACTTTGGAGTAAGCATGTGGGTGCAGGAGTCTTATTACTGAATCATTTTTGTTTAATCAATGTCCTGGAGAAGTTTTTGCTAGAGGGGAGTTGTTTATGTAAGACATTTCATTACTTCCTGTTTATTGCATATATTATCATCCTTGGATGATAGCTATTTTAATGTTAATAACATATGACTGGAAGAAAGTTAAGGAAAGTGCTTCTATCCAAGATTAAATTGCACAGAGATATATGAATATCTCTCTGTGTGTGTGTGTGTGTGTGTGTGTGTATATATATACATATATATATGTTCATATTTGTATCAGATTAATTTTCTTTTTTTTCTTTAATGACTTAGGCTGGATGACCAGTAGTGTTTTTTCAATAATAATTTGAGCCCCATGTGACATAGGATACCATGGAAACCTGTCATCTTAGTGTTTGTTTATGTTTTGAAATGTCAGAACTCCAAATCTTCAATTTATTTTATTTTAGAAAACAGTGAAATCAGAGACTTTTTTGTGTGATAAGGAAATACTAACTTTTAAATTTCCTCTTTCAGGTTAGAAAAGCACCTAATGCCAGTGATTTTGATCAGTGGGAGATGGAAACGGTTTACTCTAATTCAGAAGTCAGAAACTTGAATGTTCCTGCTACATTTCCAAATAGCTTTCCAAGCCATACTGAACATTCTACTTCAGTAAACCTTGATAACATAGCCGGGATTTTGCCATTGGATAATGAGGACCAATGTAAAACTAATGGAATAGGCTTAGCTAGAGATTCAGAAGGATTTAATTCTCTGAAGCAATGTGATAATTCCAATATTAGTCATGTAGAAAGTGAAGCTTTTCCAAAGACCTCTTCAGCAACCCCACAAGAGACTCTTATTTCTGATGGTCTCTTCTCAATAAATGAATCACAGGATCCACTACTTTTGGCAGAAGTCACCCCAGATCCCTATGTAATGAGTCTTCAGAATCTGATGAAAAAGTCAAAGGAATATATAGAAAGAGAACAATCTAGACGCAATCTGAGAGGTAGTACAATGAGAATTGTTAATGAGAGTCATTCAGAGAAAGAAAATGATGCTGTTGAAGTGGCTGACTTTGTTAAAGAGAAGGCCCCGTTGACAGGCAAACACTGTGTCTCAGTTATTCCCGACAAACCAAGCCTTAATAAATCAAATGTTCTTCTCCAAGGTGCTTCTGCTCACGCAAGCAGCATGAGTACGCCAGTTTTAGCTAGCTTTTCGAAAGTGGACATACCTGTACGAACTGGTCATTCCACTGTTCTAGAATCTAATTCGGATTTTAAAGTTATTCCCACTTTTGTTACTGAAAATAATGTTATCAAAAGTCTTACAGGTTCCTATGCCAAATTACCTAGTCCAGAGCCAAGTATGAGTCCTAAAATGCATCGAAGGAATTCCAGGACATCATCAGCATGTCATATACTTATAAATAACCCGATAAATGCCTGTGAATTAAGCCCTAAAGGAAAAGAACAGGCAATGGACTTAATTGTTCATGATACTGATGAAAAAACAAATGTGCCCAAAATTGTGCCAAAGTTACCAATTGATTTCGCAAGCGTTTGTTCAAGCATGGCTTATGTAGGCAAAAATACATCTGAAGTCATAGAAGATATGGTTTTAGGTAAAACAAATCAGGTATGTCAATCTTCAGGAAATTATTTAGAAAATAAAGTTACTCATGGACTTGTTACTGTGGAAGGTCAGTTAACATCTGATGAGAGAGGTGCACACAAAATGAACAGTACCTGTGCTGCGATGCCAAAGCTGCATGAACCATATGCCAGCAGTCAGTGCATAGCAAGTCAAAACTCTGGAACTGTGAGTGGACTCAAGCCAGCCAGTATATCAGAGAAAAACTGCAGTTTACAAATGGAACTGAATAAGTCTTATGATGTAAAAAATCCTTCTCCTTTACTGATGCAAAACCAGAATACGAGACAGCAGATGGACACACCTACGGTGTCCCATGGAAATGAACCATTTTTGGATAACAGTTTTGAGAAAGTTAAACGGAGACTTGATTTAGATATTGATGATTTGCAAAAAGAAAACTGCCCTTATGTCATAACAAGTGGAATAACTGAACAAGAAAGGCAACATTTGCTAGAAAAAAGATACACCAAGGGACCTGTCTTCATTAACAAGAATAAAATGTTAGAAACCAGTTCCAAAGGTAAGGAATCCTTGAAGTGTTTTATACTGCAAATGATACCTTTATTTTAATACTCTTAACTGACATTTTTGGGGAAAAAAATGGTCTTTATTTATATGGGCACTTAATTTTATTTATCTTATTAGAAAGCATATAGTCAGCTACAGTTTATTGCCATTTGATAGACTTTCTTAAAAGATTTTCTTGAGACAAGGTCTGGCTCTGTCACCCCAGGTTGGAGTGAAGTGGCATGATCTCAGCTCACTTCAACCTCCGCCTCCTGGGCTCAAGCCATCCTCCCACCTCATCCTCTGAAGTAGCTGGGACTACAGGCTCATGCCACCATGCCTGACTAATTTTCATATTAGTCAGCGATGGTGTTTCCGCCATGTTGCCCAGGCTGGTCTGAAACTCGTGAGCTCAAGTGAGCATCCCGTCTTGGCCTCCCAAAGCTCTGGGATTACAGACATGAGCCACTGCACTGGGCCAGGATTTTCTTTTTTGAGACAGTCTGGCACAGTTGCCCAGGCTGGAGTGCAGTGGCGCAAGCTTGGCTAACTGCTATCTCTGCCTCCTGGTTCAAGCAATTCTCATGCCTCAGCCTCCTGAGTAGCTGGGATTACAGGCGTGCCTCGTTGGATTTTATTTAAATGATGAAGCTTTCATAGTCCACTTGGTATTACTGAGAATATTATTCATAACTGGAGGAAAGAGTTCCTTTTTTTTTTTTGAGATAGAGTCTTGCTCTGTTGCCAGGCTCTTAGTCCTTATTGGGATCTTAGCTCACTGCAATCCCTGCTTCTGGGTTCAAGTGATTTTTGTGCCTCAGCCTCCTGAGTAGCTGGGATTACAGGTGCGCACCACTGCACCCAGCCCAAAACAGTTCTTGCCTGAAACACACTTATAGTTTAATTCAGTGTATAACTATGAGGTCTTTCTTTTGGACTATGGTTTCTAATGTTTACTTCAGTTTGCTTTTTCATTTGTAGTGTGATCTTCATGTAGTTGGCCCTTCAGTAGACTCTTTAATGTCAAATTATTAGACGAAGTATCAGAAATAAGGCTCTGAGTAGTGGTTCAAGAATGGTTCTTTAGGCTGGGCACGGTGGCTTACGCCTGTAATCCCGACACTTTGGGAGGCTGAGGCAGGTGGATCACTTGAGGTCAGGAGTTCAGCCTGACGAACATGGTGAAACCCCATCTCTACTAAAAATACAAAAATTAGCTGGGCTTAATGGTGCATGTCTGTAATCCCAGCTACTTGGGAGACTGAGGCAGGAGAATTGCATGAACTCGGGAGGTGGAGGCTGCAGTGAGCTGCAATTGCACCATTGCACTCCAGCCTAGGCAGAGCCAGACTCCGTCTCAAAAAAAAAAAAAAAAAGAATGCGTCTTTATTAATAAACATTATTTCAGTTTTTTCTGTTGTATCCATTAACAAGAATTTATGAAAGCATGTTTCTTTCCTTCATTACTCCTTACTTTGTTGTCATGGTTCATAATTTATTACTGATATAGAAGACATAAATCAAATAAATGAAGCTCTTAGGGCTTATGGGAAATACAGTGTTGGGTCAGACTGCTTAAAACCTGTGCAACTTTATTTTTTTTAATTAAAAAAAAATTTTTTTGAGATAGGGTCTTTGCTGTGTCGCCCGGGCTGGATTGCTTTCATGTGATCTCGGCTCACTGCAGGCCTGGGTTTAAGAGATTCTCCCACCTCAATCTTCCAAGTAGTTGGGATTTACAGGCATGCACCACCACACCCAGCTAATTTTTGTATTTTTTGTGGAGACAGGGTTTCACCATGTTGGCCAGGCTAGTCTTGAACTCCTAAGCTCAAGTGATCAGCCCTCCTTGGCCTCCCAAAGTGCTGGGATTACAGCTTTGAGCCATCAGTCCTGGCCTATCCTGTGCAACTTTATCAGAGCTCTAATAAAAACAACCACAGTTACCTGGGGAGCCAACTTGAATATTCTAAGTAGATAGCATAGCAAGGTTAGAGGCTGCCTCAGTGAATATCAGAAATACATAAGACTAACGGAGTGGAAATTTCTTTCATTTTTTTTTTTTTTTGGAGATGGAGTTTCGCTCTTGTTGCCCAGGCTAAAGTGCAATGGCGCAATCTTGGCTCACTACAGCCTCCACCTCCCAGGTTCAAGCAACTCTCCTGCCTCAGCCTCCCAAATAGCCGGGATTACAGACATGCACCACTAAGCCCAGCTAATATTTGTATTTTTAGTAGAGATGGGGTTTCACCATGTTAGTCAGGCTGGTCTTGAACTCCTGACCTCAAGTGATCCACCTGCCTCAGCCTCCCAAAGTGTTGAGATTACAGGCATGAGCCATCATTCCAAGCCTGGAGTGGCAATTTCTAGTAAGTGCTTTAATGCAAGATGAGCCTCCAGTCTTGGAGGCAGTCAGGTAGCTGTCAAAGTGGGCAAGGGAGACAGTGCCATGTGCTGAGAGCTGCCCTCAGCCTAGTGGGCCTTTTTGTAGAGTTTTTGAGATAGAGCTGAATGGACTCCTGTTGACTGAGCACTTGAGTTGAGGGGCTTTTTCCTTTCTTGCTGAAGGTTTTAATTCTACTTTTCAGCTTCCCTTGCCTATGAAAAGCTACATATAAACAAATGCAGGCTGGGCATGGTGGCTTATACCTACAATCCTAGCACTTTGTGAGGCCATGGCAGGAGGATCACTTGAGGCCAAGAGTTCAAAAGCAGCCTGGGCAGTATGGCAAGACCCCATCTCTGCAAAATATACAAAAATTAGCCTGGTGTGCTGGCATGTGCCTGTAGTCCCAGCTACTCTGGAGGCTGAGGTGGGAGGATCATATGAGCCCTAGAGTTTGAGTCTGCAGTGAGCCGTGTTGGCACTACTGCACTCTAGCCTGGGCAACAGAGCAAGACTAGATCTTAAAAAAAAAAAAAAAAAATTAAAAAATCATATTGTTGTAGTTGAATAAGATGTTTTTAGGAACAAATTATGGGAAGACTGTAGCAGTAGGACAGTAGTACATAAGATACTTTAGGGAAAATCATTGACTGTATATTTGGGAAGAATGATTTGTTGAATTTAGCTGAATTATAATGGATCCATGAATATATACTTGCTATATATACATACTTGGTATTTCTTTTCTTTTTTTTTTTTGAGACGAAGTCTCACTCTGTCACCAGGCTGGAGTGCAGTGGCACAATCTTGGCTCACTGCAACCTCCATCTCATGGGTTCAAGCGATTCTCCTGCCTCAGCCTCCCAAGTAGCTGGGACCACAGGCACGCACCACCACTCCCAAATTTTTGTATTTTTAGTAGAGACGGGGTTTCACCATGTTGGCCAGGATGGTCTCAATCACCTCATGATTCGCCCATCTCGGCCTCCCAAAGTGCTGGGATTACAGCTGTGAGTCACAGCACCCAGTTCATACTTGGTAGTTCTACATTTCAACATGTCTTACCACATTCTATTTAGTAAGATTGCATTGTCATAATGTTTTCTCTTAAAATTTTTAGTTAGTAACTAAAATATCTGGAATTCTAATGTACAGTCCTTTTTGAAACCTCAAGCTGAGAAAGCTTTATACCATCAAAGAAACATTGACTTTGAAAATCAAAACAAGGCAAAACTACAAGCTACAATACTAGAGATCCTGGAGGACAAGTGTCAAAAGAATAAATGATGGTAGGATACAGTTGAAACCATCTGAAAGTTAAGTAGAGTCAGGAGAATCTTGTCTGAATGTATAGTAGTGGCTCTATCATTTCAGATCAGGATGGGATCTGTTGAATGAGTGGGTAAAGGTGATGCCATACAGGTTTTACTTTATTGTGTAGCATGAAATAAAAGGAGTGGAAAATGTGAATGTGGTTCAAAGTAGAGACCCAGCTATAACTTGATTTTATTATGTCAGATCCAGGAATACTTTCTTGTTGGAAGGGTAACTTAAATTGATGGTATAAAATATCAGACATTAGACTTGTAGTGAATTTTCTAAATTGAGGAGACATGTTTCTTTTCAGAAAGCGAGGAGTTGCTAAAGAGCAAGATGTTAGCTTTTGAAGAAATGCGGAAGAGACTGGAAGAACAGCATGCTCAGCAGTTATCACTACTTATAGCTGAGCAGGAAAGGGAACAGGAAAGACTGCAAAAGGTGAGGAACGTGCGGGGAAATACAGCTGGTAAGTGAAATTTAGCCAAGGAATACCTATGAATTTTAGTCATCTATAGAATACTTGTAATTTTTTCCTCCATGTATTATAAGGTAAGGGATTCATTTTGATACATGAATGGTAGTTTTTGTCAAAAGATGAAATTTGGTATTTAGAGCCTTATCTAAAAGTAATTGCATAATTTATCAAGAGGATATTTTATTGAATCCTGATTTCAAACTTAATATTTTTAAAAGGTATTTTATACATAGGTGCTAAAGCACACATTCTGCAAGAGTTACCAGAATGACACTTGTGCTGGGCGTGGTGGTGTGAGCCTGTAGTAGCAGCTACTCAGGAGGCTGAGGTGGGAGAATTGCTTGAGCTCAGGAGCAAGCTATGATTTCGCCTTTGTGTGGCCACTGTACTCCAGCCTGGGCAACAGAGTGAAACCCTGTCTCTATTTAAAAAAAAAAAAAAATGACACTTGTTATAAGAATATTGTAGTTAATAATTTAACTATACATTATCACATTTTAAAATAAATTATTGGCTGGGCGAGGTGGCTCAGAAGGCAGGTGGATCACCTGAGGTCAGAAGTTTGAGACCAGCCTGGCCAACATATAGTGAAACCCCATCTCTACTACAAAATACAGAATGGTGGTGCATACCTGTAGTCGCAGCTACTTGGGAAACTGAGGCAGGAGAATAGCTTAAACCAGGAGGCAGAGGTTGCAGTGAGCCAAGATCATGCCATTGCACTCCAGCCTGGGGGACAGAGTGAGACTCTGTCTCTCAAAAATAATAGATAAATAAATAAGTAAGTAAAGTATAATTGAAGAAGAAGAACTTGAAATAATAATTTGCTGATAATTACATGTACTTCATGCTAAGCCTAAAATGGTATCATTTTGGGCTATAATTAAAAGGTTTAGCATGTTATAATAAACTGTTAATCTATAGGAAATAGAAGAGCAGGAGAAAATGTTAAAAGAGAAGAAGGCAATGACAGCGGAAGCCTCCGAATTGGACATTAACAATGCAGTGGAGTTAGAATGGAGAAAAATAAGTGACTCCACTCTGCTGGAAACAATGCTGTCTCAAGCGGACTCACTCCATACTTCAAATTCAAATAGTTCTGGTAAATATTTTACATTTGAGAAAATGATGCTACAGTAAGATATATTTGGCACACCATAAGATTGTCTCCTGTTTTCAAATAATTCCATGTCCAACCCACTACTGTTTGTCAGTTGCTTAGTAACCAGTGACAAATGACATGATAGGAGTTCAAAGACTTGCGAGCAGATGTTTGTGAGCAAAGATTACCTTTGCTAGGAAAATATCAGGAAATTCGGCTCAGAGCCCAGTCTGCGATCGTTCACGCAGCAGGTGATATATTTCAAGTGAAAACAGTTTGCTCTCTCCTGAATCATCTTGAATTACCTCTAATTCCCTAGTCCCTTTAAAGAGCTTATCTTCATATCTCAATTACCCTGAAATGCTGTTTGTGTTGAAAAGATCCATCTGGTACATAAGTTTTAAAGTCCATAAATATTTTAAGTTGGCAGATGGGTCAGTTTGGGAGACAGTTCTTTTTCTTAATGAGTGTCACAAGTGTTTATCAGGATGTTCTTCGTGTTCCAATTATATGACATCAAGTATAATAAACTATATGCATGTTTCTCTAGGTTTCACAAATTCTGCCCTGCAATATAGCTTTGGTTCTGCAAACGAAGCAGCATTCTACCTCTGGGGATCATCAGCTGGTGGCTTAACCAAACTCTCAGTAACAAGGCCTTTTGGAAGAGCCAAAACTAGATGGTCTCAAGTGGGTAAACTTAATTATATTATGTCCATGTATCCACTTATCTTTTTTAAAGAGCTTTGCGCCTTTCATGTATAAATGAACGCCAGTAAACATTGCGTCTGTCTTCTTTCTCCTAGGTTTTTAGTCCAGAAGTACAAGCAAAATTTAGCAAAATAACGGCAATGGCAAAGGGATATCTTACTCGCAGACTTATGCAGACAGATAAGCTGAAGCAACTTCGACAAACTGTAAAAGTAAGACTCCTGTAAATCGTTTGTATTTCACTTCTGTCTTAGTTTCTATCAGTCTTCTGACAGCTTAGCTGACAGATTTGTTCAGAATGTAAATATTTTTTAGTCAGTGTAATATAGGCAGTTTTAGAAATCTGATTGTTAATCTTCCTCAGATAATATTATAAAAAGCATGTAAATGAAGTAGTTTGTGTGTTTTTGTCTTGCTTCAAAGTAAGTGCTGTTTGACTTCTAATCATTTTATTTATATACTTAGTACGGTTGGCTCTCTGTCTCTTGGTTCCATATCAGTGAATTCAACCAACCACAGATCAACAATAATTCAGAAAAAACAAATGATGGTTGTGTCTGTACTGAACGTGTACAGATTTTTTTCTTGTCTTTATTTCCTAAACAATATAACAACTATTTACATAGCAGGTACATTTATTAGGTATTTTAACTAATATAGAGATGATTTAAATTATATGGGAGATGTGCTTAGATTATATGCAAATACTAATAAACCATTTTCTATAAGGGACTTGAACATCCTTGGGTTTTGGTATCTGAGCGATTCCTGGAGCCAGTCTCCCATAGTTACTGAGGAAAGACTGTAATTTTGGATTGACTGAGAAAAAGAAAAAAGGAAACTCCAGTGATCACAAATCTTTCTAGAAAAATGTTCTTGAAGAGCATTTCTTTTTTCAGGATACTATGGAATTCATAAGAAGTTTTCAGTCAGAGGCACCATTAAAGAGAGGTGTTGTTTCAGCTCAGGATGCTTCACTTCAGGAAAGAGTGTTAGCTCAGGTAAATACATGGGTCCTGAGGGCTTTTAAGACGTGGACGTGTCATGTTTCTCCTTTTTAATTTAATCACTGAAAAGAGGTTTCAATGAAAACTATTTTAACCTTTTTCTATAAATAAGTGTACATGGTATATAGTATTCCTCAACTCTAACCTCATCTTGTAAATGTATACAATATTTTCTTCCCTTGTGCGTAGTTGCGAGCTGCCCTGTATGGTATTCATGACATATTCTTTGTAATGGATGCAGCTGAAAGAATGTCTATTCTACATCATGATCGAGAAGTTCGCAAAGAGAAAATGCTCAGGCAAATGGTATGTTACATGATTTCTAATGAATGGAGTTCTTCTGGGTTTAAGGTAATTGATACTAATTGTCATTTTTGGTTGACTTCAGCACCCTTATGATAATTCTTTTTTTTTTTTTTTGAGACGGAGTTTCGCTCTTGTTACCCAGGCTGGAGTGCAATGGCGTGATATCGGCTCACCACAACCTCCGCCTCCTGGGTTCAGGCAATTCTCCTGCCTCAGCCTCCTGAGTAGCTGGGATTACAGGCACGCGTCACCATGCCCAGCTAATTTTTTGTATTTTTAGTAGAGACGGGGTTTCACCATGTTGACCAGGATGGTCTCGATATCTTGACCTCGTGATCCACCCGCCTCGGCCTCCCAAAGTGCTGGGAGTACAGGCTTGAGGCACCCGGCTGATAATTCTTAAGCACAAGTAATTTCTAGGATTACTAGCAACATTTAAACTGTAGACAGATTTAAAAGAATTACATAATTTAAGAATTACATATTGTTTTCTGATTGGATTTTAGAGTTGAAGCTTTGAATGTTTTGTTCAGATGGCTTTATACAATCTATCAGTTGCTCCTGATTGAATTTCCTTGAATTCAATTATAATGTGGGTTTTGCTTTTTTTGAAACCTGTTAGAAAACAGGCTCCAAATTAATTTGAAGTATATTAGAGTTTGTGATTTTAATCAGTTATCTTAGTGTGACTGGCAAAGGAAAAGCAAGCAAAATTTACATAATTTTAATTATTTAATTCTTAGACTGCTTCAAAAATACAAAACAAGATGATTTGACTGAATTTAAAATGTTAGTAGAGAGAAGCTTTTCCAGGCAATTTGGGATCATTCTGTATTAAAATATAGTGACATTATTGGTACCAGTAGAGTTTGATATTACTTTTGTATATTAAAGGATAAAATGAAAAGTCCACGAGTGGCACTTTCAGCTGCAACACAGAAGTCTCTTGATAGGAAGAAATACATGAAGTAAGTTTTTTGTATCATGTCATGTTAGTTATCAACTCAATTAATTTTAGTTATCTGTTGGTCTGTTTGCATATTTAAATTTAGAAATAAAGAAGAGTTTTTCCTGCAGTTGAGCTGACAGAAATCCCCTTTATATAAAGAAATTCATTAAAATCAGGTGCTAAAATCTCATTTCATCTTTAGATGAATTTATTTACTAAATTTGTCAGCATTCAACTTATATAATTGATAGCTGATCAATCTTTTTTTTTTTTTTTGAGACGGAGTTTCGCTCTTGTTACCCAGACTGGACTGCAATAGCGCGATCTCGGCTCACCGCAACCTCCGCCTCCTGGGTTTAAGCAATTCTCCTGCCTCAGCCTCCCGAGTAGCTGGGACTACAGGCGTGCACCACCATGCCCAGCTAATTTTTGTATTTTTAGTGGAGACGGGGTTTCACCTTGTTGAGCTGCATGGTCTCAATCTCTTGACCTTGTGATCCACCTGCCTCGGCCTCCCAAAGTGCTGGGATTATAGGCGTGAGCCACCATGCCTGGCCGATAGCTGATCAGTCTTAAACACAGTTTTATATTCAATGCCTAAATGTATTCCTTTTCTAATATCCTAAATGTTTCTTGGGAATAAAAACTTAAGGGGAAAAATATCTTAATAACTTTTTTAAAAATTCTTTTTTCTTGTTTACAGTCTTTAATATGCTTAGTACGGGTACACCAGCTTCTAAATGATGATTTGTTTCTATCATCCTGTATTACATTTGTGAGTGTGTTTTCTTCCCTTCACTAAATACATTATGTCCTTATTTTTATATTGTGTTAGAGCTGCTGAAATGGGAATGCCAAATAAGAAATTTCTGGTTAAACAAAATCCTTCTGAAACAAGGTGAGAAGAATCATTTAGTCTCAATGAGAAGCTTTTTGTTTTTTATAGGGAAAAAAAAATTGGGCGGGCATGGTGGCTCACACCTGTAATCCCAGCACTTTGGGAGGCTGAGGTGGGCGGATCACCTGAGGTCAGGAATTTGAGACCAGCCTCACCAACATGGAAAACCCCGTCTCTACTAAAAATGCAAAATTAGCTGGGCGTGGTGGCGAATGCCTATAATCCCAGCTACTTGTGGGGCAGACGCAGGGGAATTGCTTAAACCCGGGAGGTGGAGGTGGCAGTGAGCCAAGATCACGCTATTACACTCCAGCCTGGGTAACAAGAGTGAAACTCCATCTCAAAATTTAAAAAAAATAAAATTTATAAAGCCCAAGCTTCATTTTCATTGACTTTGTTCTATTTGACATCAGTAGAACACTTCCTGCTGAATTGGGTGGGGGATGGTCCACAGGCTCAAGAATCATATGAATACCTGGCTGTATACTTGGTCCCATGTCAGACCAGATGTGCCTGGAGCTTTTGTAGGGCATGCTATCTGTGGTAGAAATTTGAGCCTGATATGTCTTGAGTTCAGTTACACAGTCCAGAGGATCTTTGATACTTACTTAAAAACCTTAGAAAGCTAACTTAAGCTCGGCCAGGTGCATTGGTTCACACCTGTAATCCTAGAACTTGGGAGGTCGAGGCGGGTGGACCATGAGGTCAGGAGTTCAAGACAAGCCCAGCCAACATGGTGAAACTCCGTCTCCACTAAAAATACAAAAAGCTGGGTGTGTTGGAATGTGCCTGTAATTTTGGCTACTCAGGAGGCTGAGGCAGGAGAATTGGCTAACCTAGGAGGCAGAGGTTGCAATGAGCCAAGATAGCGCCATTGTACTCCAGCCTGGGTGACAGAGCAAGACTCTGTCTCAAAACAAAACAAAACAAAACAAAAACGAAAAAAAGCTAACTTAAGCTGGGCTCAGTGGCATGTTCCTGTATTCCCAGCTACTTGGGAGGCTGAGGCAAGTGGATAGCTTAATCCCAGGAGTCCAAACCAGTCTGGGTAAGACCTATCTCAGAAAAATAAATAAATAAATAAATAAAACTAAAAAGCAAACTTGAGTATTTCTGACCTGTTTTTCACACCTGTAAAATGAGAGCAATATTTTCTTCTCTCAACCTGTTTGAAAGGAAAGGTTAGCTTTTGTAAAGTATGTGTGTAAGAAAATTATCTTAAAGCACAAGGGTTAGTCTATATGTTGGCCATTTCTTTGGTGATAAAAACCTGAGGTTTGGACTCTCAGTGAGCAAAATATAAGTACCATATTAATATGCTTTAGTCAATTTGCTTTGCTTTGTGGTAATATATAGGCCGTATTATTGCATAGATGACTTTCTTCTTACTGTCATCATCTTTCATCCGTTGAAAGAAAATGGGAAAAAATGGAATTTATCCTTTTAAATTAATTTTTTATTTAATTTGTCAACAGAGTCCTTCAGCCAAACCAAGGACAGAATGCACCTGTTCATAGGCTACTTAGTAGACAAGGGTAAGAATGCCACACACAGTTATTGGAAACTATGGAAACCAAGATTAGGTTCAGAGGGAAAAATAAAGCCGTGTTCTTTACATAAAGGATAATGGTTTTTCAAATGTGATTTTTTTTTATAACATTGGGAAAGGTATTTTAAAGTTTTGTCTTCAAATTTAGCCCTCCTAGCATACTGTTGTGTATTCTAACTCCTATCTTATGTTGGCATGTTTTTACTTTTCATTTCATATCATTTTACTCATTAAGTATTTAAATATCCATATAGTAAATTCATCATCACCGAAGTGATTCTCCAACAGAGTATGAATCATGCTTGTAGTCTCCTGCTGAAGCCAGAGTTTAGCTTTCCTTGCTGTGCACATGCATGAGACTCCAGTTCTTTTGAAGCTTATTTGTGCTTTGGACAGTTGATGCATTGTGATTGCTTTCTTTGAATTTTGAACATTTAGACCTTAATGCCAGTGACTTATTAATTTTTTTATATTCAATTAGAACCCCTAAGACATCAGTGAAGGGGGCTGTGCAAAATAGACAGAAGCCTTCACAGAGCAGAGTGCCTAACAGAGTGCCTGTTACAGGTGTGTAGAAAATGAATTTCTGAAGCCCATTCAATAGAAGGAAGTGCACAAGCCGCCCCGTAACTCAGGCCACAGAAGTGGAATAGATTGTCTTTCCTTGCCACCATAATTTTGGCATATTCACGGTCATCCAATTAGTGTTCTTTGGTCTTAGCATTTCATGGTAGTCAGGAAGTCTTAGTAAAACTGTTATTCCAATCTTGATTTCTTTAATATTTCTATAATATGGAAAACACCACGTATTTTTAATTCTGAAAAAATTGTGGAATTTTTTTCACCATGCTTAATTTATTAAATAAAACCTTTTTATTTAATGAATAAAAGATAATGATTATCTCTGGTGCTAAGTCTATGCATTGTCTGTTCAGCTTGGGGAAGTGTGTCTGCACATAAGGGGATGAAACCTTTCTCCCTCAAACTGTAAGATCACATGTGAATATGCCAATGGGAGGAGGTCTTCATATTTTGCTCAATCAGAAGCTTGAGCTGAATCTCTCCTTATGTTCATCATCTGAGGATTAAGAGCTAAACTAAAAACTGTGTTTTAAAATTCTGTTTATGGTGGCAAGAAGACAAACTCATTCTTGAGCTAATTCAAAACTCTTAACCAAATGCTTTAATATTTTTAAGGTATCTTTGTTAAGACACTTTGATTAAGCTCACTTAAAAATTATGTGATCCATTTAAAAATACTTTCCAAGTGTTGTGCTTTAATTATACTGCTTTCTGGACATTTACAAGAAACCTAAATTACTCACCGGGCATTGAAGATTAAACCTCTAATCAATTCTAATCTTTCCATTAATATATAATTAGGTAAATTTGAGAGCTTTTATTACTAAGTGATTCCCTTCAAATTAGGGAGCAAGCTATTGATCGTAACTTTGAAATGATGGCTTACCTTTTGTATGTATGTAGTGAATGTAATTCATAGTGTCACTCATATATGGTATAATTTAAAAGGTCATCTTTGGAAATTGTTGAGTGACAGTTAATGGAATTGTCATAAAGGGTTACATAGCTGAAGGTGCTGCCTGCTCCAGAGGCAGTCAGAATAAGCTAGTTTGAAAGACAACCATTTGAAAGGACTCAGACCAAACACCAGATCTGTGGAATTTTAAGACATTTTCTGTTTTTCCCATGTTAATATTCTGTATTGCACTGAGTCTTAGCAAGTTGGAAAATCATTGAGGAATTAGTATTATTTTGCCTGATATCAGTTTGCCACAGTGACTACTCTCCATGTTTTTTTCTCATGCATTTCATCTCCACTATTTGTCACTTGTGAACCTGTAAGCAAAATAGCAAGTACTGTTTTTATTCAGCAATACTTAACAGTATAAAGGATTATAGGCAGTCATTGAAGTTAATAACATACAATGAAGTTTATTATTTTGAACTATTGAGGTTTAATTGCATTGCAACATAATTATTAACACAAATGAACTTAACCCTTGAATTAACATGTACAATCAATAGGTGACTAAAGAAATACAAAAATCTGCTGCTGTTTTCTAAAGATTTACTTACATATGAGTGCATATTTAGACAACTGAAAGAGACTACAGAATTGGTTGTTTTTTTGTTTTGTTTTGTTTTGTGTTTTGAGACAGAGTCTCACTCTTGTTGCCCAGGCTGGAGTGCAGTGGTGTGATCTCGGCTCACTGCAACCTCTGCCTCCTGGGTTCAAGCGATTCTCCTGCCTCAGCCTCCTGAGTAGCTGGGATTCCAGGTGCCTGCCACCACACCCCGCTAATTTTTTGTATTTTTAGTAGAGACGGTGTTTCACCATGTTGGCCACACTGGTCTCGAACTCCTGACCTCGTGATCACCCACCTCAGCCTCCCAAATTTCTGGGATTATAGGCATGAGGCACCGTTCCCAGCCAGAATTGTATTCTTTTATATAAACAGAGAGTTTGGGGTACTGGTGGGTTAAAATGCCAACTATGAATCTGAACACAGGAATCCATTGTTGCTCTTGAAAAGATTATTGTTTCCTGCTTCAAGGTTTTTTGTTTTTTTGAGATGGAGTTTCACTCTTATTGCCCAGGCTGGAGTGCAATGGCATGATCTCAGCTTACTGCAACCTCTGTCTCTCAGGTTCAAGTGATTCTCCTGCCTCAGCCTCCTAAGTAGCTGGGATTACAGGCATGTGCCATCACTCCTGGCTAATTTTTGTACTTTTAGTAGAGAATGGGGTTCACCATATTGGCCAGGCTGGTCTTGAACTCCTGACCTTGTGATCCACCTGCTTCGGCCTCCCAACGTGCTGGGATTACAGGTGCGAGCCACCGCGCCCAGCCTCCTTCTTAGAGTTTTAATGGTCTGAATTACGTGTTAAACAAATTTGAAATTATATTTTGATTTGCTCTGAATGGAGGCAAACACTTTTTTAACCAATTTATAGAAGACTCATTTTTGTCATGATAAAATATCGTACTCTTAGACTGAAGTCGAATTCTAATATGTTAAAGTATGCTGCAAAGCATTTAGTTATTTAAAGTTTTATGAACCTAAGTTGCCATCTCTGATGTTATCGTAAGTGATCTTTGACTTGCAGTTTTAAAACACATTTCTTCATTTGACGTTTTATGCTTGACCAGAATTTATAGGGAAATGCGGAAACCACTAATCACAGCAGAGTAGGAGGTGGTCATGCAAAATGGTTAGGTAAAATAACACATCAGGTGGCACTGGCTTACCAGAGTTCTTACTTCTAGCTCTGTTCCTTAGGCAAGTGCTCTCCTGTGCCTCAGTTTTACTACCCTTAAAATGGTCGTAACAATCTCTACCTCAGGATGATTCATAGAAGGATTAAATATGATAATGTATATTGCTTAGCTCAGCGCTTGTTCCAGAGTAAGCACTCATTAAATTGTATCATTATAGAATATCTACCATTGAGAAATAATATTAGTTTTGCTCTATTTTTAGGAGTATATGCAGGAAAAATCCAAAGAAAGCGGCCAAATGTTGCGACAATTTAAGAAGACAGCATTCATTAGGATAAAATGGGAGAGGATTATAATCCATGTTATTTTCCCTGCCCAAGACTTTATTCAACCCTGGACTCTGTTTACACACACAAAGTGACGTCAGAAGGCTGAGCACTTATCTGGATCATTTGGCCAGTTTGCTAATTCCTGCTCCACACCCCTGTGTTCCTCTTAATAATAAGTGTGGGTGAAGACAAATTAGTATTTAGTAATTGCATCATCTCTGTGCTTACCTATACAAACGTAAGTTTGTTTTATGAGCCCAGATGTCTACAGAGACCCTTTTGTAAACATAAAGGACATTTGGGTTTACTTTTACAGAATATTGAAAGGATATGACAAATTATAAATAAGTTCTAAAACATAAATTTCATTCATTTCCGCATAGTGATTTTTGAATTTGATTCAAGGGGAAATTATTGCAGAAGAATGCCTTTCCCTCATTTTATAACTTTAAAAACTTGGATTAAATGCTCAGTGTCCATACTCTTTCACTTACAGTGTAACCATACAGCCGATTGTGGTCCGCTAAAATGTGGTCACTTTTGGTCAGAAATATGCATTCCTGTCAACAGCTAGTTGTCTTACAGAAATGTTAGGTTTCATTTATGTTACCCCAGTACTGTTAGAAACATTTGTACTAGATCATTAGATCTTTATGGCTGGGTACCATGGCTCACGCCTTTAATCCCAACACTCTGGGAGGCCAAGGCAGGTGGATCACCTGTGGTCAGGAGTTTGAGACCACCAGCCGGACCAACATGGAGAAACCTTGCCTCCCCTAAAAATACAAAATTAGCCAGGTGTGGTGGTGCATGTCTGTAATCCCAGCTACTCGGGAGGCTGAGGCAGGAGAATTGCGTGAACCTGGGAGGCAGAGGTTGTGGTGAGCCAAGATCCCGCCACTGCACTCCAGCCTGGGCAACAAGAACAAAACTTTGTCTCAAAAAAAAAAAAAAAAAGATCTTTCTGTGCCGGGTAGCAAATTTGGGGAAGACAGCACAATCTTCTTGAATGTAGCTCTTGGGAATGCATTATTACATCCATTTCTGTAAAATAAGAATAATGTGTTGCATGCAGTTATATTTTCTATTTAGTCTGTATATTTTGTTTCTTTATAGTCTGTTTTTTCTAGCATGCTTGATTTAGGAGAGAATAAAGGGCTATATAATAATAAATCCAAATTTCAGGATAAGATTATTGCCTGGTTAAAATTCTGCATTGCTTAAAGACACCCATGTTTAAGATTTTTCATCACTAACATATCCATTAAAAGTATCAATTGGCCAGGCAAGGTGGCCCATGCCTGTAATCCCAGCACTTTGGGAGGCCGAGGCAGGTGGATCACCTGAGGTCAGAAGTTCGAGGCCAGCCTGTCCAACGTGGTGAAACTCCATCTCTATTAAAAATACAAAAATTAGTTGGGCATGGTGGTGCATGCCTGTAGTTCCAGCTACTTGGGAGGCTGAGACAGGAGAATCTCTTGAGCCTGGGAGGCAGAGGTTGCAGTGAGCGGAGATTATGCCACTACACTCCAGCCTGGGCCATAGAGCGAGACTGTGTCTCAAAAAAAAAAAAATGTCTCAACCAACAAATGTTACCAAGAAGACATGACTTCATGAGAGAGAATGTGACTATTAATTTGTCATACCAGTTCCAAAAAGGGCTTTGTGCTTTTCACATAAAATTGGGACAGTGTATATTTAATCTAATGTAAATTTTAAAGGGATACTGGCATTTTGAAAATGCAGCCTATATATATTCTTAATATCATTTTAAGAATATGGAGATGAAGATTGTTTTCTCTAATATTCTGTGCCATTTTAAATTTAACTTTGATATCCAGCTATAGACCAAAATAATAATTCACCCTGGCTGTAAACTTGATTTTCTTTATTGAGATGGATCATGTATTGAATGAGTGAACCGGAAAATTAGAAGACGGTCAAAAAAGGTCCAAGTTATCAATTTTTTTAAATGTATAGGCAAAGTATGTCAAATTATCCTCTTAATATGATAAACTGTGCTTTATCATTCTGAAAATTCAGGATACAGATTATAGCATTGTGGGTCTCTCCAGTAAGAAAGATGTAAAAGTTTTGTGTATATTTTTTTGTGTGTAATGCAAATTAGTTAAAGCAAATAGTATGTTTTGGAGAAAGTTAAAACTAGCTTTAGATTAAGGATGCGAAACTTGAGTGTGTTTTTAATTTAAAGATAAAAGCGTGTGTTTTACACATTTTTTTGGTGTTCATAGCTTTTCTTATACAAGTGCCAGACACTGTTTTGTGCTTTTGATGGATTTTTATTTATATACATTTTTTTGCTTATTTTTTACTTCAAGTTGGAATGTTCATTAATGTAAATTGTATTTATTTTTATACTTTTATTTTCACTAGTTTTGCTTCTAGGCAAAAAGCAAAATAAACTTTTCATCTTAAAGAAAATCTAGTTTGATTGTTTTTATTTACCAGGGAAAAAACTATTAATAAATAGATAGGCCAGGCATGGTGACTCATGCCTGTAATTCCAGCACTTTAGGAGGCCAAGGCAGGCAGATCATGAGGTCAGGAGTTCCAAGACCAGCCTGGCCAACATGGCAAAACCCCATCTCTACTAAATACAAAATTAGCTGGGTGTAGTGGTGCATGCCTGTTAATTCCAACTACTTGGGAGGCTGAGGGAGGAGAATTGCATGAGCCTGGGAGGCAGAGGCTACGGTAAGCCGAGATCGCACCACTGCACTCCAGCTTGGGCCACACAGTGAGACTCTTATCTCAAAAGAAAAACAAGGAGCCGGGTGCGGTGGCTCAAGCCTGTAATCCCAGCACTTTGGGAGGCCTAGGCAGGTGGATCATGAGGTCAAGAGATCGAGACCATCCTGGTCAACATGGTGAAATCCCGTCTCTACTAAAAATACAAAAAAATTAGCTGGGCATGGTGGCGCGAGTCTGTAATCCCAGCCACTCAGGAGGCTGAGGCAGGAGAATTGCCTGAACCCAGGAGGCGGAGGTTGCGGTGAGCCGAGATTGCGCCATTGCACTCCAACCTGGGTAACGAGCGAAACTGTCTCAAAAAAAAAAAAAAAAAGAAAAAAAACAAAAGAAAAAAGAAATAGGTATTAGCGAGGCATGGTGGTGGACATCTGTAGTCCCAGGTACTCTGGAGGCTGAGGCAGGAGGATCACTTGAGCCCAGGAGTTCCAGGCCACAGGGAGCTATGATCACACCATTGCACTCCAGCCAGGGTGACAGAATGAGACTTTGTCTCAAAAAAAAAAAAGAAAGAAAATAGATACTGAAAAATATTTGTCCAAAACAAATATTGTATATAATCACTCTTTACAATTACAAGTTCCGTGAAAGATTTATCTCATTATTTAATATGTCACCTGGGCCGGCACAGTGGCTCATGCCTGAAATCCCAACACTTTGGGAGGCTGAGGTGGGCGGATCACCTGAGGTCAGGAGTTCAAGACCAGCCTGACTAACATGGTGAAACCCCATCTCTACTAAAAATACAAAAGTTAGTCAGGTGTGGTGGCAGGCACCTGTAATCCCAGCTACTTAGGAGGCAGACAAGAGAATTGCTTGAACCCAGGAGGTGGAGGTTGCAGTGAGCTGAGATCGTGCCACTGCATTCCAGCCTGAGTGGCAAGAGTGGAACTTAGATACATATATATATATTTGCTCTTGTTGCCCAGGCTGGAGTGCAATGGCATGATCTCGGCTTACTACAGTCTCTGCCTCCCGGGTTCAAGCGATTCTCCTGCCTCAGCCTCAGGAGGCATATACCTATACCAGTGCTTAGTTCAGCATTTTGAGTTTGCATGAGTTGGACTTTTCAGACGGTAAAAATCTTAAGCTGGAAATGTCTTAAGAGAGAAGCCTGCTAAGGGAAGGAGAGGGAGAAAAGAGAATGCAAAGGTTGGAGCTCACATGAAATCTGTTAATTTGCACAGCTTTAAGAATTTTTCTTTTGTTACTGCCTAATCATGTAATGGAGTGTAGGAAAAGGCTAGTTACTTTGCCCTCTTATTGAGGAGATGTTGCATGTGATAACCTGCAAGGCTGTGTGGGAAGAGCCTCCTCGCTTTTCCCTGGCCATCCTTTAACCCTTGTTCACTCCCTGGGTTGGGAATAGTGGGTAGGACTGGAAATACCTTCTTACTCATACTGAGCTGAACACTGGAGGGCCGGTTCTGGAGATGATCCTTTTCCCTGTCATAGGTCACCATCCCATGAACAACCACAGACCACCACCCGCAAATGAAAACTAAGAGTTTCAGTGAAAACATTGAATGCTGTCTCTCTTAGAGACCATAATGGATACCTAAGTAGGTCATAAAAATAATTTTGGGGGCTGGGTGCGGTGGCTCACACTTGTAATCCCAACACTTTGGTAGGCCAAGGCGGGCGGATCACCTGAGGTTGGGAGTTTGAAACCATCCTGACCAACATGGAAAAACCCCGTCCATACTAAAAATACAAAAAATTAGCCGGGCATGGTGGCACATGCCTGTAATCCCAGCTATTCAGGAGGATGAAGCAGGAGAATTGCTTGAACCCGGGAGGCGGACGTTGTAGTGAGCCGAGATCACGCCATTTCACTCCAGCCTGGGCAACAAGAGCAAAATTCCATCTCAAAAACAAAAATTTTGTCAGGGCGAGGTGGCTCATGCCTGTAATTTCAGCACTTTGGGAGGCCAAGCAGGGAGGATCATGAGGTCAGGAGTTTGAGACCAGCCTGATCAACATGGTGAAACCGTGTCTTTACTAAAAATACAAAAATTAGCCAGATGTAGTGGCGTGCATCTGCAATCCCAGCTACTCTGGAGACTGAGGCAGGAGAATCCCTTGAACCTCACAGTGAAGGCTGCAGTGAGCTGAGATCACATCACTGCACTCCAGCCTGGGCAACAGAGCAAGACTCTTGTCTCAAAAATAAAAATAATTCTCATTATTTACTTTTTTGAAACTGAGTCTCACTCTTGTCGCCCAGGCTGGAGTGCAGTGGCATGACCTCGGCTCACTGCAACCTCAGCACCCCCCACCACGCCTGACTAATTTTTGTATTTTTTAGTAGAGACAGGGTTTCACCATGTTGGCCAGGACCCCGAACTCCTGACCTCAGGTGATCCACCCACCTTGGCCTCCCAAAGTTCTGGGATTACAGGTGTGAGCTACCACACCCGGCCTAAAAATAATTTTTAAAAACAAAGGAGACCTTTAGTCATCGAACACAGAAAAACTGGAATATGGTATGGTTGGAATCACATCATTAGGTTCTAACAGCTGAGGGCTAACATTGTGCCTGACCAAAGTTAGATCTGACAGTAAAATACTGTCACTTTATTTGTTCTTTTCTTTGGTCAGCGTTTCTCCATAACCCTCACTTCTTCAATTTCTCAAGGATATCGACAAAGTTGTCACCCAAACCATGACTTTTCAGCCTCTGGTGGCAAAAAATCCTTTAGTTATTCACACTTTCCATAAAGTTAACTTGTTTCAGGATTACTTCCTATGATCTGTTTCCAAGACATTACGTTAATCGGTTTGGTTGCGTCTGTGTAAGAGCATACCATACTGCTCTGCTCTGTGGCCGCCTGAATTCCACGGTACCCTCCCACCTGCAATTGCTGCCATCCCTTACGTGTCCGAAGGGACCAGCAGCAGCAGGATCGCCTGGGAACTTGTTAGAAATGCAGAAGCCCAGGCCCCACCCCAGCTGTGACTCAGAATCTGCATTTTAATAAGGTTCTGGGCTGGGTGGTGTCCACATTCACTCAAGAGAAGCACTGCTTTGTGACACGTTGCACGGTATGCTGCCTCGGAGAGAAACGCTCTGGAAATACAAAGATCACAGGAGCACCGTATGATTCTTTTCTCTGCTCCGTGAAAGTTTGGCCAGGCATTTTATAATCTCCCTTCACTTGAAAGTCAAAGTTATCCTATTTTCACAGATGAAAAAGTTAGGACTCTATGCAAAACTACAACCAGAGTTGAAGCGTATTCGATTGCCTTTTCTAGAGGAGCTCTTTTGAGAATCTGTTTTCCTGACGTCTGTTAAAAAAAAAAAAAAAAAAAAACACTTTAAAGTAAAATTAAAAAACAATAAAAAGTAGGGTCAGATGCTGCCTTGTGATTAAATGATTCCCATTACGGTATTTGGAGTTAAGAGTTCAAATCCCAGTTCAGTCACTTGCTACTGGCCTGGTACAATTCACCACACTTTTTTTGAACTTCAGCTTCTCTAAAATCAACGGCAATGGTATTTCAGAGGTTTGTACTGAAGAAAAAATGAAGGGTGCAGGCAAAGTGCTTGACACACAGAGTTAAGCATTTAGTAAATGGTACCTGTTTTGAAAATATCCTGATTCATCCACTTTTTAAATAAACAGAGAAAACACTAAAGCCCGTATGTTCTGTGGTCGAAATGGATATCCACCGTTTTAGAAACACTGCTTTGCCAAATGTGACGAAAAGCGAACCCCAATTTCCCCACGTGCATTAGCTGCAGTCAGTCATATTGGATGTAGGGCAGCCCGTGGTTGCTAGTCGTGCGAAGGGCATTCTGGAAGTGCCTAAAGTGCCCGCAAAGCATTGGGTAAAGCGGCGGCCCAGAGGGGGCGTGGCTGACCCACACCAAATAGCGCATTCGCGGCAATGCCAGGTATGGCTGAACCCCAGCTTGCCTCTTCGCCCCGCCGGCTTCTGGAGTCCTTTCCACCCCTAGAGGGCGCAGGTGGGTTAAGCAGCGGTCATGCCCTTCACCATCTCGGCGCCCGCAGGCGGGACCACCCGGCACTGTAGTCAGCTGCCCTTTACAATCATGGCTCACAGAAACTCAGGCTCGCTGCCAGAGGCCGACGCTGCTGCTCAGAACCATGGCGCCGGCGGAAGTCGTACCCTGGGCCGTCCGGAGCAGGCAGCTGCCCCTCACAACCATGGCGTCGGCTGAAAACGAAACCTGTGCTATGCAGAGCGTCGCCTGCCCCTCACAAGCACGGTGCCTGCAGACTGTCCGTTCGGACTCTGCGGGGCGGGCAGGTGCCCTTCTCAAAGATGGTGATCAGGGCAGGCGGGGCGGGGCGGGGCGGGGCGGGGCGGGGCGGGTTCTGAGCGGTGAAAGCCGGGCAGACGACCCGGAACAAGCGGTCATGTGACTGGGAAGATGGCGGTCTTTCCTTGGTAAGTTAGCTGCGGCGGCTGGGCTTTGGGGAGGGGCTGTCCAGGGTTGTGTCGGGGTCTGTCTGGTTCCGAGAGTGTGACTTCCTCTCTGTCAGGTTCTGGTGGTCGACTGCCAACCCCTAAGTTGTCTTGACCTAGAATCTCTGGCCGCTACCGGGTTCCAGCGGAGCAACCTGAACCCAGACTGGCGGGTTCTTGGGTCTCTCCCCGTCTGCTGCCTCTCTGCGGCCTTCCACGGCCCCCTGTCCGTTCATTCC